CTGGCAGTATATTTAGTACTGGATGTTAGTGTCTTCTCAATACGAGTCCAAGATGTTCGTAAAGTTTCTTTCTTCTCAATGACGTATCCTGTTATCGTTGAGCCACCATCATCAGTTGGAGGTTTCCATTCTAGCGTTGCAGAGTCTCTGGTGATCTCTGATACTTTCAGTGGACCTTCAGGTTTACCTGGTGGACCTACAGTAACAACATCTAGATTAAAAGTGGTTACAAATATTATGACACAGGTCAATTAACATACTAGAAGGGAGTTATAAAATCAAACTGTGCCCAGGAGCGTCTGCCTTTAAACAAACGTTCAGAACTTGTCTCAAAATGTAGACTTGAGAATAAGTTCCACTTGTCGAACTTAAGTTAGGATGCAGGATGAAAATAGGTCTGTTGTCTGAAGAAACTCTTAGTAACGATATGTTTCAAGTTCTGTTTTTTATATTGTTAGTTTTTAAGGTAAATCATTTTGTAAAAGAAAGAATTCCAAATGAAAATATGACATGTTAGTTAATCTATTGTATGTTGTGTTGCTCTGAAGCCTTAGTTAAAAACAGCTTCAAGATCTATTATCAAAATAAGTCCAGTCAGCAGTAATGAAGGCCCTAAAAGTTCACTTAGAAAAGTAATGGAACAAAATACAAAATGTTCCTCCATGCACACAGCTTAGTATTGCCCATTTTCACATCTGAAGAAAAAAGCGAGATACAACACTCCATATTATTCAGTTTTCAAATATCTCATACTTACCAAGTTCCTTCTGTGGAATTACAGCATCAGATTCTAATGGTTTACTATTACCAACTTTATTGATAGCAGAAACTCGGAAATAATATTTCTTATCAGTCTTCAGATCCTTAGCTGTTGCCTTGGTAACAACATCACTGGTGATCTTGACTTCAGTCCAGACATCCTGGTTGGTTGATACTTCCACCAGGTAGCCTGTGATTGGTGCACCTCCATCATCACGAGGTTTCAACCAATCCAATGTCACCTCTGTTGATTTCATGTTAGAGAATCTGATTGGTCCAGTTGGTTTCTCTGGAACTTCTACAAAAATAAAAAGAATATTATAAACCTGTTTTAGTGTCAATAATGAAAATGCCAAATTACGTTATTGGCTTTGTGAACTCTCAATGGTATGTAGAGTTGACAAGTGTGACCCCAAAATATTATCATAAGCCATGTGGACACTCTGAAACTAGGTTCTTTAATTAATGTTTCATTAATACCAAATAAACAGTATGAGCTTACTTGGTTCTTTGACAGGTTTAACTGGTTCTTTCAAATCACAAGCAGGACCCATTCCTTCATCATTTTCAGCTAAAACTCTGAAGAAATATTCACTTCCTAGTCTCAAGTTTTCAACTGTGTAGGACAATGTTTTGGTTGTAGCAACTTTAACGTAAGAACCATATCGTTTATCACGTCGTTCTAGTGTGTAGCCTTTAATCGGCAGTCCACCATCTTTAGCTGGCGGCGTCCATTTTAGATCAACTGATGATTCAGTGATGTCTTCCACTGTCAGTGATTCAGGAGCTGAGGGCGCAGCTGAAAAAAACAAGCAAATATAGGTCATGAATTTGGATCATTTACACACTCATGCAGTTGATGGCATAAAAAAGAAAAATTATCAGTTAGTTCCTTTTTAAAGGTAAGCTTCTTCCACATATTATAATATTATAGTCTGCCAAAATAACTATAAAATATTTGATATTTTGCTGGTTTCTGCAGTTTCATTTATTTCTCATTATGCCATACTTCAATAAAAGTGGTTATACTTACAGTAAGGACTCTTTGGTACAACAGACGTTTCTGATTCCAATGGTTTAGATTGACCAGCAATGTTTTCAGCCATAACTCTTATAGAGATTTCTTTACCTTCCTGGAGATTTGGAAGGTCACAGAACAGTTTATTGGCTGACACATTATCTACATGTGTCCAGGTTGTCTTCCACTGTTCTCGTTTCTCTACAATATATCTGGTAATTGGAGAGCCACCATCGTGTTCTGGAGCCTTCCAGCCAACCTTACACGATTTCTTCTGGATCTCAGAAACAACCATTGGTCCCTCTGGAGGAGAAGGTGGATCTGAAAGTAAAAGTAAGAATGAACCATTGAATATCTAGTAGAATGATTCAGCAGTTCTGAATTGTTGACCATGAATTAACCATGTTCACTGATTGCCTTTCAAGTTTTAGGGTTTTTTTTCAAAAAATAATTAGCACACAAATTTTTGGAAAAGCTTGAAAGTCATCTACAACAACATTGAAATATAGTATGATTATATATCAAATAAGCTGTCCTGATGACAGATGTTTTGTCAGAAACACAACAGAAAAAGAGTTTGCATTGGAAATATAACCAGTGCCAGTGCTTTAGTAACTTTGTCATTAGTCCCTAGCCTCGCCTGTGCCAGGAATATCAGTTTTAAGTTCATCACCATTTACTAACCTCAGTCCTGTGTCAGTGCTTTCGTAGCTTTATTCCCTGCTTCCAATATCAGTTGTTTTAATAATGGGTAAAATATTCGGAACAAGTATAGGAGATATGAGTTTAGTCAGCCACACAAGAATTCAAACTACAAAACAAAAAGCTACTCACTGATTGGTTTAGACAATTTGATGGGTTTATCAGTTTCAGCCTTCTCACCAACACCAATCTCATTTTCAGCAGCCACACCAAAACTATAGTCTTTTTCTGGTTTCAGTCCAGTGATATCATAGTTAGTCTTGTAACTATCAGTAGAAGTTTCTTTCTCCCAGTTGTCACCCTCTTTTTTGATATAGACAATATATTTCTTGATTCGGGCTCCACCATCATATTTAGGTGGTGTCCATTCCAAGGTGAGTGAATTTTTCTTGATGTTTTTAATGTGGAGAGAGTCTGGTTGATCAGGTACACCTGTGATTTAAAAATAATCCAAGATTAACAAGACCGTAGACAGTGACTGACACAAACACAAAATGAAATTAATTACCTCTGAAGGGAGGAAAGTGATCTACTCAAGAAAGGCAAGACGTGCTTCTCTTATTGTTGTGCGTTCTTCTCTATTTTTGGGAAATTTCAGAATTCCAAGTAAAACCACATATCTATATAGTTTTTTAAATTTTTAGATATATATTATATATTGGTGCATGAAGAAGTAACTTACGAATAATTTTCTCAGGCCTGAACGAATCAGAACACATAGCAGGTGCTCCCTTTCCTTCTTGATTGACAGCCATAATCTGTACCACATAGTCCGATCCTGGTATCAAATTCTTAAGGACAAATTTATTCTCCGCGGCAGGCACTTCACCAGCATTGACCCAGGCAGATCTACGAGCTTCACGATACTGTAAAATGTAGTTTTGTATTTCCTTGCCTCCGTCATTCTCTGGTGGTTGCCAGGTAACCTCGGCAGAATTGTCAGTAACGTTTGAAACTTTGACTCGAGTTGGTTCTGTTGGTTTGTCTGGAATATATTACACTCATTATTCATTCTGATATTTAGAAATATATTTATATGATATTGATCGTAGAAATAATATTTCTTGAAATTTCATATATAAAATCACATATACGTTAGTGTTTACTTATACCTAAAGAACATATTTTCAAAACTCATTTTTATCATAACACTTGAAGTTTTTTTTCCATAGTTTGTACAAACGAAAATTACTCAAAAAACTCACCAAATGGACTCTTTGCTTTGACTGGTTTGTCCATCTCTAAGAAGGGACCAACACCAGCTTTGTTTTCAGCAGCAACACGGAAGAAATATTCTGATCCCTCGGTCAGGTTTTTAGCAGTATAGACAGTTTGATCAGCATCAATTTTATCAGCTTTACTCCACGTGGCTCGTAAGGCCTCTCTCTTCTCAATGATATACGATGTCAGAGGGACACCTCCTGTATCTTTCGGTGGTTGCCATTGGATGGTGGCTGATGTCTTGTTGAATTCTTGTACTTTCATTGGACCAACTGGTTTCGAGGGTAAAACTGGAAATAAGAAAAATGCATTTTCAAATTTAAGGTCAATTAAAGATAATAATTAAGGTCATTTTAAGTCATCATATTGAACCAGTTTTTTGGATTAATATTTGGGTACTATCTGATGATTGCTGCTAATATAAAGTCCTATACCAGAATATATCAATCAACTCAACCATCAAGTGATAACAGGTACAAAATTTGAACCATCAACCTACCGGCTTGAACTGTTGGAGTCACAGAATCTGATTCTAGAGGTTTTCCACGACCAACTTTATTCTCAGCAGTGACACAGAACTGGTACGCGACATCTTTCTTCAGATCTTTGACCTTGAACTTGGTGATACCAGCCTCGGTTGTGCCAATCTTTACCCAATCACCGTCACCGGTGGCCATTTCTATGACATAACCTGTTACCATGGAACCACCATTGTCTTTAGGTGGCAACCAATCAAGTGTTAGAGAGTTGGGAGTTATGTTATCAAATCTTATTGGGCCAGTACAGGTTCCTGGGGCAGCTGGAAAGAAGAGAAGGCATTGATAGTTTATTTGTGATCGGTACAGTTCAACTTATATACTGAACAGTATAAAACAGTATTTAATAACAACGATATAATGATACACAAAGAAAAATTACAAAATACAGTAGCAAGACAGAAACAGCTTATATAAAAAGGCTTCCTGTTGAAAAAAACTAAATTTAAAGAGTTAATAGAAAAATAGAGCTCACTGCATTTATACAAGAGCATGAATATCTGTGCTCTGATTCTTTATTTCTATGTCTATATCCATTCAAAAAAATACTTAAAATAGTCCTAAATATATTCATTTGAGAGTATAAAACTCTGTGTTATATTCCTAACTTACTATATCTATCCGAATACATTGATAAATAAGAATAATTCAGTTTTTATCTTAAACTGATTCCGCCTATATTTTCAATTCGACAAATATTCATATTTTTTTGAAAAATGACAGTTTTCAATCGTTAAAACAACGGCAAAATATGTATATAAACTTAATAAAAACAAAAATCACAAATTGCTACCAATAATATATTAAAAACAACCAATTAGTATGAATGTTATATATACCATGTTGTCCTGTAGGAATAGCTCCTTCTGTACTATCCAGTGGTTCCGATAAACCTTCCTGATTTTCAGCAAAAACTCGGAAATAATATTCACTGCCTTCCAGAAGATTCTGGATACAATACGAGGTTATCGAAGGTTTAATTTTATCAACTTTAATCCAGTGAGTATATTTTGTATCTCTTCGCTCTATGTGATACGATTTTAATTCTAAACCTCCGTCAGATTTTGGCGCCTTCCATCGAATTGAAACTGAATCTTTCGTGACTTCCAGAATGGCAAGAGGTCCTTCTGGTGCCGATGGTACATCTGTAAGTGAATTAGTGAAGAACAACGAAGGTTAGTACAACAAATTACAGTTAATCAACCACAAGATGTCAAGAAATTTGAGGTTAGTTTCACTTTTTCACACACAGAAATTAGTTAGCTTTGTTTTATAGAAGATTTATAAAAGAGCTTTAAGGAGAGAGCGCAGAAAACAAGCATTAATATTGTTCACAAGAACTTCAAAGTTATCTCAGCCTCTTATCTTTAACAAACATCAATATAAAAGATTAAAGAGACACATTAATAAAGAATTTAGAAGACTGAAAGTTTTACAAGATTATAGTTTTACTTCAGAGATTAAACATAATAATATAGTTTACAATAGTAAAATCTGATTAAAATGCAAAACAAGATGACACATTTCGTGTTTCTTCTACACTAGCCATCCATGATCTGACAAGTTTCTCTTTAAATTGTGTTCTGTAAGATACTTCACTTGCAATATGATCTGACAAGATTCTTGTTAAATTGTGTTCTTTAGAATTTTATTCTTATAGTGACAAAAATGTCCTGATTTGACCAAACCAATACAAGTCAATGTTTGACATTGGATATTCCAGAAATACTCACAAGAACAGAGCATTTCATTGGCTGAATTTTAAATGACCTTGAACATGAGATGCATCACAATTTAGTCAGATCATAGATAGCAACATACAGATATTTATTTTAATCAGATTTTTACAATAGAGATACTATATCACACACTCTATAAAGAGTCAGAATAATTAGAAACATAGTAATACAACAGTTATAAATAACTTACAGAATGGACTCTTTGGAGTCATGGCTTTCTCTGTTTCAATGGATTTAGATTTACCCACAGCATTTTCAGCGTAGACACGGAAATAATAATCTTGAGACTCTTTAACGTTCTTGACACAATATGTAGTCGTGTCTGGTTCAGTTGTAACGAGTTGAGACCAGTTGACTTTGAAACCTTCGCGTTTCTCAACCACATAGCCTGTGATAGGTGAACCACCATCATCTTCGCTCTTACCCCAAGACAAGGTGATGCTTTCTTTGGTAAAGTCTGTGGCTTGTAAAGGTGGCTCTGGTGCTGATGGAACTCCTGGAAAATGGTAAGAAAATGTCAAATTTATCGCTTAAATGTTGATTATTTGTGAAAGCAATTCCAAAATCATCCCAAATCTGTGAAATTGGATTTATAATTCAACACAAAAAAAAACCACTTCTTAAGTTTGGTTGTAGTTTCAAAAGTAAGGTATCTGTCTAAATCGCAGACAAGACAATTTGAATGAGCAATAATTTCAGAAGCATATTTCAATTGTTCTAGTTCCGTAATGTACGACTTTTATTTTTCGAAAGTAACATCACTGAAGATGGAATAATTCTAAAGACTCTGAAGACCTTGGTGGAAGAATCAACCTACCTGCAGGTTTCTGTGGTTTAACTGGTTTATCAGTTTCCACCATTGGACCCATTCCAACATCATTACTGGCAGTCACACCGAAATAATATTCCTTGCCCTCGTCAACATGGCTGACAGTGTACGTGGTATCATAACTCTTTACTTTACCTACGTCTGTCCAGTCCATACCCTTACGTTCACACAGATAGATACGATAAGACGTGATTTTCGATCCACCATCATTAACTGGTGGTCCCCATTCAATGGTCACACTCTTCTTCGTTACCTTGGTGATTTTAATAAAGGCAGGTGGACCAGGTAATTCTGAAAAAGACAGAAAAACAAAATGGTATAAAATAGAAATGAATTCATTATAGAGTTGATTGAAAGGATCTTCTAGTTTTATTTTCTGGATTTTCAGGATTTTCAGGATTTTTAGAAATGTCATTTCCTTTATATATATATTCATTACTTGTGAATGTAAAAACATCAGTTTATCAAATATGGTTTTTGTAAAATTGCAGACTATTACTCTTCTGTGAAATAAGGACTAATGTAACATTATGAGTTTATAATTAAGCAAAATGACAACAAATTATCCAAGAATAAGTTACCTGTCTTCTTTTGTGGTTTAGTTGGTTCAACAGAATTGAGTGCAGGGCCAGTACCTTCGGCATTAACAGCCATGACTCGGAAAGAGTACTCATTACCCACGACCAATTTGTTAGTTTCGTATTGAGTTTTGGTAACTTCTGCTAGTTTGGTCCATGTGGATCGTTTCATATCTCTCATCTCCAGGATGTAATGGGTTATTGGTGTTCCACCATCATCTGAGGGGGGTTTCCATGAGAGAGTAGCTGAATCTTCGGTCAGGTCTGTTACTTCTAGTGGTCCAACTGGTGCTGATGGAACATCTGGAAAAAGGGTTTGGATTTGTAGTATACCTTTAGTTGGAAATTCATTGATGCAAAAAATCAACAACTGAAAACCCCTTGTAGCTTACATGCGTTTCTTCTGCACTGTTAAATGTTGAATCAGAAAGTTAAACCTATGTAGTTTGCAATGAATTAAATTTTTTAGTAGTTATTCCATAAAGTTAAAGGTCAGTTCCATCATGTAACCTCAATCTAATAAATGATTTAAGATAACCCACGTTTATAACCAACATGATCAATGTCAACTTGGTCTAAAATTTTAAAATACTTACTGAAAGGACTTTTGGCAGTGAATTTTTCAGATTCCAAAGGTTTACTGACACCAACACTGTTTTCAGCCATAACACGGAACATATATTCATTGTTTTCAGCCAAGTTCTGGATACAGTAGCTAGTGATTTCTGGGTTCACCTTCTGGACTTTGGTCCACTGCATTCTCTTTACATCACGTTTCTCAATATAATATCCAGTAAGAGGGGAACCACCGTCATCCTTGGGTTCCTTCCATTCAATTGTTATCGATGTCTTCTGGATATCTGTGGCTTTGATTGGTCCAGTTGGTTTACCTGGCAACTCTGAAATTAAAATGTTTTCATTGGACAATGGAAATTTTATAAATAAACCAAGTACTTATGATTCGAACTGCAAAACAAAACCCGAAATCTGTAACAACATTTGGCAGCTAATGAACTTTTCATATGAAGAAATATATCAATCATAAGTAAGTAAGTACCTCATAATTAAAAGTGGTATCAGGTGTCTAGAAGAGCAAGCATCTCCAAGATGGAAAAAATCAATGTGATAAAACAGACTTTAACATGGATTTCCAAATTGTCTTCATTCAATTAGTTAAATTTCGATATTTACTCAATTTAGTATTTGCCTAATTCTTTCAAAAATATCTCAAAGTATTAATTTTTGTCCTAATCTATAGATGTCTTTTCTATACATTGCAGTGTCTTGTCATTTTAGCATTCAAATGCAGATATTTCTGGACACACATGGATTTAAAGGCTCAAATTTCGACAGTGGGCTGTGGACACTATTACTGATTGGCTTAGCTAAAATATTTCTGTTTTTGAGACTAAGGTACGATTGGTCAAAAATTGGGCACCTGTCACATTTTGAGAAAAAGGCCCATACAGGATATCATAAGAAATCTCGTATTGAGAAAATATCTAAACTGACCTGGTTTACGTCTGGGAGTGACAGGTTCGGATAATAGCCAGTTGCTTTTACCAATATCATTAACCGCTTGGACACGGAACACATATTCCTTTCCTGTTCTCAGGTTCATGGCTTTATGGTTGGTCTTGGTACATTTAGTGATCTCGGTCCATTCCTTCTCATCCAGGGTGTATTCCACAAAGTAGTGATTGATGGGTGAACCACCGTTATCCTCTGGTGGTTGCCAGGTCAATGTGACTGACGTCTCCAAAACTTCACTGATCTTTAGTGGACCTTTGGGAGCTGATGGTTCTTCTACAAAGAAAAGGTGAAAGAATTTGAGTATGGTACCATTGAGAGCTTCACTTGATACATAGAGGACGACGGGGGAAACACGTCGAAACGTTGCATAAAACTTTAACCAGTTATTGTTGTTCCATAAAGCTGTGTCTATATATAGAAGTGTAGCTTGTGAAAATTTTAAAGGTCTTTTAAATCAATTTAGAGTAAAGCTGAATTATAAAAAGAATATTTTCTAATACAAAAGTACATAATTCAGACTGCCAAAATCATAATAAATCCTTATCAGTAAGACGAATCATGATAAATTAATCTATAAAGGAAATTAAAATCTGGCTGGTTCTACTTACGTGGTTTTCTCATGGGTTTCACTGGTTTAGGCATGTCTAATGGTTCACTTATGCCTTCATCATTTTCAGCAAATACTCGGAAATAATATTCTAGTCCTTCTGTCAGGTTCTGAACACAATACGTTGTTATGTCTGGACTGATCTTGTCTACTTTAATCCAGGTCATTCTCTTGACGTCCCTGCGTTCAATGACGTAGGACTTCAATGGTAATCCACCATCTGATTTTGGTGGTTTCCAAGCAATAGTCACGGAAGTGGCCAAGATATCAGAAGTTTCAAGTGGACCTTGTGGAGCACTTGGTACACCTGGAAAAGTTAAAATTAATTTTTAATTACTATGCCCAGAATGGTGAATTTACCCAAAAGATGAAAGGTGACCAGCAAAAATATAAGCAATGTTGATGTTGATGATAAGCAACTTGATGTTTTAAATGTTAACCATTTGGGTTAAATTGATACACATAAAATATCTGACTTTATTTTAAATGGATACCTTTCATTCACTTGACCTTTAGCAATTTGTATTCAGATGTCTTACTGCTCACACAATAACAAAGAACAATAACTCTATAACTATTTACCTTGAGTAACATAAAGCAGAATATCTTAAAAAATGGTGTCTGAAAAATACTTACTGTATGGGCTCTTTGGAGTGACACTCTCTGATTCCAAAGGAGCTGATCTTCCTACTAAATTATCAGCCAAGACCCGGAAAATATATTCCTGTCCTTCTTTAAGATTCTGGACACAGTAGCTGGTGATATCTGGTTTAACAGTGGTCACTGGACTCCAGCTGGTCTTCCAGGACTCTCTTTTTTCAATGATATAGCCTGTGATAGGTGATCCACCATCTTCTTTACATTTACCCCATGACAGAGTTAAGAATGTTTTGTTGATTTCTGAGAATTTGATAGGTCCTTCTGGTGCACCTGGTTTCTCTGGAAAGGATATGATGTCTTTGATTAATTCGAGTTTGATTTTGATAAATATCAATTGGGATATGAATAACAGGAATGGACTATTTTGAGATAATTGTTTAACAAGATTGTTAGTTGGATTGTTAATTTGATACTATTTGATAAACAAATAATCATATTTACTGGTCATTCAGATATATTCTCATGACTTTACTTAATTTGGTTTAATTCTGGATCATTCAACAGATCCAAGATCCCAAAGGCATCATCATGTCTGTTAATTACATTTAGATCCTTCGGACAATAAGGTGCCGTTAAAGCTGGGATATCATTGTGTATGAAGACAGTTTCATATAACTCCAAAGAAAAGGAGCACCTACCTAGTTTCTTCTTGGGTGAAATAGGTGATTCTGTTTCCAGAGGTTCACCAACACCAAGTCTGTTTTCAGCAGCAACAGAGAAATAGTATCCCTTATCTTCTTTCAGACCTTTGAAGGTGTATTTGGTATCCATAGATCGGATAGTTTCCACTTTCTTCCAGTCTTTTGTCTTCTCTTCTCTCATACTGAGATGGTAGTTAGTCACCTTGGCTCCACCATCATCTTTAGGTGCTTGCCAGTCGATTGTGACACTATCTTTACTGATATCTTTAACGTGGATATCAGCTGGTTTGGACGGCGGTTCTGAAAAAAGTAAGACAAGATAAGCATATTATGTTAAACATGGTAAGTGATCTATCTGCTGTCATGCACCACTTTACTTTTAACTAATGTTTTGAAAAGTCTTGAAATATTCATATTGAGCCAATGGTAGGTTACCCGTCTGCTGTTTTATATGACAGAATATTTCTTTTGTATATAACTTATGTGTTGATAATTCATTTTTTGTCTGAATGTTATTGTTAATAAACTGCTGCAGTGATTGAAGTAGCAAGGTATGTTGGATCTGATTGTGTCAGTCTTTGTAGATGAAGTTTAGATATGTTTCTTTTTTTGGTTGACTTACCTAAGACTCTCTGTGGCTTAACAGTTTCTTTAGATTCCAGAGCAACACTGGATCCCTCTTCATTGATAGCAACAACTCTGAACAGATACTCAGTTCCTTCTGTCAGGTCTTCAGCTTTAAATGATGTAGCATCAGGACCAACAGTTCCTGCTTTCATCCAGGTAGGACGGCGTGCATCTCGGTATTCTAGTTTGTACCCAGTGATAGGTTTTCCACCATCATTCTCAGAAGGTTTCCAAGAGATGACAGCAGAATTGTGGGTAATATCAGAGAACTCTAGAGGACCTACTGGTTTACCTGGTGGATCTGGAAAATATTGGAATACAATTATTATTCAAATCAAGTAAAAGAAATTACCCAACCACACAATTTTGTTAAAAATTTTAATCTTAATAATAATACTCGATTTGATATCTTTTAAAAGGTTTCATAAAATATTATGTCTTATCAAATATAATCCAGTAACTTTTGAAAGTTTAAAACTAGAACTACCAGTTTTGTGGAAATTCAAATCTGGGCAAATAAAGGAATTCTTTTCATTAGCTCCTACCAATGTTTCGTCAAAATGTTGTTTTAGATTTCGGGTTTCGTTACGCGGTTCGGATCGGATCAGTTTATTTATTTCAGAAGTACCATCAATGGTAAGAAATGAAATTTTTATAACAGCAGTATAACTCACCGAATGGACTCTTTGGTTTGATTGTATCTTGTGTTTCTAATGGTTCACTCAATCCAAGTTTATTCTCAGCTGTGACTCTGAAATAATATTCCGTTCCTTCTATCAGATTCTGGAACTTGTATTGAGTCTTCAAGTCTTTGACCTTATCCACTTTAGTCCAGGTGGATTTCTTGGCTTCCCTTTTCTCAAGAACATACCCAGTAATAGGTAAACCACCATCATCAAGAGGTTCCTTCCATTCTATCAACACAGAGTTTCTCTCAATTTCAATAGCCTTGATTGGACCCACTGGTTTGCTGGGAACAGCTGAAATATTGATTAATAAAAATATATTGATAATTTTCAATCTGATAAATATCCAATAAACTCAAATAAACCATAAGCATCTTTTGCGATAATAGAAATAGAGGTCTGTCTGTTAGGCAGCTGTAGAGGTTACAGTTCAAACTGCTCTGTGAAAGCGCATAGGCAAGAGCCTTCAATTGAGCATCTGAAAAGATGAAAGATGTTTGAAAAATAGAACTGAATTGTGCCATCTGACAAATATTTTGGGGCAAAAACGTATAAAAATCATATTTCTAAATTCTTGGATAATTGGAGGTACGACACCACTGACAACACCAATGAACCCAACAAACTAAGAATGAATAAGAATCATTATCAGCAGATAAAGAAGTATCTTTCTCACAGCTGAGACTCTTCAAAAAGAAAAACAGCACAATCAACTCACTGTCTGCTTTCTTTGGTTTAACAGCTTTGTCAGTTTCAACTGGTTCACCATAGCCAATTTCATTTTTAGCAGAAACAGCGAAAAGATATCCAGTTCCTTCTTTTAGATCAGTGACCTTGAACTGTGTGTCATAACCTTTGACTTCATCAACTTTGACCCATTTGTCAGATTTTTCATCACATTTCTCAATTTTGTATCCAGTGACCTTGGAGCCACCGTCTTCTGTTGGTGCTTTCCAGTCCAGTAGGACGAAATCCTGACCGACTTTGGCAACCTTCAGTTGTTTTGGGGCTTCAGGTGGGTCTGGAAAAATAAACAGTCACATGGCATGAGAAATAGAACCTTGGATTGAAGCAATGCAAACAAGTAAGAAGAATATTTGACTTATTTCTGGAAGAATAGAGAAAACACAATATCATATGTTTGACTTAAGCCATGAAAAGACGAGGCACAGTGTTCACTATGGTGTACAGGGCTAAATTATTGATACAGTAGAAAATATTAAGAGTGAAGCGTGCCTGCACTGTGTTCGACCCCATACATTGTGTATTCACTTCTATTTTCAACTGTTACGATAATCTCGATCTTTTAGCCATACCTCATCTTTCCACCTTAAGACTTCTCCTATCTATTAAAATTGTTAATTACAATGTAATACGTAGTATAGATTACATATCACTAAATGAATAGGCTAAATAATAACCAGTCTACAGATACACACAGATATACTTACAGATGTTGACATCACTGATAGATGAGTTATCAAGGTCTTTAAAGAAATAAGGATTATGCAAATAACATGCATAGTAACTTACTGATCTTCTTCTTAGGTTCAGCTGTTTGTTTGGTTTCAAGTGGTTCACTCTTTCCTTCGTCATTAACAGCAATAACTCGGAATAAATATTCATTTCCTGGTTTTAAATCACCTACAGTGAATTCTGTTTTATCAGCATCTACACTACCAACTGGAGACCATACAGATTTAGTGGAGGGTCTCATCTCAATAATGTAGGATTTCAGTGGAAGTCCACCATCAGATTCTGGAGCTTTCCATGTCAAATCAGCTGTTTGGTCAGTGACATTGTCAATGGTTAATGGACCACCTGGTTTGGATGGTTTATCTGTAATTCAAAGCGAAACATGATCAGTCTAAGATAAATATCTTAAGGTTAAGGAGTAGTTTATTTTGAATTATGTAACAGGCATTAGCCTTTTCCTTCAGAGAATTGTTTAAAAACATGTTTAAAATAGTTGATGATGTTTAACTGCCAATATTCACTTTTGAGATCAAGAACAGCTAAATATCAGGAGACTACATACTAATGGTTATTATTATCCATATACACATAAAATATGCAAAAATTAGACAAAATACCAAATATTATTTTTAATAATCTTCACAAAATCTACTTATAATTGTGATATCTTATATGGAAGACCGAACAGCCCAATATTAAGACAAATTACTTGACAAATTATTGATATAGAGAACAAATTTTGATTTTTATGAACTAATGATCATTTTAAGAAACAAATGTCAAAATGACCAATAAATGAAGGAGTTGGAATTAAGCATTATGGACGAAGGATTAAGGATTAAGACATCTTAATATTGGGCTGTTTGATCTTCCATAATCCTATTCTATGGGAATATAAGAGAATAATGACTTACCAAATTTACTCTTGGCTTTGATTGGTTTGTCAGTTTCCAATGGTTCACTGGTTCCAATTTTATTTTCAGCCAAGATCTTGAAATGATACTCAGTGTCTTCAATTAGATTGGAAATCTTATAAACTGTTTTTTCAGGGCTGATTTTTTCAACTTTAGTCCAGATACCTTTCTTGGCTTCACGTTTTTCAATGATATAGCCAGTTAAAGGTGAACCACCATCATCTTTAGGTTCTTTCCATTCTAGAGTGACTTCTGTTCTATCAATATCTATAGTTTTTATTGGACCAGTTGGTTTACTGGGTGCAGCTATAAAAAAGGGGAAGAAACTTATTATAAGTAGAATGTGCCAAGATAGCATTGTCCCTCAAAGACAAAAAGGGTCAAAAACCCTAATTTGGGTAAAAACTGTTGTTTTCTTTGTGGAGTCTGCCTGTGGCATATTTAGGCAGTATTTTTGGGCCCTGACCCCCACTTAGACCAAAAATCTGTTCTTCTACTTTCACTTCCAACATCGCTTTAGATGTATTCTCCAGTCTCTCACATTAGCAAATTTTCAAGTCGAGGCCGGCTTATACCCTCACCATGGCTAATGTCAACTTACCTTCTTTCCTCTTTGGTTTAACAGCTTTGTCAGTTTCAACTGGTTCACCATAACCAATTTCATTTTTAGCAGAAACAGCGAAAAGATATCCAGTTCCTTCTTTTAGACCAGTGACCTTGTAGGATGTATCATAACCTTTAACCTCTTCAACTGTGACCCATTTATCGGATTTCTCTTCACATTTCTCAATTTTATATCCAGTGACCTTTGAACCTCCATTGTTTTCTGGAACTTTCCAGTCCAGCAAGACAAAGTCATCACCAACTTTGGAAACTTTGAGGCTTTTAGGAGCATCTGGAGCCACTGAAAGCAAAATCACAATTTTTTAAGTTTAAAATTTACTTTCACTTTCCACTTTCTGCTAAAGCACTTGGTATTTTTTACCCATTTAAGAAGTTTTTCAACGTTCAGTTTGTTTAATTTTGATCATGGTACAAGAAAAAATCAATCAAAGACTCACCAATCTTTTTCTTAGGTTCAGCTGTTTGTTTGGTTTCAAGTGGTTCACTCTTTCCTTCATCATTAACAGCAATAACTCGGAATAAATATTCATTTCCTGGTTTTAAATCACCTACAGTGAATTCTGTTTTATCAGCATCTACACTACCAACTGGAGACCATACAGATTTAGTGGAGGGTCTCATCTCAATAATGTAGGATTTCAGTGGAAGTCCACCATCAGATTCTGGAGCTTTCCATGTCAAATCAGCTGTTTGGTCAGTGACATTATCAATGGTTAATGGACCACATGGTTTGGAAGGTACGTCTGGAATAGTTTTAAAAAAATCACTGATTACTTATAACTGATAACTAATTATGACAAACTTCTTTTAAATTGAATTGTGAGCATGCCCTACCTTGACAGAAATATCCACAGTTATCAGAATTGTAAACACATGCCCAAATATTTGTTATCTAAAAATCACTGAACTTACCAAATTTACCCTTGGCTTTTACAGCAGTTTCAGTTTCCAGAGGTTCACTAACACCAACTTTATTTTCAGCTGAGATCTTGAATTGATAATCTGTACCTTCAGCCAGACCAGTCACCTTATAGATAGTAGCATCAGGGCCAATCTTCTCTACCTTGGTCCACAAACTCTTCTTGGCTTCACGTTTTTCAATGATATAGCCAGTCAAAGGTGAACCACCATCATCTTTAGGTTCTTTCCATTCTAGAGTGACTTCTGTTCTATCAATATCTATAGTTTTTATTGGACCAGTTGGTTTACTAGGTGGGCCTGTGAAAAATATCAGTGAAATAGTAAAACCAATAGGAACAGAAATGAAAAAAAATTCATCAAAAGCAAGACAAGACAATTCTATTAATCAAAATCTCGTCCAAATTATGGCAAAATCAAGAGTAGTAGTTGTATAGTAATGGACTTCTCCAATCCAAAGAGAAGTAACATCAGATGTTTCGAAAAGAGAAAGCATGTAATATACAGTTTACTCAAATATTATTTTTGAACAGTCAATCAATAATTATGGTATAATTTATTCATGTCCATGCAGATACTTTGTTTGCTTTGACTGAAGGTCCAGCAACCATTTAGGTTTGGAAATTTCAGAGTCAAAGATTTTCAAATGACAGAAATTACTTACATTCTTTTCTCTTTGGTTTAACAGCTTTGTCAGTTTCAACTGGTTCACCATAACCAATTTCATTTTTAGCAGAAACAGCGAAAAGATATCCCTTGCCTTCTTTAAGACCAGTGACCTTGTAGGATGTATCATAAGCCTTGACCTCTTCAACTGTGACCCATTTGTCAGATTTTTCATCACATTTCTCAATTTTGTATCCAGTGACCTTTGAACCTCCATTGTCTGCTGGTGGTTTCCAGTCCAAAAGAACAAAATCATCACCAACTTTGGAAATCTTCAGTTGTTTGGGAGCTTCAGGGGCAACTACAAAGAACAAAATTTAAATGAAATGAACTCAAACAAGGCTGTAGCACTATCCAGTCTGGGTGGGTCTAAAATGCAGATTCAGAAAGACACTCAAAGTAATGCTCTTTACAGTCTTGACCTCGGTTGTATTGCAAACAGTCTTTATTTTTCTGTATAAATTGAAAAATTATTTAGGAAATATAATCCTTATGAGAAGTTTTGTGCAGATTGTTGCTATTCCTTTCATATTATTATGGTGATTCTACTTTTTTGAGGAAGTGAACCACATTTTACATTAAATAATTCAAACTTTGTGATCTGTGCTTTTTATGGGAAGGTTTTTCTTTTATCAATCTCATGCCAATCAAAGAAATTGCATTGCTTACCTATCTTTTTCTTAGGTTCAGCTGTTTGTTTGGCTTCCAGAGCAGGACTTTGACCTTCATCATTAACAGCAATAACTCTGAAATGATACTCGCTACCTGGTTTCAGGTCAGGAACAGTGAATTCTGTAGTTTGTCCATCCACACTACCAACTTGGTCCCAAACAGATTTAGTGGAGGGTCTCATCTCAATAATGTAGGATTTCAGTGGAAGTCCACCATCAGATTCTGGAGCTTTCCATGTCAAATCAGCTGAGTTCTCAGTTACGTTGTCAACAACCAATGGTCCTGTAGGTCTGGAAGGTACGTCTGAAACAGAAAAGAAATATAAAGAACAAATAGATGGTACTTATTCCTACTTTTTTTTTTCGTGTTTTGTTCTGAAGAAGAAGTACTAGGTTAAAAAATCTGCCCACACAAAAATAGAAATGCAGAATTACTTTTTTGGCCATTTCAAACAATACACTGCCCTTTTTGTTCTGTTACTGTTTGATTAACAGTAAGTCTAAGTATGTGTGTATCAAAATGAAAGAGCTATCAAGAGTACAGCTGGAAATAACTGCTGAGGGAAGCAGCCAAATTTAACAGCTAAATTTACAAGGAAAGAACAATGACTCACCAAAGCCACTGGTAGGTTTAATGGTGGTTTCAGTCTCTAGTGGTTCACTAGCACCATGTTTATTCTGGGCAATAACTCGGAAATAATACTCAGTACTCTCAATCAGGTTCATAGCCTTGTATTCTGTGGTTTCAGCATCCACATGATCCATGGTAGTCCAAGATGGCCGTCTGACCTCCTTTCTCTCGACTACATATCCTGTTATTGGTGATCCACCATCATCTGTGGGAGGTTTCCAGGACAGGGTGGCAGAGGTTCGATCCACGTCACTAATTGTCAGAGGTCCAACTGGTTTTTGAGGGGGTCCTTCAGGTCGTTTTGGAGTAATGGCTGAATCTGTTTCTTCGGGAATACCAAATCCAGCTTCATTGCCAGCAGAAACAGCAAAATAATATTCCAAATTCTCTGTCAGATCTGAGATCTTATATTGGTTATCATAAGCCTTGATTTCAGCAATTTTGACCCACTGATCTGTTTTGGCATCGCTCTTTTCAATTTTATAGCTAGTGATCTTGGAACCGCCATCTTCAACTGGAGCTTTCCATTCCAGAAAAACGTAATTTTGACCGACTTTAACAGGCTTCAAATTTCTCACCTGACCAGGAGGCACTATAAAAGAACAACCATGTTTAAAAATGGAGATTTTGGCATGTAATTTAGATAAAGATGTGAAGAACGTGAGGATACATACAGTAAGATGAGTGTTGTATCACATGGAAAAAACTGAAACAACCCTCACTGGGTAATCTACAGGCTAACAAAATTAATTAAGATTTGAGATGAATCTTACAACAATATTAGTTGGCCATGAAATCCACTATCAAATAAACAAAACCCACTTTCTCCTAGTTAAATCTGACAAATATATAGGTATTCAAAGTACAAAACCATAGATATCTAACTTTGTTTCTTCATGTGCAACCATTTTTTGAATTATTACCATAGTAAAACTAATGCTTACAGATTTTCTTGGTAATTTTGACTGTGTCTTTAGATTCAAGAGGTTCACTTTGGCCCTCAGCATTCATGGCAGTGATTCTAAACAGATATTCATTGCCTTCTTTCAAATCCAAGGCAGTAAACTTCGTAGTTTGTCCATCGACACGTCCTGACTTGGTCCAGGTGGATCTACTAGTTGGTCTGACTTCAATGATGTAAGCAGTAAGAGGAGATCCTCCATCTGTTTCTGGTGCTTTCCATTCTAAATCTGCTGAGTCATTGGTAACATTATCAATGATAATTGGTCCAACAGGTTTTCCTGGTTTGTCTGCAGAATGAAAAATAGAGCAGAATGAAAAATAGTTATATTAGTACAGTTATGATGATGTACAGAGCTGCTGTTCTTCAATGCAACAGTTTTAAGAATGAAACCGAGTTCCACTGGACAATGTCCCAACTAGATGAGTGTGGGCTTAAGTGAGTTGGGATCCCACCCTGGGAAAATTTGTTTTTAACATATTATGCTCTCCTGCATTTTTTTCTGATTCAAACAGACTCTATGTTAGTTGAGCAACTGCCACTGGGATATGCCTGTTTCAAATGATTACTGAGGTAGATGTCACTTCTGAGATAGCATATATTCACTTGTACAGGACACCTCATGTAACTCTACAACAGGGTTGTTTAACTTATGACTTTTCATCATGGTCTTTGGCCGCTTTCTCTATATAATTATTAATCAAAACGGGAATAAGGGCACAAATTACTAAGGCAAGGTCGACACAAAGACTTGTTATGTGAATCATTCCACTTACCAAATGGACTCTTGGCTGTGACTGGTTTCTCAGTTTCTAATGGATCACTTTGTCCAGCCTTGTTCTCTGCAATAACTCGGAAATAGTAAGAAGTACCCTCGATCAAACCAGGTACATTGTATTCTGTTGATCCTGCTGGTGCTTTACCAACTTTAGACCAGTTATTTCTCTTGGTGTCTCTCTTCTCAATGATATAACCAGTAATGGGAGAACCACCATCATCTTCAGGAGCTTTCCAGGCAATGGTAGCATTGTCTCTCTGTATATCTGTTACTTCCAGAGGACCTATTGGTGCTGATGGAGCAGCTGAAAGACAAAATTCAGATCATGAACACAAAGTAAATGGACTTTCACGTTCTATTATCAAATCATAAGCACAAAATGAAATTATTACTACTTTCCATTATCAAAAATGAAGACAGAATAAAATAATCTCTTACTGATTTTCCTTTGTGGTGTGACAGAGTCCGAAACTAATGGTTCACCAACTCCGACCTCATTCACTGCAGAAACTCTGAATTTATACTTGGTTCCTTCTATCAATCGTTTGGCATCATAGGTAGTGGTTTTACCATCGACAGAGTCAATAGGTGTCCATACTTTATCGTTCTCACTGATTTCAATGGTATAGCTCTTGATCTTTGATCCACCATCTTTCTTGGGTGGAGACCAAGATAGTTTCACAGAGTCAGCTAATACCTTGTCAAATTTGATTGGACCGATGGGTTTTCCAGGGACAGCTGAAAATAAGAAACATGTATATAAAATAATATTCCACTTGTCTTTTAGGTACTGAAAATTATATCACTGTTATGAGAACGAAGTCAACACTGGATTGTAACCTGGAATTAAGTTGTTCTTTGAAAGGAAAAAGCCAATCCTTTTTCAAATAATGTTTTTACATATTTTACAAGATGCCAGCCTGATATCACTTAACTTGAAACTAAATAGTAAAATTCTGTGCTATTTTGATATATATTGTATTATTGCCAGTTGATATACATAACGTAGACACCATATTAGTGAGTTGATATGTAGCATATTCTATGGCTTTCCTTTAAGCCACGATTAGATGAGGTACGAAGTAGTACAAAGCAAAAATATTGATACAGAAGATAAAATAGAAGAAGTGAATACACGAGGCATGGGTCTAGAATTTGATAATTTGATAATACCAACTTTGTACTATACCAACCTGGAGGTTTCTTTGGAGTGACTTCATCAGATTCCAAAGGTTCACCTTGTCCTTCAGCATTGACAGCGCTGACACGGAAAATATAGGGAGTATCTTCAATAAGTTTACTAATATTATATGTCAAAGTTTTCTCATCCACAGTAGCTACTTTAGACCAAGATGTCTTCTTTCTATCTTTCTTTTCAATGACGTATCCAGTTATTGGAGAGCCTCCGTCAGTTTCTGGGGCTTCCCATGTTATAGTGGCGCTATCTTCTTTTATATCTGAGACAGTTATAGGTCCTAGTGGTTTACCTGGCTTACCTGTCAATCATAATATCAAAAGAATTAGTTATATGGACTCCCTTACACATGAAAGAAAAAATATTTCATCAAGTCAAAGTTTTTCACTGCAGTTTTTCCATGTTAGAGTTGAACAATGTTTGTTTAATGAAAGTACTACTGCTGTAAATTATTTCAAATCTTAAATTGTAATGTAATTATGTAATAATCAAGAAAGTTACATTTAAAATTCATGAAAAAGATTATTACGCTGAAAATACGAAAGAATAAACTTTTAAATATAGACAAAAACTTATATAATCCTGTACTCACCATATTTACAAAATGTATTAAAATCTTCACGAAAATATTTACAATTGTTTATGACTGGCATCATGCAGCATAAACAAAATCGCGATTAACAATATTAAAAAATACACTGTCCAACTGAAAAATCTGCTACATGCTAAATCAACAAAAATCATCAAAAATCAACAATAAACACAAATTAAAACATCAAATTAAAATCCCATTCAACACACAAAACATTCATCTCCAATTTTCACAGCCGTTGAAAACAATCCTGGTTTATTTTTTTAATCCCAAAAAGTTTTAGTCTACAATTTCCATGGATAACAAATTCTTAATTCATTCCACTTTGTTATCCATGGAAATCAAGCAATTATTTATATCTACAGTTAAGTAAGACATGCAAGTTTAAAGGTACAAAAAGGAATGGGAGAGGAAGAAGGAGCAGGGGGACACAAATACACAGCATGCTTTAAAATTGCAAAAACTACGTGACAAAAACTAAAATTTTCTAATGAATAAATCTTTTATTAATGAACTTCTAAAATAACATAATGATTAAAATGATATGGATATTACACTGTATAGTATTAAACAACAAAATCTTGAAAAATATCATCAAAATTCTTAAAATAACAACAAATAGTATTGCATACTGTCAATGAACAATATTATACGAGTAACCCTAACTTATTTTGAAGGGGGGTGGGGGAACTTGTAAACTAATACAATGCTTTATCTGTTAATATGATTTTAATTATATAAAACTATCTTGTTTAGTTCATTTGATATGTCTATTGAAAGGGTGGGTGGTGTCGGTGGGGCCCTGGGGGGGGGGGGGGGGGGGACTTGTAAACTAATACTCTTCTATATTAATAATTTTAATTATCATATAGCTATCTGATATTGATATGTATATTGAAGTGATGGGGGGGGGGACTTATAAGCTAATAATCTACTATTTTAATACTAAATCTGTTAACATGATTTTAATCTTATAAAACTATCTTTATATTGAGGGGGGGGTGGGGGGGGGGGGGGACTGATAAACTAATACTATCTTGGACTAATACATATTAATTAATAGTAAATATCAATGTTTAATTATATATTGAATATCTGAAACAAATCTTACTCTATATAGATAATTAATCCTGATATTGGTATTATCAACTCTATTATCTTAATTCATTCAATATCACCTTTTTTAATTATTCAGTTCGTTAAATGATAACTAAGATAGTTTTTCTTAAATCATTTTTATTTTCAACTATGTGATGACGACTCTTTACTATTTTCTTAATTAGCATTGATTAAACTATGTATATCTTTGGCCATTTAGATAATTATTCTGCTTTAACATAGCCTTAACAGAAAGAAAATCTATCTTAATATTTTGTGATAATATATATTTCAGTATTCAAGTCAATCAGATTGGTTTACTATCAAATAATTTGTTCCATTGCTCATAATATCATAAATGCATTATTATCAACACTAATATTTGGAAAACAAAACTTAACAAAAATCTAACAAAACTATTAACAGAGATATTATTATATCATTATATCATATGAGTATTAGATATATTTTCTTAATATCTTCTATATATTGTTTTATTTGGAATGTTAAAAATAAGGAGGATATATACGATATTAACATACTTCTTTTGCCATTTTACATTTTAAAATGATTTTTCTGATATATTTGAAAATAAGTTCAATATAGTATTATTAATGGAATGCTGCAAAGACCATGGTGAATATATACAAGTATTTATAGCCTACTGATTTTCCTAAAAGTTTTCAAAATATTCAATATGTTATCATGGTGCATATAATTAATAATAATAATAATATTTATTTCTTATATATAGGGCATTCTACGATAATATCACCGAGCTTCAAATCAGTGGTGGAACCAAAGGGGGGGGGGGGGCAGAGGGGACAGGTTATCTCAGATATCTTGCCCCCCCCCCTCGCCCCCCTCTCGGAAGTCAACCTGGCTCCACCTCTGCTTCAAATATAACATATTGGTAAAATATTAGTAGCAGCTAATGAACTATTTACTAAGTTTAATTTGCCAATTAATTTGTTACTTATTAATTGATTTTCTTAAAAAAATTCTAAGCTATTATTTCTATCGTGATGTCACAGAGCCTTCATATTCAACATCGATATCATTAATATGCCTTTTATAGCCATTTTATAGTTTAAAAATATACATAGAAATAAAATGAAATGTAATGGTATATAGATATATATTGATAAAATATTTAAAAAATATAAAAATCTATAAAAGAAATCTCCATAGTTGTCGTCTCAAAAAAAACAAATTGATATGAACTCTTATCTTTTATCACAGTTCAGGGGAATGTCAATATTTATGATATCTCTATTATTAACTTGTTATTGGTGAAAATGTGATTAAGTACAATTTATTCATAACTTTTTCTTGAAACAATCAAAAAGCTGCCAAAATAAATTTTGTTAGATCAGAATTCTTTTAGAAAATATTTCAACGAAAGAACGATCAATCTCACAATAAATGAAACGGCTTAACCTTGTATTAGGCTACATATACAAAGATTTTATTGTTTGAAGTTTTGGGCCAGTGAGGGCCTTATGTAGGAATGCTCTAGTATAATATGATGCAACTTGTTTCAACAGCTATATCAAAAAGACCTGGCTACGATAAATTAAGATTAAGTCCAAATATTTTAATAGATACATGATTACAACTAAAATGAACTAAATTCTAATTCTAAAAAAAAATATGTTAAAAATGTTTTTAGCGAAAATTTAAATCAGTTTTCATGATGTATAAAATACTACCAATTTCTAAAAATTACTGATCAAGCTACACACTAACAAATCAAAATCAAAATGTCTGAATTAGTATTTTCACTACAACTCACAAACAACAATCTGGTAATCAGTGAATCACACCAAACCATGCCTCTTTAACCTACCGAATGGACTCTTTGGTGTTACAGGAGAATCCATGGCCAGTGGTTCCGAGATTCCAACTTCATTTTCAGCCGAAATACGGAAGTAATATTCTGTGCCTTCAAGTAATCCAGTTGGTGTGAAGGTCAAGGTCTCGCCGTTAACGCTACCAGCTTTAGTCCACATGGTGCGCTTGGCTTCTTTACGTTCAATGATGTAAGACCTGATGTCCACACCTCCGTCATCTTTAGGTGGTTTCCACGACAACGTCACGGCATTACGTTGAACATCCTCCACTGTGATTGGTCCTTCTGGTTTACCAGGTACATCTACAAGATTGAAATAAAAAGTGTTGCCTGTGTACTGTGTCACGTGATATTGACCTATATAGTAGTGGAGGGTGTCAAGCGGAGCAGACTATGCTTACTCTTTACGAAACACCTAATGTTACTTCTCTATGGAGGTGTCCACTACTATAAAACTTTTACTTCCGATTTTGCCATTCTTTGGACAAGATATTTGACTTGCTTCTATGAAATTTTATTGCATCAAATTTAATAATTACATAAACAACAAAAATCTATTTTTTTTTAAAGATATTTTGAGAAAATAGCAAACAAACTGAACCAAAGACATGAAAAACAAAAACTTACCAATGACAGCGACATCAAATTTAGATGAGATCTCGCCGGCATCGTTGACAGCCTTCAGTATATATAGTCCGTCATCTTCTACACCAATTTTCTTGATAGTCAAAGTTGTGGTCGTATCTTTTACATCTACTGTTACTCTTCCAGAAGTCTTCAATACCTTTTCTTCCTTACTCCAGGTGATAGTTGGTGTGGGAATGCCAGAATATTTGACAGGAATCTTCAGGGTAGCGCCAGATTGAAGTTTCACTACGTCACGGAATTTGTTATCGAACTCGAGATGGGGTGCAGCTGAAAATAGATTTTAAGATATAAAATCTGAAATAACCTTGTAAAACAAAATTAGGTTTTAAGTAATTACCTATTCAAGTTTTCAATACCAAAAAGAGCTGGTGTTCACACTGTTTACTTGTGGTTTAGAATAAATTGTAATCTGATTGAAGTTGTATTATACTGCCGTATATGGACGAAATTAAATTTTGGAGAAATCATTCAATGAATAATACCAAACGAGCTCAATATCCATTAGACTGTTGAGAACACAAAAAGAAAACCTATTAATAGAATCTCGTATATATGTGATTATTGAGAAATAGCACACTTTGATAAAATTTGATATTTTGAGAAACTAAGGCCTGGCAACACCTGCAGAAAGTCCTAAGTGTTACTCTTGAGAAAGCATTCACTTTACTTGTTGTTTTAAAATAAATTGTTAATCTTACCTTGAACAGTAAGTGTTCCAGTAGAGTTGATTGTACCCAGTGCATTCTTGGCTTCAATGGTATATTTGCCACTATCTTTTTCTGTGACATCATTAATGGTCAGGGTTGCCATGGTACCATCATATGTCATCTGATGACGCTTGTCTTCTGAGACTTCTTTTTTGTCTTTCATCCTGTGATAGAACATGGTAATTTTAAGAATTAGAATCAAAATAATTTTGAAGTGAAAAAGATCCCAAATCTATATTTCTCACAGAACTCAAACTATTTTAACAGCAAGTTTCAATTCTTTAGAAAAAACATTTCAGACATCTAAAGCTATTGTGCTATTTCAAAAAGAACATCAGTTATTGCATTAAGCAGATATTGTAGCTAATGAAACTGACTGGTAGGCATTTCTCAGGCCTGTAGATAGCTCAGGGTCTCAAGGGGGGCCAAAATATTTTAAGGTGACTCAGCTTTTTGACTCAAAAAGTCATTCAAGTTATCTAAATTTTTCAGGGGGTGCCCCTCCTTAGCTACGGGCCTAGCATTTCTAAGTTGATGGGGTTGAATTTTTTTCCCTTCAACAAAGCATAAAGGAACATTTATATATATATAGACAAATATATTTTAAATAAAACCTACCATTTAATAGTGGGTTGAGGTTCACCAGTTATCTGACACTGTATGATGACTGTATCATTGAGTAGAGCTGTCTGATCAGCTAGACCTTCTACTACAACTGGAGCATCACCAACTACAATAACAATAATTTATATACTTCCTCATATGAAAACTTCATTAGCTGCGACCAATGTTTCGACAATATGTTGTCTTGGATTAAATAATAAATAAAATCTAGATTAAGAACCCATACAACATGTAAAGTGAGAAGATGTGGAAGAGAGTTATAATAATGACCACTTACTAATAGGATCTTCAGCAGCAGTTGGTTGTGATGGTTGAGAAGGAGGAGATAACCCTGCTTTATTTTCAGCAAGAACTCGGAACTCGTACTCTTTTCCTTCTACCAAATCTTTAACAACGTAGTTAGGTTCGGGAACTTTCATGTTTTGGCTGTAAACAGACCATCTGATATCCTTCTTTACTCTCATTTCAATCACATAGTTAAACACTGGACTGCCGCCATCCTTCTCAGGTGCTGCCCATTTCAACGTCATGGAGTCCTTTGTAACATCAACGACTTCTGGTCGACCAGGAGCATCTGGTTTATCTGGAAAAACATGACACAATTCTTAATCCTGGTTCTATGAGACCTTCCTCATTGAATACCTATTACAGAGTATCACCTTTTGAGAGTTTGTCATAATCACAAGGAAAAATGCAACAAATAATTTGAGTTCAGAACTCAAGATCATAATCATTCAACAGAACATGTTGGATGATTTCATGGATTCTAGAAGAGGCTTGGCATAATATCTCATCTGCTTTGCTTTCAACAACTGACGTTGTCAGTCATTTAGCTTTCAGCCAGGAAATAGACTTTGTTGACATAATACACCATGATGAATTTGTGTGGGTTATTTTTGTTAAAGGGCTAAATTGTTGACAGGCATGGTAATCTATGTACCAATAATGATCTAATTATTACTTTTTTAAGATCTAAAATTGGGAACTTGAATCAATTGTGAATCACACAAAATCGTAAGCTTCCCTCTTACATATAAACTAATATTGGACCATTTTAGGATGCCAAAAGAGACATAGTTGTCTGACATTTATCTTTCTTTTCATCATACATCAGATCAATGGAGATCAAAGGATCAATCTTATGGTATTTCTCAATGTTAAATTCTACACTGACGACAAATTCTTATCGTAAGATTTTTTGTGGAACAGGACCCAAATGATTTACTTACCGAATGGATCTTTAGCTTTAATGGGTCCAATAGCTTGAGTGGCTTTACCAGCACCAGCGGCATTCTCTGCCATGATCCTGAATTCATAGTCGTCATTCTCGATCAGATCAGTGACTGTATAAATAGTATCACGAACAGGGCTCTTGTTACATTTCGTCCATCGTGGACTGGTTTTAGTCTTCTTCTCAATCAAATATCCAGTTACTGGGCTTCCTCCGTCGTTCTCTGGTGGTACCCAGGTTAATGTCACTGATGATTTTGTAACTTCGGTTGGTTGGAATTTTCGTGGCTCACTTGGTACATCTGAAAACAAAGTATCTAAAATGTTAGCAAGCTAAATATGTGATTCTGTGATATCTGAAGCTTAATCAAAAGGGGGTTACAAAAGTTTATGATACATAATGGTCTGGTAAATCAAATGAACAAAGAATTCATGAGAATCTCTATACTAGATCTCTTCTTTTACAAACCTAGAAATGACTTGGAGAAAGTGACTTCAAATCCTTCATAATAAGTCAGTGATAATAAATTTGTAAAATATAAAATTGAATAGAAGTTACATGGAGAAATTATTTCAAATCTTGTTAAACTGACTGAATAAAAGAGCCCACTTAATTTGTAAAATACAAAATTAAATATTCTAAACATACCATAAGGACTCTTGGCAACAATTCCTTCCAAGATAACAGCTGGTTCACTAACACCAACTTCATTTTCAGCAGAAACACGGAAATAGTATTCATTACCCTCCAATAGTTTCTGTACAGTGAAGGAGTTGGTTGAACCATCCACAGTGTGAACTGGCATCCAGGTGTTTCTCTTGGCATCACGTTTTTCAATGACATAGCCTGTGATATCACAACCACCAACTTCTGTTGGAGGTTCCCAAGTAAAGGCAATAGAATCTTTCTGGATTTCTACTGGTTTTAGGTTGCTTGGTTGAGATGGCTTGTCTGAAAAAATAGAAATGGATTTAATTATAACAAATTCTTTTCAAACTGTTAAAGTACATATCTTACAGAGAAATTCAAAAATATTAACATTACCAGTTTTTGTGGAGTTTTGAGTTTTTATTTTTCAATGTAATATAATACTGTTTGTGGTCAAATTCAATTGTGATCCATCATCGTTATATCTTACAGAAAACTGCTTTAATAAGAACTTACCTTTGACAATGACTTCAAAATCAGCTTCAGCCTTGCCTACTACGTTTTCAGCACAGATAGAGTAGATTCCACAATCATTCAACATGGCGTTTTTAATGGTAACTGTAGAGTATACGTCTGTTGTTTCTACATTAACACGTTCTGATTTCTCTAGAGGTTTATCTCCCAGCTGCCATTTGATTGTAGGTGATGGTATACCACTCACATTGACTTGGATCACCAGGGTTGAGCCAGCTTTCACTTTCTGGGCACTCTTTAATTTGTTGTCGTATTCCAGAACTGGTGGAGCTGTAAAGGAAAGAAATCAGTAGTCAGAAATTTTATTCAAAAGAGAAAATCCAAAAAAGAAGGAAAATTACATGATTGAAAAGTATTTCGGACCCTTCATGATGTGATATAGATATCTCAAGAGAGAATATATGTTTTCTATCCATAGCATTGTACACCACCTAAGATTGCTTTCATCTCAATCTGTGATCAGGGTTGTCAATATTAAATGTTTTCGAAGTTTACCTAGTATTCAGAATTATCAACTCAGCATCTATTTAATGAGTTCACTTTGTTAATATTATGTGGTTTTTAAGTTTTTTCAGAGAGTCCACATAGTTTATTATGTATTTAGGTTTGTCAAGTCATCATCTCTTTCAGAGAGTTCACATAGTTTATTATGTATTTAGGTTTGTCAAGTCATCATCTCTTTCAGAGAGTTCACATAGTTTATTATGTATTTAGGTTTGTCAAGTCATCATCTCTTTCAGAGAGTTCACATGGTTGGTATTCAGTATGCAAGAAACCACATTATCAATTATGATATTTCTTAAATGAATGTGTCAATGGGACAAATTCAAAGCCATTTGTACAGGATAGAATACTTACTGTGTATAGCTAGACTGCCTTCAGTTTGGACTTTACCCAGGGGGTTGGTGACTTCACATTGATATTTACCACTGTCACTGGGCTCAGTCTTATGGATCACCAGCGAGGCTACCTCGTCTTCATAGCTCATCTCATATTTCGACGATTTCTGAATTTCTTTTGAGGATTTAAACCTGGAGAAAAGGAAAAGGAACAAATTACAACAATTGTTAGCTTTTTAATTAGAGTTTTATATCCCCCTTTTATTTTCCTAGCTTTAACATCAATTGAAGAATAATCTAATTCTGATTCTAAAATATATTACTTTTAACAGTTTTAAATCATACTTTTATTCACCTTATTTCAATATCTCTGGGGTTGAAAGTGTCAAAGCAAAATTGATCGTGAGATTTTTTGTGGAACATGGCCCAGATTGACTGGTAAAGAACAAGAAAGAAAGGATCTCCTTACCATTTGATTTGTGATTCAGGTTCTCCAACATCCACATCACATTCCAGTATAGCATCTTTAGGTGCTACCACAATCACGTCTGATAACGGTTCTAATATCACTGGAGGTGTACCAACTGAAATAAAGATAATAGCTATTTAAACTGGGATGCATTCCACATTTTGAGATTAAGCTTTTTATATGACCAACTTTTCTAGCTGATACACCTTTAATATTTCTAGACTATACTTAAGAAAACTAAACCATGATTCAAATAGAATTTTCTGTTTTTATATAGAAAATTCTGATGGTGGAAAATTGCAGAGGATAGTAAGAACTTCTCTTGATTTATTCATATCAAGGAATTTGAGAGACAATTGGAGGGCAGAGAACATTAATGGAATGGATGGAATTCCCCTTTCTGAATGTTGAAACCATACTCACCAATTGGTTCTTCAACTAAAACAGGTTTAGTTGGTTCTGATGGTTCACCAACACCAGCACGGTTCTCGGCAGAAATACGGAACTGGTATTCAGATTTCTCCCGTAGTCCAGTCACACTGAAAGTTGTATCAGGCACTGTGGAATCATTTGCCTTGGTCCAGTTAAATGATCCTTTAGGTCGGTATTCAATGATATAGTTAGTGATTGGGCTACCACCATCAGATTCTGGTGGGGTCCATTTTAAGGCTGCAGATTTCTTGTCGGTTCCTGTTACTTCTGGTGCCGCTGGACGACCAGGGACAGCTGAAAATAAAAGCGAAAGTATTAGAATAAAATTTGGATATTGATTGATAATAAGTCTGAGATGAGTAAAATGATCTTTGCTGCTTAAACAAGTTTCAAGAAATTTTCCACGTAACAATATTTTAATACTGCATCCCTCAGGTTAAAAAATCCCATATCAACTGAAATTGTCTTATCCAATGACAATATTTTTCTCTGTAAAGCCACAGGTATGGCAAGCCAGTGATATGTTAAGATGCCGCATTACTTGTTTACTGTTGTCAATGACGTCTATAAATATAGACTGTTGTCAGCATGCTGAGAGCCAAAGGACTTTTGCAAAACCAGCTTTGATTGGAGGAAGATCAAATTTTGTCCAGTGAAAACTGTGAATCTAATTTATGCTTGGCAGGTTTTCCCTATTCTTTTTTTGTGTATGTGCTCTGCCAGGAATGAAATTTATTAACCTCTCAAGCACAATTGCGATGTAAATATGATGTTCTATCAAAGAAATGGTGTATGCTCTCAACCAATGAAAAGAGAGATATTTTTCGTTCATTTAATATACCAAGTTATTGACTTGTTATTCTTATAGTAAGCAACACTTACTCCATGGATCCTTAGCTTTGATACTTTCAGAGGGTTCACTCGGTTTTGAAGGACCAGCTAGGTTGACGGCAATAACTCGGAACTGGTATGTGTTGTCTTCTACCATATCAGTAATGCTGTAGGTTGTGTCTGCTACAGGTTCCTTGTTGACTTGCAGGTATCTAGGACTGAATCCAGACATCTTCTCAATCATATAGCCAGTGACTGGAGAACCTCCATCCTTCTCTGGTGGAGTCCAGGTCAATATTGCTGATGTTTTTCTTACTTCAGAGACAACTGGTGTTCCAGGAGCATCAGGTACATCTAGAATATCAGAAATTAAAGTTGAAACTTTATTTATTATTTTTGAAAAACTGAAATTTATGATTATGATTACTTTACATATATAAAATATACAAGGTTACTTTAATTCAATATAATATTATTTAAAAATATTCAAATTGCCAAAAGTTTGAAAAAAAAAACCCTCAATTTGTCAGACCAGAATACAAAATCCAGTATCCAAGGCTGTTATCTTATCTTTTTTCATCAATAATTATTCATCTTACAGTATTTTCGATGTCTTCAGCAACCTTCGATCTAAATTTTAAACCAAAACAGACAGAAAAATAATATTCTTTCTGAAATATAACTTACTAAACATGTGTTTAGCTGTGAAAGGCTCAGATTCAGTCGGTTCACTCAAACCAATTTCACTTCGAGCAAAAACTCGGAAAACATATTGACTATCTTTCACCAATCCTTTAACAGGAAGTTGAAGATCTGGAGTTTCACCGAGCTCGTTCCATGCATGTCTGATGACTTCACGTTTTTCAATCTTGTAAGATGTGACAGGTTTGCCGCCTTCATCTTCAGGAACTTCCCAGTGGACCACGGCTGATTCAATAGTAATGTCTGTTACTGTAACATTTCGTGGAGGTAATGGTTTGTCTGAAAGAGAGGAGTAGCTGGTAAAATCTTAATCTTTACTTTCACGAGTCAAAAACATCAAGGTCAAAGTAAGGTTTCCTTATACAGAGTATTCTGTTCATATCCAAAGTAAAGACATCTGAAGTTTGACTCAAGTTGATTTAAGAAATGAATGGCATTAACATTAAATATTTAACATTCTCTTGACAAGGACAGACTTCCCCTTCCATCAAACCCAACCTGTATAAAGTTGTAATAATCTACACTTTTTCATCAAACTGGAGTTTTAAGGATACTTACCAAGTACAACCAATTTAATATCAACGACAGCTTTGCCATTATCATTCTCCATGGTAACAGTATAACTTCCTGTATCGGAACGTTTAACGTGACCCAGTCTCACAGTCGTCATATTGTAGATGGTTTGAGCTTCCATTCGCTTCTTATCTGGAAGATCACCTCCATTGAAAGACCAACAGACTTTCGGTTGTGGATTTCCTGAGAAAGGGATCTCAAAGGCTGTAGATTGACCAACGTTGAGATAAACAGTTTCTTCAAACTTCTTGTCAATAAAAATCTTAGGTGGTGCTGTAAAACAGAATACAAATTACTATCATTTCCAGCTAAGATGGACTTAAGAGAGCCAATAACAATGAGTGCCAGTCATAATGAGAACCAGTAACAACAAGAGCCAGTAACAACAAGAGCTTGTAACAACGAGAGCTTGTAACAATGAGAGCTTGTAACAATGAGAGCCAGTAACAATGAGAGCCAGTAACAATGAGAACCATAATGAAAGCCAATAACAATGAGACAAATACAAACCTTCAACAAAGAGACAAGCCTTGGAAGATTTTCGTTTGGCAACAACTTTATAATCTCCTTCATCCTTTCCATCAACCTCATGGACAATCAGTTTCTGGACAGGTCCATCCACGATCATCTCATGTTTATCTCCAGGGAGTAGGGGCTTGTCATTGTGGAACCATACAGTGGCAATATTGGGTTTGTTCAGTTCAGCTTCAAATGTAGCTGTTCCTGGTATTACTTTGACTTCAATGTCTTCAATATTTCGTACAAATTCAATATTCTCTTCTGTAATGGAAAAATAAAAACGATTTTAGGAAAAGCAACAAAAACTTTCGAAGAGGCTTGGAACAACGTGTGGCGCCAGGCCTGGTATACCTACTCTTCTAGACACGTGACACCACTGTTCATTATGAAAATACTTACTCACTTATGATTGAAATGTTTCTACATATGAATAGTGTATTTGCTGTTATCAATTTATTGCCAAACTGTAATTTTAGATTTAGGGTTTCACTTTGCGGTTTTGTTCATTAGTACTTGTTTTTTGGGTTTGCTGTATGTCTTTCAAATATTTTGTGTGCCATATTTGTTGCTTTATTTCTAAACTCTTTAACAAAATACTGACCTTCAACCAGAACTTTAGCTTTGGAAACTTGATCTCCAACTTTAACAGAATATTCAGCTTGATCTTCCAGTTCAGCTTCATCAAGAGTCAGAGAGTGTAGAGTTCCGTCAGATTTGATCTTAAAACGACCTTCAGCCTGGACCTTGTTACCATCCTTATACCAGGTAGCATCACAAGGCTTGGAAACTTGGCATTCCAGGTAGATTTCTTGTCCCTCTGTGACTTGGATGTTGGCAAGCTGCTTCTCAATTTCAACTGGTGCTTCTGTTAGACAAAATAACAAGTATCATGAGTATAGGCTACCAGATCAAATGAAACTCATAAACTGAAGTGACTTTTGAAAGGTAAAAGTGTAATGGAATGCTCTGTTATACTGTTAATAATTTCATGTCCTAATAGGACAATAATAAACTTATAGGAGCTATAGGAGTTAATGGGCCTTTCATCATTCAGCCTATATTCACTAATACTCAGTCAGATTTTTGAGGTTCCTTTTATACTAGCAGTATATGATACTATCCCAAACATCCTTTGATATTATTAACAGTTTTTTGTGAATGTTGTGTCAGGCCCATAGCCAGGCTTGATTGTTCGGGGGTAGCAAGTGATATATCCGAAGGGGCAATTTGGTATTTAGCTGCAATGCATGCCCCCCCTCCCTTGCTCCCCTTCCCCATAGCTATGGGCCTGAGTTGCATGCTCACCTTTAACAGAGACACGAGCTGAGGTCTTCCTATCTTTAATTAGACATTTATAAACAGCTTCATCCTCCAGACTGGCATTGTCAATAGTCAGGGTATGGACACATCCTTTCACTGTCAGATGGACAGTCTCAGACTCTACCAGGTCGGTTCCATTCTTCTGCCATTTGGATGGTACATCTTCTTTGTTGACTTCACAAGACAGTACCAAGGATTGTTTCTCTGGAACTTCAGTGTCCTTCAATGGTTTGGTGATCTCAATGGGTAATTCTGAAAAGGTTGTCAGTGTGTGATGAGGTAAATATTTAACTAAGCTTAATATAATAATAATAATAATAAAAATAATAATAATAACAAACTCTTTATTTTGCATGGGTCACAATAAAGCCCAGTCAACAAGGACATGATCCTATCTTACATTCAGCCCTTGGGGACAGTATAATAAATGAATGAGAAAAAAAAAAAAATGTGGACTCTCCGAAAGAGATACCTAGTTGTAAAACTCAGTATCAAGTAATATTGAATGGATTCATTGTTAGCTATGTGGACTCCCAAAAGGAGAATCCATAACCTAGATGATACAGACAGTCAATGATATCTACATGCTCTAAAATCAAAGGGATGTTTAGGCTATGTTACAACATTTATTGTGAGGTGAAAATTTCAGGAATGTGCTGGTATATTACTCTGGTCCTAATTTTACAAAATATATATTAAGATTGAAAATATTATTATTTTTTAAGTTTCTAGGAAAAATGGTGAAGGACATTTCAAAGAGTCTTCGAACTTGTTTCATCCAGCTCTTAAAGTTTTATTTCCATATCTTAAAAACGTTGATTCAGAGGAGATTGGCTGTCTCGATCTTGGAATCAGTAAAATTCTTCAACTAATAATTAGCCTCAATAACACTTCAGACCATCTGGACTCAGGAACACAAAACATTTCTCTAGTTTTTACTCAAATTTATCAAGAAAAGATTAATGTGATAATGCCAGAAACATTGTGCCCTAAGGAATAGTTCAATACATTTTTTCTTTGATACAATCAGTTATACACCTGTAATAGCTGCTTCCAAATTTGAGTAAAATATCAGCTAAGTGTGAAAAAAGGTTTGTAGCCCGAGGGGCAAAGAACTTAAGTTGTGAGTTTGACAGGTAATTATAGAAATTCAATGATAGTTTTTTATAAATATTCACAAAGATAGACTATCGTACACCCAGCTGTTGACAAAAAAAAGAATTAGTTAAATTAAATAAAGAAGTAGTATCAGCATACTATTAATTAATTTAGATTAATCCCAACTCCCAAAAGCACTGGTAGAGCCATAGTTAGTAAGAATAGATTAGTACCTGTTATGTTAAGTTTAGCAGAACTCTTTTTGTCCTCAATTTCAATCGTATATAATCCACTTTGTTCCATAGTCACACTCTTAATTATCAGAATAAAGGTGACTTCATCAACTTTCATCTCATATTCAGCGCCAACCGTGATCTCTTTTCCATCTTTCAGCCATTTTGCTGTAGCTCCAGTACGAGAAACTTCACATTTAAATGTTGCTGTTTCCTTCTCTTGTATTTTAACATCTTTCAGAGGTTTTATTATCTCAATTGGCAATTCTAAAATTCATTATAAATCATTCTTTTACCATTTACAATTTTTGAAAACAAACCCGATATCAATTATAAAATCTATATCAAATGAAGTTTACACTAATTTCAAATAATTGAATCGGTGGAATTTACAATTGGTTGAATTAAATGAATCTTCTAATCTTTTAAACTGAATCATTTCATTAAATAATGTGTCAACTTGTGTTTTATCTTCTAATTCAAAATCTTTATCAATATTTATTTATCATTTTAACATCAAAAACTGTGTCAACTTTCATGCCAATTAAAGCATAATCTAGATTAATATTTATTTATATTTGTTACAGCTAAAGTATTTACCATTAACTATAACTTCAGCTGTAGATTCTACATTATCAATTTTAACTTGGTATGTTCCTTTATCAGATATTACACATTTAGATATCACCAACTTGTGAACCGACTTCTCAACTTGGATTTTCACTCTCGTGCTGGCTTTAATTATTTTATTTTCATAAAACCATTCAGCTTTTCTGTTTGATTTGTTGACTTCACATTCCAGCGTGATAGTTTGTTTCTCACTGACCTTGACTGGGGTTAAAGGTCGTGTAAACTCAAGTGGTTGTTCTAAATACGAAAAAATTTAAAAATTAATTCCAGTTTCGAGATTTATCATTTTCAAACTAAATTAATCGTAATTCTTAAATCTAGGTTTTAAATATATAAAGAGAACTTGTTGAATCTAATTTAAGACTTAATAAATAATCTGTAAGTGATATTTAGGTGTAGAGATCACATTAAATAATGGAACACAATTTTATATTATACTATTCCTTAGTTTTATTGTATACAACGTTTCAACAATCTACATTGTCATCATCAGTTTATATAGTATACTACTCCTTAGTTTTATTGTACACAACGTTTCAACAATTTACATTGTCATCATTAGTTTATATGGTATACTACTCCTGGGTTTTATTGTACACAACGTTTCAACAATTTACATTATCATCATCAGTTTATATAGTATACTACTCCTGAGTTTTATTGTACACAATGTTTCTACAATTTACATTGTCATTATCAGTTTATATAGTATACTACTCCTTAGTTTTATTGTACACAATGTTTCTACAATTTACATTGTCATTATCAGTTTATATAGTATACTACTCCTGAGTTTTATTGTACACAATGTTTCTACAATTTACATTGTCATTATCAGTTTATATAGTATACTACTCCTTAGTTTTATTATATACAATGTTTCTACAATTTACATTGTCATTATCAGTTTATATAGTATAGTACTCCTTAGTTTTATTGTACACCATAAAATTGTGCTCCATTATTTAAGATTTAATAAATATTTTTAACAGCCTTGATAAAAATGTTTTCACATGTAAAAAATAAAGATTATTGAAGAATAGAATATAATAATGACCTATAACAGTAAGAGAAGCTGCTGTAGATTTATCATTAATCTTTAAACTGATTTCACCACTGTGGACACTAGTTGTCTTCTCAATTCTTAGAGTATGAACTTTGCCCTCGGATTTGATGATATAGCCATCCCTAGTCTTCGCTTCCTTTCCTTTATGGAACCATTTACCAATGGCGCCAGATTTAGAAACTTCACATTCAAACATGGCTACCTCTGATTCCTGAACTGATACGTCTTGTAGAGGTTTGGTTATTTCAATGGGTATTTCTACAAATTTTTAATAAAATTTTTAATCACAGTTCAGTAGCTTACTATTGATTTAGAATTTGCTGGGAGTTATTTTTTTTTATGCCAAAAGAGTGCAATTTTGGGTGAAAACATGTCCTATTAGAATTCCAAAGGTCAAAGCTTTAGAAGAACGTCCTAAAAATTTTCTTATTTGAGTTATCCAAACCCAGCTTTCAAAGAAATATCAACCACCTACATTCCCTAAACTCTAGCTTTTTCCACATTTCACTAAACATTTCACACTACTTTTTTGTTTTTAACGAATATTTGTCCTATTAGAATTTAACAGGTCAACTTTAGACCTCGAATTACCTCCTAGCAATTTTCTTAAATGAGTTATCCAAACCAAGCTGGGATGACAGGAATATTGTGGAAGACCTCATTGTTCACCTTTCAATATCAACCACCTAAATTCCCTATACTCTGGCTCTCTTGCAATATTTCATTAGATTTAAACTACCTTTTTTGTTTTTAACCTTTTTAAAGGAAAATTTTGTTTTCATATTTGAATTTTCAATACAAAATTATCAGAAATAAGAGAATAATATGTACCAGTAACAGTGAGTTTAGCTTCTGATTTAACAGTTGTATCAAATTTCACCATTATTTTTCCTGTATCCTCTACCGTGATATTTTCTTTCATGATAGAATGTTTTGTACCATCTGATTTCATAACGAACCCATCGCTGTCTTTTACTTCTTTATTTTTAAACATCCATTTTGGTTTCAAGCCTGTTTTATTCACCTCACATTCGAACATGACTGTTTGAGATTCTTGTAATTTGACGTCTTTTAACGGAACTTTGATCTCGACTGGTAATTCTGTGACAAATTTTAAAGGGACTTTAGAATATGTTATAAAAACATCGATAAAAAAATGTTGATAACCACTTTCTTTTTTTTTACGTTAATCTGTTCAGCATTAGGAAATTTTATAATTACGATATTTATTTACCTCTCAAAATGATTTAATTTGAAATGAATTAGATTTGAAAAGCAACTTAGATAAAATTGTTGTTTAATTAATATTTTGTTAATTTTTTAACTTGATATTAGAAAATCAAAAAAGGTATTTCTAACTTGAAGATATCATTTAGATATAAATTTTGTATTTTTATTTAACATAGAAATTTTGCAATGTAATATAGGCTACCTTTAACAGTTAGTTTGGCAGTTGATTCCAGTTTATCGTTAAATCTAACGGAGAATTTTCCACCATCTTTAACGTTGACTTCTTCAAGTTGTAAGGTGTGTTTAGTACCTTCTATTTTTATGATATACCCATCTTTTTCTAGAGCTTCTTTTTCTTGATGGAACCAAGTTGCTTTAACATTGGCTTTGGAGACTTCACAAGTAAAGGTGGCAGTTTGTAGTTCGTTGATTTTGACGTCTTTGAGTTGTGTGACAATTGTTAGTGCCCCCTCTATAATTAATTGAGTTAGTGCAAGTTACAACATATAGAATAAGTGACTATAATAATCAGTACTGTCGATGGAACAAAAACTCACTCTGCCCTAGAATTAGGACTGTGGCAAAGGTTTTATGGAAAATTACAGAAGTGGCCAGTATCCTGACAGGCGATAGATTTCCAAAACCTGACATCAAATAAAAGGGAAGCACTCTAATGTGGATTCAAATTTTGAAAGTAGCTTGTAAATCATTAAGAGAGCTGAAACAAATGAGTTATTGTTCCATTGACAGTGGGAATTGCTTTTCAGACAACAATATTGCAAGAATGGAAGAATCAGATGCTGAAAACACACAGACTGAAAGTTTTTGCTTTTAAGTTTTCCAAAATCATCTTTGCTCTGAATAAGTAGATAAGCAGATTGTCGATACATGTATTGCAACATTGTTTTGAGAATAGCAAAAGTGGTTAATAATTAAAGTAATAAATGTTGATTAGGAAAGGTTTACAACATGTATATATATATGTCTGTTATAAAGGAAACTTTCTGTGTGTTGGGACACTTCTATAACAAGTCTGATTATTGTTCTAATTCATACAAATTAACTATCAATTATAAATGTTTGCAGGTGCCCTGTGGCGCAGGGGACAAAAAAAATGATAAATAAATAAAAGAGAATTTTGTTTAAGAAATATGATATGATGTCTAAAGAAAATGTGGTTACTCCAGACCCTCCCCCAAAAATTGTTCACCTCCCAACTCTCGACAATAAACATTTTTGCCTCACAGTTACAAGACTTGAGCAACAGCCCTTGCTGTATGCTCACAAAACGATCTTAGCGCTAGGATGTCCTAGGTTCTTGTAACACTGTTTCTAGGATATCCTAGGGTCTTGTAACACTGTTCGTAGGATGTCCTAGGGTCATAACTTCTAACACTGTTTCTAGGATATCCTAAGGTCTTAACTTCTAACACTGTTTCTAGGATATCCTAGGGTTTTAACTTCTAACACTGTTTGTAGGATATTCTAGCACTTAGATTTTTTTGAAAATATGTGGCCTGGTTAAGTTATGTACCTAGAACAACTGAAACAAAAAAACCAACTCACCATCAACTAAGACTTCAGCAGTAGATTCTACTTCATCAATTTTGACTTTGTAGACACCCTCATCATCCAAGATAGATTTAGAGATGACCAGTTTGTGGACATTTCCTTCAGTTTGGAATTTGATTCTGTCACTAGGCTTGATCTCTTCATCATCTACGAACCATTGAGATTTTTTGCCTGGTTTACTGACTTCACATTGTAAAGTAATAGTCTCTTTCTCTGTTACCTTTACATTCTTCAATGGCTTGGTCAGCTCCAAAGGTAATTCTGAAATAAGATTTGAACAACATTTAGAAGCGGAGAGCACATATAACAGAAAACACAAGGGAATATATTATGGTATAATAACACACTTCTTTAATAACATCAGGTACATTCACACATGTGGCGTCATCAGATGTTGACACATGTAAATTGTGTTTAAACGTTATGTATTTTGTTATTAAAGAAGTGTGTAATTCTGAAAAAGATTATCAATTGATAAAGTTTACTTAGTTTTAAACCTAATGTTCAATAAAACTGGAAAATGCCAACTGAGCTTTCTGACTTTTTTGATTATTTACAGAAAAATCATCTACAACAGTTTGGAAAGGCTGAGATTGCCTGTTGCTTTAAGTGCAAATACAAATTTTAAAGATTGTTAGGTTATATATTAACCAAAAACAAATTGAATTTTCATTGGCAAAGATGAGAAACAACCAGCAAGTTAACAAAAACTCAAGTTTTTGTCAGTGTTCCTGTTTGTATAAGATTATATATTTTATTGTTAGGAAAATTAGTTAATTTGTTACAAATAATTAAAAAGATTAACAAGATTAGTAGACATGCTAAGCACCTGTTACAATTAATCTAGCAGTGTTTGATATTCCTTTAGCTTCAAACTTCACTTCTCCAGCATGATCCAGCTTGGTCTTCTCTATTTTCAGAATATGAGTTTTTCCATCCACCTTGATCACATAACCATCTCTTGATTTCGCTTCCTTTCCTTTGTGGAACCATTTTACTCCTGTCACAGTTTTAGAGACTTCACATTCAAAAACAGCTATTTTAGACTCTTCCACTGTAACATCCTCAAGTTTCTTGGTGAATTCTACTGGCAGTTCTAAATATAAGGGGTTTGAAAGTGTATGTTAATTAGTAAGTGTTATATATTACAGTACATGCAGAGGTTGGTCAACGAGAAAGTTAATATTAATAAAAGTGAAGCTAAATATAATGTTTTGTCTCCAAAATTTCAAACAGAGTCAGTTCTTAATTTGGATGTCAGAGCTTTAAAAGTTTTAATGGTAGACTGATTGATTGGCACTGGACATGAAAATTCAATGAAAGCAAGATACTTCAAATTAAGATCATAGTTTGACCAAAAACACTGATTTGAATTATATGGTAAGCTATATCTAGTAAGGTTTTTAGAAATTAGTTTTTTTTATAGAAATTTGGACCAAGGTATTTAATACCTACAAAACTTAATCAAGTATTTATGACTTCAAACATTTTTTCAAAAATTTTGTCCAAAGTAGGTTAACCAGCTGTTTAAGGTCCACCACTAAGATAATAATTAACAAATAACATGTACCAGTAACAGTAAGTTTAGCCTCTGATTTCACAGTTGTATCAAATTTCACAGTAAACTTTCCACTGTCATCCAGGCTGATATTTTCTTTAATCAAGCTATGTATCTTTCCCTCTGACTTCATCACATAGCCTTCTTTTTCTTTCACCTCTTTCATCTTAAACATCCATTTTGGTTTTAAACCTGTCTTGTTGACCTCACATTCATATACAACTGTTTCTGCTTCCTTCAGTGTCTGGTCTTTCAGAGGTTTTATAATCTCAATAGGTAATTCTACAGAGAGGGATATAAGATTATTGGCTTAAATATTCCTAACCGAATTTTCAAAGAATGGTTAGAAAATGTTTGAATGCTTTGAGAAACAGAGAACATTATTCAATGGTGGATATATTCCCATGGGCTAAATATTAGATAGAACCATGTCCTTGTGTATTGGGCCTAATTCTGACTCATGTAAAACAAAGAGTCTAATTTCGTCCTCAAGGGTTGAATGTTAGTCTGGACCTTGTCCTTGTGTATTGGGCCTAATTCTGACTCATGTAAAACAAAGAGTCTAATTTCGTCCTCAAGGGTTGAATGTTAGTCTGGACCTTGTCCTTGTGTATTGGGCCTAATTCTGACTCATGTAAAACAAAGAGTCTAATTATCGTCCTCAAGGGTTGATGTTAGTCTGGACCTTGTCCTTGTGTATTGGGCCTAATTCTGACTCATGTAAAACAAAGAGTCTAATTTCGTCCTCAAGGGTTGAATGTTAGTCTGGACCTTGTCCTTGTGTATTGGGCCTAATTCTGACTCATGTAAAACAAAGAGTCTAATTTCGTCCTCAAGGGTTGAATGTTAGTCTGGACCTTGTCCTTGTGTATTGGGCCTAATTCTGACTCATGTAAAACAAAGAGTCTAATTTCGTCCTCAAGGGTTGAATGTTAGTCTGGACCTTGTCCTTGTGTATTGGGCCTAATTCTGACTCATGTAAAACAAAGAGTCTAATTTCGTCCTCAAGGGTTGAATGTTAGTCTGGACCTTGTCCTTGTGTAATGGACCTAATTCTGACCAATGTAAAATAAAGAGTTTATTATTATTATTATTATAACATTGATGATATTCTGAAAAGTGTCTTGTTTACCCTATTTTTGATATCCGCTTAAAATGGTGCAACCAAATCAAATTTTTTAATCCAATGGATAATAATAAAGGCCCAAGCCACATTCAATTTGACTATTCCTGTTTTATAGAAGTTGCTAGTACCTTTAACAGTTAGTTTGGCAGTTGATTCCAGTTTATCGTTAAATTTAACGGAGAATTTTCCACCATCTTTAACGTTGACTTCTTCAAGTTGTAAGGTGTGTTTAGTACCTTCTATTTTTATGATATACCCGTCTTTTTCTAGCACTTCTTTTTCTTGATGGAACCAAGTTGATTTAACATTGGCTTTGGAGACTTCACAAGTAAATGTGGCTGATTCAAATTCCTTTAATTTCAAATCTTTGAGAGGTTGGAGAATTGTTAAAGCTGTTTCTATAAAGGAATGATGTTAGTTTGTATGTTAAATATAATATGTTGAGTATTGTAAAGAGCTTTACAAATTAAAAGGGAAAAATAATAGATACCCAGCAATAGTTATAAGATTTGAACAACATTTAGAAGTGAGGAGTAGAATTGATAATAATAATAGCCAATATGATAAAAAAAATCTGTACAAGAAAGACAATTAAATTTAAATTTTGTCCAAATCATGGCAAAATTGGGAGTAAAGGTTTAGTAGTAGACTCCTCCAAGGAGAAGTACCATCAGGTGTTTTGAAAAGAGTAATAATTAATATTCCACCGTTCACAAGGTTATTAGATTTGTGTAGTAATAATATAGTTGATCCAGAAATACTGCAATCTTCTAATCTTATTTAACAAAAAAACAAGCAGTTTTGTGCGTAATTCATAAACAAAAGTCTTAAAAATGTCTTTTTGAAATATCTTTCATAAATTTTCACAGAACTCTTTTTTTCTTCATTTTATGATAATCATTTTTCCCCCTATTAATTAAAAAGCTCTGAACAAGAAGTGAGTATATAAATACAACATTTAGTTCAGATTATAGAGTGTAAAGATATTCTCCAAAATATTAAAGATGGCTTTAATAATTTGATTTGCTAATAAATTTTGATATTTTGAGAATATTATTCTCATCTAAATCAGATAATAGCTAGATTTATAATCATATTTTATTGAATAAGAATGTTGAAATCCTTTAAACCCAGTGGTGTTTCTAGGAAACATTAGGTGAGGGGGCCGAGCAGGAGCCAAAAATTTTCCATGGGGTGCACAGACCATTCTTTTACTTTGTAAATTGATAAAAATTTTGAAAGACAGGCCAGCCTCTTTTCTGGGGGACCATGTTACTGTTTAAACCATCTTAAGTTTTGAAGAAGAAAAGCTCGGAAGTTGAGAAGATTAATATACAACATTGATACTATATAATATTATACTATAGAAATTGAAATGTTAAATTTGAATTAGTTCAGATTATACTAATTAATAGCAATATAGTTAATAAAAACCCCTTTTTTCTGATCTTTGTGAGATATGGATGGTTTCTTTGTTTTCAGAAGGATCAGAAAAATGTAATTTTATGTTGTATTAAACAGATTGAAACAAACAAACAAACAAACCACGAGAGTCTTACCTTTGACAGTGAGATTGGCTGAAGTTGATTTACTCTCAATCACCATCACGTATTTCCCACTGTTAGAAGTCAAAGCATCCTTGATCTTCAGTGTGTGAATCTTTCCATCGACCAGGATTTCACAGGTCTCAGATGGTTTCAGCTCTTCACCGTCACACATCCATTTGACTTTTAGATTGAGTCTGTTGAGTTCACAGATGAACACTGCTGTTTCTTTCTCCTTGATTTCCTGATCTTTCAGAGGTTTGATGATTTCTACTGGAATTTCTGGAAAAGGAGAAACAGATTGTCATGCTTCTGAATAAGAATGAAATTTGAATTATGGACATAAGGAGAAAAAAAATTATAATGTTTCTATAAAAAAATAAATAAATAAACGCCAAAAAAGTCATTAACTATATGGATTTGTTCACTTGACAAGATAAACATTCTACTGGAGCAGAGTGCAGAATTTAAAACAAAAACATTTTAAATATACAAAAATTCTAAAGGGGATGCCAAGTTGGCAAAATCAGACAAACTGCCACAATAAATGTTATATCTGAATAATTCCTGTGTTAAAATAAAATATCAAGACTACTCTGAGATATATCTAACTCACCTTCCACTAGGACCATGGCCTTGCTGGATTTATCATCAATTTTCACGGTATAATCAGCTTCATCGTCAACGGTAACACTGTCAATAATCAGTTTATGATGAGTACCATCAGATATCAGCTTGACGCCATCTTTAGGAGTTATCTCCTCTCCATCACGATACCAGGTGGCAGCACGATCAGCTTTAGATACTTCACATTCCAGTATCAATTTCTCTTCCTCTTGAAGAGTTTGTCCGTGTAGTGGCTTCAGGAACTCAAGTGGAATTTCTGAAATAAAATCATAAATAAAATAACATAAATAAAGTGATGAAATAAGATGAAATGAGTCCTACTTTTCTGTACCCAAAGAAGACAGGCAACGCCATGCAGGGTGCAACAAGGGAAATTTTGCCAGGACATCGACATTAACCTACAAATATAGTGATGAAATGGACGTATATATGCTGATATCATCTAGCTGTATTAATGAACACAATGAGTTGTTAAATAGAAGGGAGATGGTGAAGGCAATCAAATTACTGAAATGAGCCATACTGGTGTGTTTAGGTTAAGGCATGATATTTCATACAATCAGGATCTCATCAATCCAGCTAAATGTTCTATTAAACATTTTGACTTATTTTTGCTCCCAAAATGAAATGTCATTATCTCTTACCATCAACAGTGAGTTTGGCTTTAGTTACAGCATCATCACAGCTACAAGAGTATTCAGCATCATCTTCCAAAACAGCATCATTCAACGCCAAGGTATGGACTAGCCGCTCGGAGCTAAATTTAATTCTGTCACTGAATGATATTTCTTTGCCATCTTTCTTCCAAGTGACTTTTCTATTTGGTTTATTCAGATGACATTCGAATGTCACTGCTTCTTGTTCTGAGATGTCATGATCTTTCAATGGTTTGGTGAATACAGTTGGTATCGCTGAAAATTTAGAAGAATCAGTTTAAAACTTTTGACATATTTTCACAACTTCAATTTCAGTCAACACAGTAGAAATATTGATATTTAGGACAAAAATATTTGGTAAACAGAATTCAAAAATCAGACTGAAGAAAGCATTCTAATGTTATTCTGTTTGCATTAAAACTCTAATATGCTGTTCGGACATGTTTCAAATATAAAATCCATGATAAGGACAAGCTGGTTCAGAAATATTGGTTAAATTCCAAGAGTAATTTTAGCAATGCACAGTGTTTTGACAAGAGTACATCTGGTGCTGATGACAAGTTTTCAATCACCATGACAGCGAGTTTGGACATAGAGGTAAAATTTGCAATATCCAGATTATCCCTATGAGTGAATAAATACCACTTACATTCTACGTGTAGTTTAGCGTGTGTCATTTCTGGACCAACCATACATTTGTATTCTCCTTCATCGGAGAGTTCTAAATCGGTGAAATATAAATACTGTGAAAAATCTTCTGTTACGGCTTCGAGCTGGTCAGACTCCGTGATTGGTTTATCATTCTTCAACCACTGGACGGCAACATCCTTCTTTGTCATCTGACATTCGAACTCAGCACTATCAGTTTCCTTGGCCCAAATATCTTCAAGATGGCGTACAAATACTGGAGCGAGTGCTGTAAATAGATTGTAGAATATTTAATTTTCTTGGCTTTTGTTGCGATAAAATTGACACCATTTTGATTTTTCCAAAGAGTAAAGAGTTTTAATTTATCGTGTTTGCATTTGTTTTTTAATTTTAAGTTTCAATAAAATTGTATAAAAGTATTTAAAGCAAAAAGAAAAGAAGCAGAAAATTTGTAAATATTGTTGACGAACTTACGTAAGATTTTCAAGTAAGCTGAAGATTCCTTGTCGCTAGGCAACACAACAGTATATTCTCCCTCATCTTCTGGAATGGTTTCCTGGATACGGAGAACGTATCGGTATTTATCACACACCATCTTGATACGTTCGCTAGGTAACAATGGTTTACGATTTTTCAACCAGCGTACTTTCACGTTTTCTTTACTTAATTCACACTGGAACTCGACATCTTCACCTTCAACACCTTCTGTTGCTGTTAGTCCTGACTTGAAACCAGCTTCAGTTTCTAGAAAGAATAAAGGGTATATGAAGTAAAAGTGCAGGGTTTGCCTTTTGGGTCTGTATTGCTAGCTAATGACGCTTTTAGGTTTGAACGACCAGTTTTTTTCAACCTTCAGTGATATCATTGAGCCATATGATTAAATTCATATTTTTTTTAAAATCATTTGTTCAGTACCAGATAAGTACAATGTACATCATTTTTGAATCATTTTGCATAATTAGCCTACCTTCAACAGTGAGTCTGGCAGTAGAGATGTCATCACCAACCATAATGGTATAGCTGGCATCGTGGTCTATGGTAGTATCAGGTATCTTTAAGATATGTTGGGTTCCATCCACTATAAATACATAGCCTTCATCTTCAGTAATCTCTATACCATCTTTCAACCATTTTACTGGCACATTCTCTTTAGAGAGTTCACATACAAAGCTGACAGTTTCACCTTCTAGACATTCATTATCAGACAGTGGAAGCACAATGCTTGGAGTCAACTCTGAAAATTAACCAAATTGTAAATTAACTCAATTATAAATTCAGAATTTCAATCACCATTTCATCTAATAAAAAATCATTGACTAGTTTAAAACAAAAGCTAATTTGGTTTACTTTAAAATATTTGCATATTTATGAGTAAAATCCTGAAAAAAAAACAAAAGCAGGGTTGGATTTGAGGGAAAGGGGATATTTAGGTATCAACAGCTAAAAAAAAAAAACTACCTGAAAAAAATAATGCTACAGCTAAAGAATATAAGGGAAATTAGTAAAGATTAAATATTAGTAAGTTTGTTGATTTTAGTAAAGCATTTGATAGGGTTTATAATGATGGTCTGTATTACCCTCTATAGTAATAACAGCAGTAGTTGATACTTCTCCAGCCAGACACGAATAGGCTCCTTCATCTTTTAAATCAACATTAAATACTATCAGCTCTCTTTCAACATCTTTAATCTTAAATTCATATTTCTCGCTCGGTTCTAGATCCACTTCATTGTGCCGCCATGTGACGTGAGTCTCCGGGCGCGACAACGTGACATCCAAACTCAAATTTTCAGATTCTTTGATTGTCTTATCTGACAGACCCTTGACAAAATATGTTGCTATTTCTGTAAGTAAGGGATTAGTACAAATTATGTTAAAGTTAGAGTATAAAAATAGTGTGAAAGAATGAATGTTAGATTAAGATTATGATGTGAATCGTTAGAAAGTTAGATATTGCATTCACATTATACAATATTAAAATAAGAGAAGAATGATTAAAATATTTTGAAAATATGGAGAAATTGTGTGAATTAAGGACATACAAATCTTATAATAAGATTGAAGGCAGGGGTAAGTATGAATTAGATTAAAATTTTTAGATGAAAGTTTTAAAAAGGGACAATAATTAGATACAAGACTTGAAGGACATTAAAATTTACAAACCTTCAACAAAGAGAACAGCTTTGGATGATTTATCTTTGATGACGATACAATATTCAGCTTCATCTGACAGAGCTGCACTTGGTAAAATCAGGGAATGTTTAGTACCATCAACTCTGAGAAGGAGTTCGTCTGTTGATTGAAGAGGAGCTTTGTCTTTAAACCATTGAGCTTCAATATTTGGTTTGTTGACTTCACAGACTAGAGTTACAGCATCACCTTCTGTAGCTTCAGTTTCTTTCAGGGGGACGGTAATTTCCAGAGGTAGTTCTAGAACAGAGATCAGTTGATAGTTTTAACAATTGCAGTAATTTCAAGGACAAGGAAAATGAAAATGGCCAGTTACCATCAGACTATTTGAAGGCTCTCCTAAATCAATGCATAGTTTAAGAACCTATTAAGTTTCTCAAAATAAACAATTTTTGATATAAAGGGTCTAGTAGTCACAGAGTAACATTTCATTGCTGTGAACAAGAACAAAACTATACAATTTTTATGCTGAGTTTTACACATAATTGGATAAAAGTTTCCAAGATTGTAGTTTTTTTCTGAAATTCTGAAAGAACTCCATCAACATTTTCTAAAACAAGTTCATGCTTCAAGATGCAAATACATCATGCACATTATTGACACAATACAAAATATTTAACCATTCATATTCCTCCTTTATTTACAATCTGGAACTCAGTTCACTGATATCTTTTAATCAAACTTCATTTCAAGAGTGGAAATGTTCACATCTAAAATGACACAAGAATTATTATCCTGAAACCTTAATAAATCCAGGATATTCTTGATAATAATGATCTAACCTTTAACCACTAGTGATGCCGAGCTGTCAATACCACCCACAGATACTATGTACTCTGCAGTATCATCCAGTTTCACGTCCAGTAGAGTTAGAGTGTGGACGCAACCATCAGATTGCATCAGGACAGAATCGATGGTGACAACAGGGAACCATTTCTAAACCATTTAGCTGGTTGAAACGCATCTGTTACTTCACAAGTGAATGAGATTGTCTCCCCTTCTTGACATGTCTGTTCTCGAAGAGGTATCTTATATTGTAAGGGTGCCTCTAGAATGTGGAAATAAATCTTACGGTTATCTCTTGTCGTTCAAATCCTAAATTTATGTAAAGTTTGGAAATTTTCTGACTTTTGAAAAATCTTTGGTCATTTTTCTTACCTTAACTTTTAAGAGCCATCTAGGGCAGCATGTAAAAAAATACGTAATATGTAAAAAAAAAACTACAAAATTCTACTTAAAACACAACACTTCAAAAAATGTTTCTATGCAAAAAAATCTTAAAAAACAGAAAAAAATTATCCAATGAACATTAATGCTAACAATGACAAATGCATTTTCTATTTATTTCATGCTGGAATACTTAATGATCATTAAAAATGGAAAATTAAGATGATGTCTTGAAACAAATTGGTGATGTCAAAATGAAAGGAGAAACCAACCTTGAAGAGTATTCATGCCAGACATGCGTTTACTACCAATGACGACAACGTAATCCCCATAATCAGGGGCAGATAACTGATGGAGTATCAGTTTATGAACACTGCCATAATCCGTCATCTCATATTTACGACTTGCTTTTAATTCTTCCTCATCTTTAAACCAGGAGACACGCATGTTGCTTTTTGAGACATTACACGTAAAAACTGCCTGCGTTTCGATGGAGGTCGTAAAGCGTTTCAGGGTCAGATGGAGTTTTATGGGGATTTCTGGAAGCAAGAGGGATTAATCTTTCATGCAATTATCACAGATCACGATGTCTTAAATCAAAGTTTATTCCCAAAATCTGAGATTTCATTTCAGTTTTGTTTTCTAATTATTCATTGAAAATTCTCATTAAAATTATTATTTTTTAATTTTCATCATTTTTTTTAATCAATATTTTCAACCAAAACCATTGTTTAAGCTAAAAAATTTAATTTCTGTTTAATCTGTTCAGATTTTTAGAATGAAAAATTGGAATTTCATCAATAGATTTCAAGTTTTGAACTAAAATCCAAAGCACTTTCAAGATATACCTACTATCCGATATAGTTGAAATCCAAATCTGATGTGGTATCAGGTGTTTTAGAAGATATCGTGTTCTAATGACCTCAAGCATACATTGAACAGACAGTGACAGGGTGCAGTGAGTAGACACTAGGCAGATAGACAGACACAGACTAGACAGGCAGACACAGACTAGACAGGTAGACAGAACAGTGAAAGCAAGGATTGGGCAAAAGGAGACAACACAGATCTTTTATAAATGATAAAGAGACTGGGGTTTCAAACAGGGAATATGAAGCAGATTTGCAGTTAAAGTATATTGCAAATATTATTATGTATTCAGTTATTCATTGCAATTGATATTATCACATTTTTGAAAGACCCAAAATTATACCCACAAATTGTGGGCAAAAGGATATTTGGAAAGTTTGAAAACCCAGGTGTAGAAGCTTTTATGTATGATAATATTTGGTAATCTTCAGAAACATTTATGGTAATACATGTATTAAATCTACTGACTTTGTGATTTTAATACACCTGTGCTGTTATATCTAATATTAATTAATAACTAAATTCTACTCTACTTCTAATATATTCTATATTTCATACTTTTAGAGTTCAGATCACAAAGCAGAAACAATTTTTGAAAAAATCTTTAAAATCTTAAATTTCAAGAGTAGATCACAAAATTTAAACATTTAATTCATGTTTTTCTGATGTTTATTTCTGCATTTTTAATGAATATTGGAAATAGTAATAAACATAAGATTAAAATATTGTCATTCAAGATTTAAAATTTTTCTGTTTTATGATCAGAAATCTTTTTGGTTTAAGCTTTGTGACTGATTATCCATATTGAAATTTGTAAAATGGCAAGTAAAGCTACAAGTTTTTATGATTAAACGATGGTTTAGAAGAATATTGGAAGGTTAAAATGAGAAAATGAGGGGGTAGCGTGGGGCTGCTGTAAAATGAAATTGAAAAATATACTAAATTTTAGTTGGGGAGCATGCATTAGTAGCTTAAAATCTACGCAAACTACCAAGACTAGGGATATTGGGGGAAAGACCAACCCATAACATGGGTCAATTCAAAAAACCAAAATATAATTTTTGGTCAAACAATTGGTAATATTGGACCCTTAATTCTTAAAATATCAAACAATCATTGAGTTTGACTTAAAATTTTGAAATAACTGGTTTGTGAATAAACACAACTTTCCGAGATTATAATTTAAATATAGAAATAAGAGTCCTAGACCCTATTGACTAATTTGTATATCTGAAATATTCAACAGGCTAAATATGTTCTAGGGGAACTACATCTGAAATGTGAACCTATGCTAAACTAATCAGACTAGGTGATCAATCAAATCAATCATTTTTCATACCAACACAGACCCACTCATGCCATATGCACACATTGAAAAGTAAAGCACACACACAAAGTAAAGTTAAAAATGCACACAAATCTATTAATAAATCAGTCTGCGAAAGACATGACAATGTAAAGATATAATAGATATTAATAAATTCACGGAAGCTATGCTAATATTGAAATTATTTTAAATATATCAAAGCTTGGCTGTTGCTTAGAGACAAACTTACCGTCTAAATGCAGACAAGCTGAACTCTGTTGGTCGCCAATGACAACCGAGTATTCAGCAACGTCTGACTTGTCCACGTCTTTAATGACTAGAGTGTGAGATCGACCATCTTGTTGCAAAACGTGTTTGTTGCTAGGGGTGATTTCTTCCCCGCCTTTGAACCATGTGACAGACACGTCATCTTTGTTGACTTCGCAAGTGAAATAGGCAATTTTGTGTTCTTCTACCAATTGTTCACTCAAAAGTGCAGTAAACTCAACTGGGATTTCTGGAAATTCAAAGGGAGTGAACACTACATAAAGCACATGCATTTCATGTGGGTGGTTCATATCAGATGTGATAAACTGCAGTGATATACACAACATGTCTAAAGTGATATACAAAACATGTCTAAAGTGATATGCAAATGTGATGGGAAAAATTGTCTATATTCTGATCTGGGGATATTGTGCAAAGTTTTGATTTGCTAGATCATTTCAAGAAAAAACTAGGAAGATGTTCCACTAATAGGATCTTAAAATGACTCGGACTTTTGGTGATTTAGGGGTGAAAGAAAGGAACCCAAAAGAAAATTTCATGCACTAAAACACACGTCAATGGCTCCTTACCTTGAACAGTGAGCTGAGCTGCTGTCTGCTTGTCTTCAACTCTGGCACTGATTTCACCGGAATCTGGCAACAGTGCGTTCTTGACAATAAGTTTATGTTCTTTGTTGTCAACGGAGATGATGAATCGTTTGTCCTCGACAACTTCCTGTCCGTCAAGACACCATTTTACAGTGGCTCCAGCCTTGTTGAGTTGACAGAGGAACTCAGCATCTTCGCCTTCCTTCACTGACACATCTTTCAATGGTCGAATAAACACTGGGGAAGCTTCTGGTAAAAAAAAATGGGTTTGCAAATAGATATTGTGTATTTCTAAAATTGTTTCAAGTAAATTTCATAACACTTACTCTAGTTTCTAAATACAGTGTGAATTGAGGAAAACTTCAGTGTCCTGTATGTCTTTGAATTTTTAATCTGCTTTTTAGGTTTAGACTGATGAATCAATGGTGTTTCTTTTACTTTATAAATAAACCAAGTACTAACGATCCAAACCACAAAAGAAACTCGAAATCCAAAACAACATAATTGGCAAAACATTGATAGCAACTAATGAACTTTTCACATAAGGAAGTATATCAATCAGAAGTTTATAATATTTGAAAACAATCAAGATCCCTTTACACTAAAAAACTATTAGTAATTCCACATGTACAATATTTCTGAAAACAGGCCGTGTTATATATGTAAGCATAAAATAAAAATAATATTTAAATGAATTGTCTCACCTTGTACAAAGAGATTGGCAGTAGTTTCTTTATCGCCAACCTTGATACTGATTGGACCTTCATCCTCAACTTCTACGTCTGATAAAATCAATTTATGTTTCTTGCCATCCTTGACAAACTTCACGTTCTTGCCCTCCTTCAATAGTTTACCATTTTTATACCACTTGACATTGGATAGGTCTTTAGATAACTCGCATTCGAATTCTGCATTTGTCTTCTCTTTAACTGTGACATCATTGAGAGGGGAGGTAAAGTCTGCTGGAAGTGCGTTCACCGTCAGTTTAGCCTTAGATGATTTCTTTCCAACTTTGGCAACGATCTTTCCGCTGTCTTCTGGAGAGATATCACGGATGGTCAGTTTATGTTGGCAGCCATCTTTGATGATCTCAATACCTTCTTCAGGAAGTAGTTCTTCGTTGTCAAGGTACCATTTCAGCTTATCAGTGTCCTTATTCAAAGTACAGACGAAGTCCACTGAGGATTTTTCGTAAGCTGTGACATCTTGAAGAGGTACGGTAAAATCAGCTTCGATTTCTTCCACTACAAATTTAGCGGAAGATTTTTTATCACCGATTTGAATTGTGACTGTTCCAGCATCGACTGGTGAAACATTTTTTATTTTCAGTTTTTGGATCTTTCCGTCGATGACAAAGGTGTATTTTTCATCTTGAACTATTTCCTGGTCATTGATAAACCATTTAGGTTTGTCAACTGGCAAGGTCAATTTACAGGTAAATTCAACATCAGTGTTTTCTTTGGCTTTGACATCTTTGAGTGGGATAGTAAAATCGGCTGCAATTTCTGAAATTGATAAAAAAGAAAAAGCTAAGTGATATAATATAAACCCAGTACTAACGATCCAAACTATAAAACGAAACCCGAAATCCAAAACAACATATTGACAAAACATTGGTAGCAGCTAATGAACTTTTCATATGAGGAAAGTAGTTTGCACCCCTAATCGTACCCCCACTTTATTTTCAACAAATCTAAATGTCTATCTTTATTCTCCAAATATGTGTAGAATGCACAAAATCAATTCATTTTTTCTAAAATTTTCTTGAGAGAACCCTGTAAGACGCTCTATGAGAGGCTTGCGACTATGAGAGCTCTACCACAGAGTAGCCAAAATTTGAATTCAGGCTCAGCAGTTGTCCCTACATCGAGTCAGTCTGCCCCCTATTTGTACCCCCAGTATCGGAAGGCTGGCGCTGCCACTGTCCAGGAGTCTTATGTTTCGTTATTGAATATAAAATAACAGTTTCTTACCCTGAACTGTCAGTTTAGCAGAAGTAGATTTATCACCCAGGGTGACCGTGACCTCGCAGTTATCATCTTTAGTCAGATTAGCGATGGTCAGGGTGTGGTTGTATTTATTGTGAACTATCTTGTATTTATTGTTCTTCTCGATAGGTTTGTTGTTAATCAACCATATTACCTCGGCTTCTTCATCATCTACTTTAACACTGAATGTAGCTGACTTGTTCTCCAACACTGTCGCATCTTCTAGATGCATGGTGAAGTTGGCAGGGACAGCTGAAATGTTGAGATATAACGATATTACATTCTGCGGCCAAGTTAAATAGGTCAATGGACAATATTGAGATGTAAATGGGTATTATTAATTTTAATATTAAGAATGAAGATTAGAAATAAAGTAGTGGATTGGTGTGAACCAATGAACAATATTGAAAACATTGTAAGAGATGGTTACATTATTTTTGAATTTCTTTTTTTTTAATTTACACCATCACTTTTTCAATGTTTATATTCCAGAACAAAATAGACAAATTCTGACTGAGAGCCATGTCTTTATGTCCTTTCACCATTATCCATGTTACTTTTTCAAAATGAAAACATTCTACTCACAAAAAACTAAAAGTTTTTAAAACTTACGTTCTACTTCCAGCTTGGCTTCAGTTAGAATCTTGCCGTAAGCGCAGGAGACTTGTCCAGCATCTCGTGGTCGACATTTACTGACTATCAGAGTGTGAGTCTTCTTGTCAGCCTTGACAGCTAGTTTGGGTGAAGGGATAACTTCTTCACCTTGGTACTTCCAGACCACATTGACGTTAGGTATGGCCAGTTCACACTGGAATTTAGCTTCCTCGCGTTCTTTTACATACAAATCTTCAAGAGGGACAACCCACTTCCACTGCAAATAAAATAATGGACGCAAGCTTAGAAAAGTTCTTTACAATCCCTGTATTCCTAGATTAGAAAATTTTTCTAGGGAGGAACTTGACCCTTCACCGTGAGTAATACCCTCTAAAATCTAAAATGGGGGCCGCGTTGCTCGAATGGCCCCCCCCCTCAATGAAATCCTGGCTATGCCACTGTTTCACAAATATTAATGTAACTTATTTGTTATTATTATGTTTCTGAAATAAGCTTACCTTAGCTTTAGTCATAACAAGAGTGGCCTCTTCTAGATCTTCCTCTCGAGTTTGTTTCTGGGCGCGAGTGTAGGTGGAGCTCTCTTCCTCAATCTCTGCTGTTAGTTCTAAGCCAGTCTTCTTCTTCTTGTCGTAAGTTAGTAGTTCAGCATCTTCGCGTTCTTCCATCTCCATTATTGGTCTAGAGACGCCAGCTTGAAGCTGAAACAACCAAGGACAGTGTGATGTCATATCAGTATAGTGAATATACCATAACATATTACAGACATATTCTACCTTAAGTTAACAAGTAATAGGACGTAAAACTCCATTTCATTTCATTTCAAGTTAACAAGGAACTCTATGAATTGAGTATGCAAAAACAACAATAGCCTACATATAGAATATTGCTGAAAATGAAAATGAAATGAATAGAGTGTTATGTCCTACTTTTCTGCACCATGTGGGCTAATGAAGACGGGCAACGCCATGCAGGGTGCAATTAGGGAAATTTTGCCAGGACAGCGGCATTAGCCTGCTCTTTTTCGATTTCCAACTGTCAAGGGATCTTTAAGAAAAGTAAATTTTTACCTCTGGTCGATCACGTTTTTCTATGGGACTGTATTCAGTACGTTGTACGTCCTGTTCAGGTGAAACAGTTTTACTTTTAGACGAGGAGGATTGTTCTCCCTCGTCAACGTGTTTTAACATTTCTCTCCAGTTTAACTCGGCTTCATCATTAGCCTGACTCACTGATTCTCTAAAAATATAAAATAATTTGAATAACATAAGACTTGATCATCATTTAGAAGTGAGGAGTACATATTATTTCATCTGATGACGACACGTGTTGAAGTGTTATGTGTTTAATATTTTATTAAAGGGTCATGCTTTTATTGTAGGTTGAAAATTTTTTTTTGCTCAAATTTGCGAAAACTCTACACCGAAATCTAGAGAAATGTGCCCTTTAACATATCTGAAAGTTTTAACTTAAATAATCCAGCCGTTTTAATTAACCCTTTTACAACAAATTCAGTTTGATCAAGAAGATATATAGATATAAATAACATACTTTAGAAATATTTTCAGGCATAATTTACGTTTTTGATAATGAATGCTTTTCACAAAAAAGCGGAATACCCTTAAAGAAGTGTGCTTATTAGCATAATACTGTCTTGTGTTTATCAATTTCAGTAAGTCTCAAAAAAGGAAAGGTTGTTATTTTGTTATTAGGCAAAGACATCAAATCTTAAACAAACATGATGTAAAATTATAGTAATTTCCGAAAGATAAAATTGGTCATTTTACTCATAAACAAAACTGAAACTGAAACTGGTCTTCAATACAAAATCCTTATCACACAACAAATATTTTCAAAAAAATATATAATCATTTAACAAAAACCAAACTTTAATGGTTTTATCGTACCAGATTAATATGATTGTAACGAAAAATATTCTCAAGACCATATATCAGTCAGATATTGAAGAGCTACATTCAGACATGTCTGGCAAATAGGGCCAAATTACAGTCCTGAGTCGTAACTTTACCTGTGTTTAAGGGTAGATTTCCAGTCCACCATCTCCTCTAGTTTATCAGTCACCATGAGGGTGGCTGGGGTTTGCTCGGTACCATGTTCGTTAGTGATCGTAACAGTATATGTTCCGGCATCTCGGTTTTTGATTTCTTTTATTTGCATCACATGTTGATTGGTCTTCTCATCATAGAAGACTCGGTTACGGCCACCATCTTGGATTTTCATCCATTTGCCTTTGGACCATTCAATCTTTGGTTTAGGTTCACCATCAATAGTACATCTGAATTCAGCTTGATGACCTGCACACAAATAGATAAATTACTTTTGGTTCATGTGGATGATTTGAATTCGATATAAATTACACAGAAGCAAAGAAACTCATCTTTGGATATTTTCCAAAGCTTTCAAATTTTTAGGGATGTTAAGTACCTATCAAGACCAGGTAAGAGTCATGATATTTCAGAGCAATATTTGCTGTCCCAGATACATACCTTCAAGAACAGTACATTTGGTTGGTGGTTCAACGAAGGTTGGAGCACGACCTCTAACCTCCAGATTGGCGGAACACAGTACTTCACCACCATTGTTTTTGGCCACAGCTTCAATCTTGCCCTGGTATTTAGCTGGAGCATCTTCAATCACCAGAGTGCAAGTTCCATCCTTCTTGTTCACTTCCATTCTGATTTTATCACTTGGTTCTAACACTTCACCATTGCAGACCCTTTTAATATATAGCCAATTGATTTAGTATACAGCTCTTAAATATTTTCTGATTAAAATAAAACTTACAAGATATCCATTGTAAATCTGATTGTTTCTTTTTATAACAAGGTTCAGGAAAACTTTGCTCTTTTTAAGATTCTAGAGCAGTTGGTTAGAGTTATGGTTCTTTACATGATGTCATTTACTAAGTTACATCGAGCAAATGGCGGCTGTAGGTTCTTCACTCATAATGCTAGTCGACTCAGCTGTAAATGAGTACGGATAATCAAGGAAACATCAATTCCAAGAGGTTTGGCCAAGGACCAGCTGGTAGAAAGGATCCTTTCTTTTAATGACATGACTCAGTCCATACTCTCTACTACTAACCAAAATCACAGAATAATCACCTTATGATTCTCAATAGCAACTGTAATTTATTATTTCAATCAATGTTATTTCCACATGATATTTAATGAAAACTGTTGTCTATTAATTATAAAAATCTTAACATTGTTCAGAAAAACTTTGACCTGTAGATTCAGGCTATACCCATTGTAAACCTTATAAAACTACAAAATAATTATTTCAAAATCTTACCACTGTATTTCTGGCATGGGAACACCTTTAACTTTACATTCAAATTTAACTGTTCCATTTTCAGGCACCAAGGTATCGGATAATTTACGTTCAAATGTTGGTTTTTTCACGGCTGTAAACAGAAAAGTAATTTGACGTCATAAAGAGAAGAATTTTGAGTGTAATGAGGGAGCAAGGAGTTCTTAATTTATAAATCTTAAAATTATAATGATATAACTCTGACAAAACAAACACCATGAATTTAATCAGCAAGATGTTTTTGTTTTTTTATACTAAATGAATCTTGTCTTATCAAATAGAAACTAGTATATTAGTGGATAACAGACAGGACAAAATTAAGAATTGAAATAAATTACATTTGTAACAGTTACCATGTAGATCTTTAACTGTCCTGATTGAGTCTTTAAATAGCATTTAGTAATTGTGAGTATGATATATAGACAGAGCTTTATAGAACAACAATCACTGGTTAAAGTTTTATGCAAAGTGTTTCCCGTCGTCCGTAGTCAACAAAATGCTATTTAATAACCTCAGACAATTCCACATGAGGTCTTTCAAATTACCCTCTAAATTATATTACACTTTTCAAATTACCCTCTAAATTATATTAAACTTTTCAAATTACCCTCTAAATTATATCAAACTTTTCAAATTACCCTCTAAATTATATTAAACTTTTCAAATTACCCTCTAAATTATATCAAACTTTTCAAATTACCCTCTAAATGATGCTAAGCAACTAAAAAAACTTACGTGTAACTTTAAGTCTAGAATTACAAGCCAGTTGACCACCAGAGTTGATAGCTCTAGCAGTGATAAGACCAGCATCAGATAGTTTAATATTGTGGAGAATCAAAGTATGGGTTTGTTCATGAACTTCAAACTCTACATCTTTACCAGCAACTAGTTCAGTATCACCCTTCAACCTGGTATAAAGAAGACAACAGATATAAAAGATGGATCTATCTCTAGTTTTTCATAAGATAAAGCAATACTCAGAGAGTAGTATTAACAGTCATTTATATCAACTACTGCTACTTGCTCTTTATGTCCTGGATACAGGGTCCTGTCATTGGCAATTTCAAAGTCTTTTGGGTTTTTTTTGGAGGAAGTGTACAGTGTGTTTCCAGTTCTTTTAATAATAAATTGCACTCCTATTTCAACTCAAAGTTCCCATGTGTATCTTGTGATAAGAGAAACCAAAATGACTACATCATCAATGTTACTTCAAGTTAATGACCAATAACCTCTCTCAGAGAATAACAGGACTATTAGATTTATATGAAGTATGCCTATAAAGAAGGCAACCCTGATTGCTGTGTGATATTCGACTGTCTTAAAGAGGATTTAAACCTGCTTCAACTTATCATTGTAAAACACTGAGATCTTTTGTTGAATATTAACAATTCTTGACAGGTCCTAGAGAATATAAAACTAACCATGTGACTGTTGGCTTGGGTTTACCAGAAACTTCAACTTCCATCTTTACAGATTCGCCTTCCAAGGTTTCTACTGGTTCCAATTTACGGATAAATTTAGGAGCTTCTTTCTTTTCTGTAAAAACAAAACATAATCTTTTAGATGATATTTCAATTTAACTACTGCTTCAAAACGCAAGGCTTCAAAGTATTATTCAAAATGAAGTCAAACTTTGGCCATACTTTTTAAGTTCATGCAATGTGATAGTTCATTTAACTTTCATTTTAGTTATAGTCCAATATCAACTGGTCAAGGTTAAAATGTTCATCAAAAGGTTAAGATATCCTAAAAAGAATTAAAAAATCACCTTGGATAACAAGCTTGGTTTCTGATACAACTTCTCCAGCTTTGTTTTTAGCAACAGCTCTGACTAGACCAGCATCTTCTACTTCTGTTGGTTCAATAGACAGAGTGTGAACCTCGTCACCTCCGTATCCTTTACGTTGTTCAATACGGAATCTTATACCAGGTTCTATTAGTGTCTCCTTGATAAACCTGTGATACAGAACAGCAGGTCATTAGATATATCAGTAGATAATAAGCATAGTGATTACTTTCATGGAATTAGTCCAACATTCAACTTATAACATAAGGCAACAAAATATCATGATCATGGACACTTTTGACAGGTATGTTTGCTCTTTTCAAGGCACCAGATAGTGCTTCTCTTTACACGATTCCACTGGTACATGGCTTTTTCCCTCGATTTTGCCATGTATTGGACCAGATTTTGATTGGAAGAATTGTCTTGCTTGTACAGACTTTTATGATAATAAAATTCAAAATTATTTTGCTAGATCTCATCCATTTGAGTGAAACTGTCTTTCTGTATAAAATATTTTCCACAAGAAAAAGTGAACATAGACTTACCACATGACTTCTGGTAGAGGAATGCCTTTAACAGCACAGTCAAATTTAATAGGTCTTCCTTCACGACAGTCTTTAGGTGATAAATCCTTGGTGAAATGTGGTTTCTCAGTTTTACCTGGTGAATAATTGAACAGTTATAATAACATAATCAATATATAAACTATCTTATCCTACCCCTTGTAGAGTAATAGTAGCCTATAAAGTTTGAACATGTTTTTTTTACACATGTGTTGCGCTTAAATTCCATATTAAATATTTCAAAAGACATCTTCAAATTTGCAGACCATATCATTATTAAGCATTAAGGGGTCAATAAAATGGGCAGAATGTCTCCCACTGGCTAATACATAAATAAATTTGTATTTTTAGTTGAGGTGTATCAGCTAATGAAATGTGTCATTTAGCTAGATAAATAAAATTTGGCTAATATATCTTCCAGATACTGTAAAGCAAATACAAGGTTTCAAACTGAAGCACTGATTCTCCCAATTTCGAATTCAAAATGAATCAAAAAAAGATCGGATATGAGAGAACTGACCTTCAATAGTGACGAAAGCTTTATGTTCAACAGTACCGGCAGGGTTTGAGGCCACACAGCTGTATTCTCCTTCATGGGTCATATTAACATGACCAAATCTGATGAAAGAGTCTTCACCCTCGTACGATTTCTTGATGTTGGGAGTCGCAGTGATTTCTACATTGTTTCTAAAAGTAGACAGAAAACATTCATTGATAAATGTTAACAAAGTTTATTTTGCCTTTAAGAATGTTAACAACTATTTGTAAAATATCATAAAAACAATTCCTGATACAGAAAATCACCCTGAAAATCAACAGTTGAATCTGGTATCAAGGAAAGTTGATTCTTACCTGAGCCATTTAACTTCTGGTCGAGGAATTCCAGTGACTTTAGCGATTAGTTTCAATGGTTGTTCTTCCATTACAGTCTATGATAAATAAATATAAACCATCATTATAGATTGTATCAACAGCCTTACAAACATCCCCAAAATTCATTAGCAATATTGCTACTATTCAGAATAATGAAGAAAGACATGACATTGACCATGTTTAAGGTTTACACAAGTTTTATGATTTTTTCTTAAAATTCAATTAAAAGTTGAAAACTATTGTGCAGAATGCCACTTTTAAAGATATGTAAAAAAATCATACCAAATCTGAGAAAGTCTCAATAAATTCTGGAGCTCTGGAATCATCAGGAGTTCGTAGAACTAAAGGTGATTCAGAAAGACGTTCTTCTCGCTTGATTTCTACAACAAAAAATTAGTATTGGTTTCATAATCATGTAATATATTGTCATGGTCATCTCAGAATAGAATAACTTCTAAACTATACATTTGAAGACAATTATAGATGACAAGATCAACAAGTTAAAAAATAAAATATATAAGTTGTAAATAAATTATGTAATATTCATCTATGATTTAGACCATTTCAAACGAGGGTTTATTAACCATATCACACAGTGTCTTCAAAAGCACAAAAGCGTGAGCATATCTTTCATATTAGCTAGTTATAGAACATCAACTCGAAAAAGTTGCCTAAAGCAATCAATTAAAAATCCGTACAAGCAAGACAAATCCTTTAATTAAAATCTCGTCCAAAGTACATCAAAATCGAGAGTAGAAGTTGTGTAGTCACTCCTCAATAGAGAAGAACCATCAGGTGTTTCGAAAAGAGTAAGCATAGTCTGCTTCGCACGACACCCGCCACTACTACAATGGTCTAAATCATGAGACACATCCAGATCAATTCATGCCTGACTAAACAAATCAGCCAAAATGCCAGAAACAGATATATTTTATCAATCTTACCATTAACAGTGAGAGGTATTTCTACTGTAGCTTGACCTTCAGAGTTTTTAGCCAAACAAGTGAAATTACCAGCATCTTCTAAATCTACTTCTTTTATTTCAAAACAATATGAATCTTCAAATTTCTCCTGATGATACAGTTCTTTATCTTCTAAGACTTGATTATTACGTAACCAGGTAACTGTAGTGGAAAATTTTAAACAAAATAATATGGTATGTATTTTTATATCCAAAAATTCTGCAACTTATTGGGCTATTGACAGTAATGCAGTGCACAATGATGTCAATTTTTACCAGGGCATTAGCTTAAGAAATTTTGAAATATCTTTAACCTGCGTAGGACCTTCATGTTTTCAATAATTATACTTTGCCCATAGAATAACTTGAACCACCTTTTTTATATACCATACATACCTGTTGGTTTTGGTTCTCCAATGACCTTGACCATGAATTCAGCACGGTCTCGTTCCTTGGCAACCACTTTTTCTGGAACTTTGATGAACTCTGGAGGTGATAATTTCTCCTTTGGTTTTTCTGAAAGTAAAGATACTGATTAGATCTTACGACTGAACAATGATAGGGACAACCACAAAATACTAGCAAGGATCATATTCCTAAAAAACATAATTCAACTGTTGTCACTTTCATTCCAAATATTCACTCGTTTTCAAAGCCATCTGTACTGATGATCCGTTGTATATCCACAACATGTATCAAAATCTTAAAAGATACTTTATCAATAGAATAAGTTTTGACAATCCAGTAAATCGAAGGTTTATTTAATATTTCAAATCATGATTTGATTTTATATTTCTGCCACTAAGATAACTTCTAAATTATTCTTAACTTTTTGTCTAAGAGATTGGACAAAGCAAATGATAATTACCTTCAACGAAAAGTTCAGCTTTACATTTATCGGTACCAACAGGATTTTTAGCCTCGCAGGAATAAGTTCCATCATCTTGTGGATGGACGTCAACGATAATCAATGTAGAGTCAGTATCTTCACCAAACTCTATGGTAAAATGTTTATCATCTTCAGAGATTATTTTATCATTTTTATACCAGATTAGTTCAGGTTTAGGTACACCAGTAGCTTTACAGTAAAATTTGGCCTTTTCTCCTTCCTTGATCTCCACTGTTTCTAAGGAAACAATGAATTTAGGAGCTTCTTGTTTAGGTTTCTCTTCTTTTGGTTTTTCTGAAAGTTGAAATGATAGTAATTAAAAAACCCCCAAAAACCTTTAATCAAATACCAAAGTATGAGATTCAGTAATGATTAGTGAAGTATATCAAGATGGTACCTTCTGGGAATAATGTAATAACAGAAAATGTGTCTGAGGCCAATTATACATTGTTATAAATTATACATTGTTATAAATTATACATTGTGATCAATTATACGTTGTTATCAATTATGCATTGTTATCAATTAAACATCGTATAAATTATACGTTGTTATCAATTACACATTGTTATCAATTATACGTTGTTATCAATTATGCATTGTTATCAATTAAACATTGTATAAATAATACATTGTTATCAATTATGCATTGTTATCAATTATACATTGTTGTCAATTATACATTGTTATACATTGTTATACATCATAATTTTCCATGATGAAACAATTTTATGGAGGCTCTACCCACCTTTAACAAGTAGATCAGCAGAACAAGATGTTTGACCAAACTTATTTTCAGCTTTAACTGTGTATTCTCCTTTATCTTTTGGTGAGACATCATAGACTTCAAGATGGTGGAGATTTTCTTCTTCAAATATCATGTAACGCCCTCCATCTTCTAGTGGTTTACTGTTATAGAACCAGATCACATCAGGTTTAGGTTCACCAGTAACTTCACAGTTGAAATCAGCAGTACCATCTTCTTCAACCTATAGAATACCAGTAAGTTCATTCATGATTCAAACTTAGTTTAGTGTTTTACAAATAAATCACTCAGTTTTTACACCCATCCTCATAAACAAAATTTTAAAAGCAGCTAGGTTTTACTGCAAAAGATGTTCTAACACTATAGTGATAACAAGTTCTTTATGGTTGCAAATAATGAATAAGGTCATGAGTACAGAACACAACTAACAACTCAGTTACACGAGACTTGTGACCTCTATTAGAATTCACAACCATATACAACTGGTAATCGCTATAGTGTGAGGGACCCTTTAGTATTTTTAGTAGACAAGATAGAGAATTCCTTACTATTAACCAAAATTGTCATTGTCTGAGATGAGAGAACAGGCAATAAGTTGATAACAATTTATTCAAATCAGAAGGAAAAGACTTACATTTTGTGTTTTGATGGTGAGAATAAATTCTGGAGCTTGACCTTCAGGTTTGACCTCGACTGGTTTTTCCTCTTCTTTGATCTCTTCAGGGATTCCTGGAAAACAGAGTTAATATATTCATTAAATCAAAATTGCTTTCAGGCTCATATAGAAGATACTAGTATCAAATATGACATTTCCATTTATTTACTCCTCCAAAGCGAAGTACCATCAGGTGTTTTATAAAGAGTGAACATGGTCTGTTTTGAGAGGATACTAGTTTCAAATATGAATATTTTTGTTACCAATTGAAAAAAGATAATTTAGCGCAAGAATTTTTTATACAATTTTTCTGAACAATAGGTTCAATTTTAGGCCATATAGTGTAACATTTGCTTATGTTTTAAATGTTCAATTTAACAATTATGGGTGTTTTGGGTTTTTTCATGCAATTATTTTCTAGCCAAAACCAAATATTCTAGGCCCTCTTACCAAAATGCTCGATTCAATAAAATTTCCCATTTGTATATTTGCAAAAGTAAAACTTTTAATTGTTTTAATGTATTTGTAGAAATTGGATCACTTTGATTTCTTTCTATTTATCTTAAATTCTCATTTAAAGATGTAAAATATCAACAGCTCAAATTTGAAATGAATAACTCTGACATGTGCTTATTAAAATAGAGGTACAAGAAGTAATTAGTGTAGTAAGGTAATTTTACATTAATTAACTATAGGGTCATGTAGTATTTTTTTTATAAAATATGTCCTACTATCTGTTCATAGTAACTTTAATACTCTAATCTGTATGGCACATAGCCAACATCAATTATTACTCCAAACAACCTACATAGTATCTTAATATTTACATATCTACTGATTGATATATATATAGATCAGGGTTTCTGATTAGCCTGTATTAACCATACCTGCTTGTAAAATGTCCACATTTAAGAGTGATTTTTAGGACATTTAGTTTAAAAATGTGACATAGGCTATTTAATGTTAAAGAATGACTGATACCTCACAAATACTTCCAAATTGAAATAATATTCTTTGGACTGTTTGTTATATAAAAAAAAAATATGTGAAAAAAAATCTGAACTTCATTAAAAAGTGGCAATCAGATATGGCTGGCAAATATAGTCAGATCAAAATCCCTTAGAGTGAGTATCACTTACCATTGGGCCTATTACTAGCAACAAGAGCTAGAGAAATTTCCTGTATTCTTAAATTAGTTATAATTCTGATATATGTAGTACTTTTGGCTGATAAAATTTTCCTTATTTTCATTTTCCATCATTCTAGAGGAACATTCTAATCCTTCTCTCACATGTTTTTTAAGAATTTTCAGATCCACGTTCACTACTCTATCTTTCTTTAATTCCTAGTTTCTAAAAATACTCAGATATCTTGTGATCTTTCAAAAATCCATACAAGTTGTTTGATTCACTAAATCTGTTTTACTCTCAGCTCTGATTTCATTCAATACAGTTTTAATACAGTTTTATAGTTAATCCTTAACAACGTTCTTCATTATCAAATAAAAATACTCAATTTGAACACATGTACACTTTTAGATACACATGTTGTTAATTCCTATAATAAACTATAATATTCCTAAAATCCTTATTTTGATATTTGAAGGCACTCCTGTTTAGGTTCACATTTTTCTGAAATCATTCTGTGACATAGAACTAAACTTGAAGACACTATTTGATGCAGATTTTGTGAATTTTTTAATGTTTTTGAGCACAGAAGACTGGTGTTCTTATCTCTATACCCCCTGATAAACTGGTCAACTACTGGTCCTAGAGAACTAACTCTACCCTTTACTCCTTACATTCTTATCTTAATCACCATGTTTATAATGATACAAATTTCAACCTTGTAAACTTGTCCATATCCAAATATTGATTTACTTCAACAGGTGATTTTTTAATGTATGACCTTCAAAATTTAGACTCTAATGTTTCCTATCCTATAATATCATTGACTTTATAGCACTTTATACTAATGTTTACATAATTCTGTTCATATCAAGAACTAATTAAATATGCACTTCTGATTCAAACAAGTGATTTCATCTGATGATGACACATGTTATATGTAGATTGTGTCGAAACGAATGTGTTTAATAATTCTTATTAAAGATGGGTGCTGACATTGTCTTGTGTTTGTGAACTGTGCACTTGATGAAAAATCAACAAGGTTAAAGTTCTGTTCCAATCCCAAAACACTAAAATATATATCAATTGATGATGATTTTGTAACTTGTAAGCAAATCCAATAAATTTATTTTAAAACACTTAAAGTTCACTCAAACCTATGTCTCAATAAATCAATATATTTATAGTCTTTTTATAATTCTTATCTTATTTCATGTTCTCAACTATGAAAATATTGTAATTATTTATAACATATTAAAATATCAAATGATATAACACGATCAACGATCAACACCGCTTGCTCTATTACACGCTTAATTAAACACTTTGTTAACAATCTTTAGTTAGCTCAGATTTAAAAATAATGTAATCATTTCCAGTTACTATTGAGTAACTAATCATGCATTGCAAATCACCTTACGTAGAATTCTATATAAATTTTAGAGCTATGTAGACTCTCTGAAAACAATGCAAAGTTGACGCATTCGATTAGCTATGTAGACTCTCTAAAAAAGATAAAGCATGAACTGGGTTCACTTTGATAACTGGTATGAAATATATTACTAACAGTATTGACCCTGAATGACTTTAAGATAAACTTTAGCCATAAATATATCATCAATTTGTTTATATAATTTTAGACCACCATATAAACACTGACTTTTATTATATACACATTCCTTTAATATTTCTTAACCAGGTTTCCCAAAAAATTCAGGTTAATTTTTCTTCCAATTTCAAGCCTACACTTAAGCCAAACTCCATAGTATACAGTGTTATTTTCTTGAAACTCTTGCTAAGAAGATAGCCTCTAGATTTATTTTAGAGATTTTCCAAGATAGAATACCTGACACCACCTTTGAATTGTATTCACTTCTGTTATTCAAAAAAAAATATTCTCAAACCAAACTCTTCAAAGCCTTTTAAAAATTGATCACTATTCAAATCCACAATGAAAAATATTTAAAAAAAGGTAGAAGATTTCTAATTCATTTAGTAGAAATTCAGATGATATTGAGTTTTTATAATCTTCATGTGTTGTTCACTCAATAAATAGTGTTTCATTTATTCCTGAATATTATCCAAATTTTTCCCACTTCACAATAATGCTTAAAATGACTACTATTCTTTAACAAAGTAAAACTATTTCTGAGATGCCAGGATAAAATTCAGATAGTGATAGAACACAGGTCTTTTTACTGATGAAAACACTGTGGGGTGCTGATGAAAATTTTAATAATATCTATTTGTAGGCACCATATGTTATAAACTAATTACAGAAGGGGGAGGGGGGATGTGGTGAGGAACTTTTCTAATCAAAGACTGGGCAGAATTAGCATTCTGCACTGTGGTACATATTTTTCTAGTTTTAAATTTCAGAACAGTTTTTTTTCATGATATAGATGGTTTTTTCTTTGTAAATAAATAAGAAATGAATTTTAAGTAGCTAACAAGTAGTAATATTGTAGTGCGGCAGGTCACGCAAATTCCATTCAGTTTTATACTTCTGTTTTATAGTATTGTATCTCAAACTTACTAATCAAAATCTTATTTTTCGTATATGTATAACTGTGTTTACTTTTGTAAATAGAATTACATTAAACTGAACATTCAACTACCCATTAGGTTTATGTAGCTCAGGTAATTTTAGTATACGGGCAAGCTGTTTTCATGTCATTTCGTTCATAGTTATGTGATTATTTCGTTACATAGTTCCGTGATTTCGTTACATAGTTCTCTGATTATTTCCATATAATAAATACAAAGGGAAGTTTTCTTGTCTTCATTTCACACCATGGAGAAGTTCAATATCACATGATAAAACAGACATGAAATCACAGAAGTATGAACTATGAAGCAAAACAATGAAGGAACTATGTAACGAAATCACAGAACTATTAACAAAATCACAGAACTATATAACGAAATCACAGAACTATGTAAAAAATATCACAGAACTATGTAATAAAATCACAGAACTATGCAACGAAATCACAGAACTATGAAACGAAATAATCACAGAACTATGTAACGAAATAATCACAGAACTATGTAACGAAATAATCACAGAAGTATGTAATATAACAGAAATTCAATTGCAGTGTTTTGCTCAAAAAAGGAAACCCAAAATAAATCTACCCACCTGTGATAGTGACTTCAACAGAAACATCATCAGTTCCTGAAGGATTGGAGATTTTCAGTGTATACACAGCTGTATCTTCCACCACTGCTTTTGGTATGGTTAGAGTAACTGTATCTGGCGTCAGATTAATTAGATGACGATCATCACTGGACACTGGTTTATCTTTGATTGTCCAGGTAGCTGTGGGTGCAGGAATACCTTCTATCTTACAGGTGATAGAGACAGACTGACCTTCCTGTACACTCACTGATTTTGGTGCATCCACAATTCGAGCTGGTACTGGAAACAAAGTTGCAAGATTGAAAATGGTCGAAGATCAATGGGGACCTTAGTGATAATTAATGATGGATGATAGAGTTTGACTCAGATCTTGAAAAAGATGTTTTCTTTTCAGAAATGGGATCTAATGTCATGCTGGCAAATCAAATTGATGGTTACATTATTTTTTATTATTGATCTTCAAAACAAAAAATCCCTTTTTTGGAATTGCAATCATAGGGAGAATTACTCTTTTTGATAATTTATTTTCTTTCGACTAAAAGGTAGAAGGACATAATGTAGTGGCAGTCTACTGAAAGAGGTGGGAGAGAGCCAGTATTTCGGGATGAATTATTTAGTTATTTGTTGTAACATTGTTTTCCTCACCCATACTATTTTGCCATGGGTTCACCTTTTTTTGGGCATCCTAAATGTTGATATTTTGTATCCATGGGTCAACAGTATAAAATGATATCTGATTAATTCCTAAAAGTTTTTTGATTTTCTGATTAGTTAAAAAATATATTAGTCTTTAGTCTTTACATCACAAGATAAACCACCAGATTATACCAAATATAGATTCTGTATTCAATCAATCACATGCATATATATACATATATACAGTATAAAATTATTATTTTCATGCACAGGTCAAATAGGTCAAATAGGTTTAAATTAATATAATTAAATCTGAACAGCATGAAACTCTGAGTTACAACATGATTCAAGTTCTGTTTTGATATTTCTAAGCCTGGATATACCAACAATTTAGACTAGAGCAATGTATTTAATCAATACTACAAACAAGTATATAATTTGTTCATGCACAAGTCATAATATCACTGAGGGGGTACACGACATGCAAGGTGATAACTGAAGCAGATCAAGATGATGAAGATGCTGAGGATGAGGATCAGGTACAAATGGATGGCAACTCAAGGGTACATACATATCATATTGGTTTGGAAATGTCATTTTTGAAGTATGTCAAAGAAAACGTTAAAAGACTTTGGATAAACGAAATGTGCCAATGTTGTCAGTTGTCAGTTGATAAAGCTGTATAACTGAAGCTACTGACCAAGGTTTGGTTTTGAATTTCTTAATGAACCTTTCCCCACAATCTTAATCATCCTTTATCTGCTGTTTTAAAACATTACCAGTTCTGACAATCTGAGACTTCCTGTATTTCTTCCAACATTAACCACAGTAAATCAAATCAATCTTTTAGACCTAGTTATTTGAGATTCCAGAATCCTCACAGAGTATTTATTGTAATCATTCAATTCAAATTGTTTGCAAATTTCTTTATTATCATTATGGATCATTACCAATTTCAATTCGTTCTTTCAACATTCAGGAATTTTCAATCACCTTATCCAAATCTGAGGAGTTATAAAACAATGTCTTATTGGTTTTTCTGTGGAATAGTACACATGGTTGTATACAAACACCATAAAAACAGACAGGAAGGGTACTATTGAACTATAAGAACCAGACAACCCCCAGTATTGGTTAGTAAGGTAAGAAAACATTAAGGTATAACAAGATAGACAGACAAGACAGGTAATATATATATAAACATGTTTTATTAACAGTTACAGATGATTTCTACATAACAAGGGTAACAGGGTTACAGATATACAATAGCTTGATATAGATTGGGAGTTTAAAGCTAGACTGGTTTGAAAAAGGTAAATTTTTTAGAAATTTACTTTCATATTACTTACTATACTATCATATCGTGTCTGTACTAAAGACTTGTAAATATTTTTCTTTGAATTTCATGAAAGCACAGATCTGGACAGATGCAAAATTGATACACAAAAATGAATCTTGGCACATGTTTATAGAAGGTATAGGTAAATACCACAGTCCTTGCTGTTCAAGGGACTGTAAAGTGTTTTTTTTTTAATTTTATGTGTATCAGGGACACTTATAGCATCAATTTGCAGCATTCCAATTTTCAACCAGACGTCTGTGGTTCCTGCAATTCCACTGAAACTAAGTGTTTGATCGCAAAATATGCTTATATCACATGAGGACTTCGCGATTAGTGACGTCATAAAACACTTTTAATGGATTGCAGAAACCACAGACATCTGGTTGAAAATTGGAAGGGTGCAAATTGATGCTATCATTGTCCCTGATACACATAAAAAATTTAGAAAACCTCTTTACAATCCCTTTGAAACTAAAACACAATTCACCAAATTCTATTTTTAAAAATCTAGTCCAGCTTTACGTTCTAGCAATACTAAGGAATTATGGCCTCAATAACAAAGTATTAGTGCATTGATATGGATGAAATGATATTGGCATTATGATTATATGGAATGGCTAGATAAATTGGCAAGTTTTAAATAAAATTCACATGAAATTTACACTACGCAGCCTCTATTTACCTTAACTAAAACAACTAGTGAAAAGTGAGAAAGTTTTACATGAAACAGTTCTATATTGTTTCTACCAATCGTAAGCAGATTAATCTAATTGTCTATTGACCATAACTCCCATTAAAAAATACCCTGATTCTGTTACACAGCGAACCATTCACTAATGAAATCATGAAGAGTGTACAGAATACTCTGTTATAATCATGAGTTGAATACCCGACTCAAATTTTATTGATTTTTATGAAGTCATCACATAACAGCGTTTCTATAACCAAATTGTTAAAGGGACTGGTGCACCATTTTTTTTGACCTGTCATACTTTAGTCTCAGAAACGAGAATTTTTTAGCTAAGCCAATCAGTAATAATGTTCACAGCTCACTGTCGAAATTTGAACCTTCAAATCCATGTGTGTCAAGAATTATCTGTGTTTGAATGTTAAAATGACAACTTGTTAATTCAAGATACTCTGTGATATATAAAAAACATATAGAGAAATAGTCAGTAAAATTCCTAGTTTGAGATATTTTGGAAGGAATTATGCAATTTTCGTACATTTCTAGTACTTCTGAAGACTATTTACATATTTTCAAGACTAATTTCAACACCTCAAAATAGCGCACCTGTCCCTTTAAGATCTTCTTAAACTTTCTCTCCATAACCCACCTCAATCCACTGTTCAGTTACAAGTGTTAGATGATGTACAAACAGATGAGATATAAATATTAATTAAACACTTTCATATCATCATTCATTAAGATAATTAATTAATTATACATAAAATTTATTAATATTCATGCAAAATCAACAAATCAACCAAAATAATCCTTCTTTCTCCAGTTTTAACATAAAATAATATTTCACCTTCTCAGTTTTATATTAATGAATTTCTTAATATTGTATCTTATATTTAACAATTATCAGGAATTGATTTTCTTTACATAACAGAGAGATAGCCAAAATTTTATTTTGAGAATCTGATTAACCCGTGAACCGACAGGGATAGAAAGGTGACAAGCAAAATTTCTGATAACTTGTAATTTCTACTGGAAAAACGAGGATTTTTTTTTTAAATTACAATCCAAAATCACAGAGATTAGTGAAACATATATAAATCATTTAAAACAGTCCAAAACATGGTGTTTTTTCTTAGATTTCTTAGATCCCCAAAATAATGTTCTCACCAGTTGGATCTTTCTACAACACATGCCTGGCCACGTATTCTCGAAACAATCTTAACGCTAGGATGTCCTAGGGTCTTGAGTCATAATACTGTTTCTGGGATATCCCAGAACTAAGATCGTTTCGAGAATATGTAGCCTGGTTAATGAAGACGTCTAAGAGTTGCATTTGATGCTCTGGCAGAATAAGCATGCTGCGCCTCACTACCAGCTACTTAAGTTCTATTTAAAAGGGCTTTTGAGGCTAAACCAACATGGAGGACACCTTTGGCAAATTTCCCAAAAGCCAGTTGTGTGATTATCAAATGAAATGCTACCCATCCCTAAATCTATGTACTCAGCATGTTTTGGACTAGTGATATATTATATCGATACAAATTATTTCATTCTATTCAGTCATGCAGTTCATGCCAATCAATATAATTATGAGAACATTCAATATCTGATTTATTTTTCAAAAAAACGACATGCAACAGACACATTCAAATAATGATGAAAAAAATCAAATTCTGAATATTAACTAATGAAAAAAATTCTTATCCTATGTCTGTTTTAAAAAGTCATATGTCAAATGGAAATGTATCAAAATGTTGTTTTTTTTATTTAAGTATATAATAATTACAAGCTTTTGCAAAAAATTTGTTAATGATTTGTCCTTGTATCATTGATAATGTTAAAACAACAACAAATCTTCCTGTTCTTAAAACTGACTAGTTATAAAACACAAGACCTAAAGACATAAGTTTTCTTAACAATATCATTATATTTCTTTGAATATAAGCAAAAATGATTTTGTGAGCCAAAACTCTTTGGAATTTCAAGCTAAAAGTGACATTTTATTATTTGTGACAAAATTGTGACCTATTGACTATTTAATTCAGATTGTTAATTCAAATGGAATTCTGATGCTGAATTCGGCTGAAATATTAAAAGTTATTATTGTTTAATATTGGCTTGAATTAATAAAAGGTTTAAATTCAAAATTACTAGAATTAATTCTTGATGATTTGTATCTAAATGTATTGTAATACTTCAAAAAAAGCAAGAATATAAACTTTAAATAATAGAAATAATATACTAAAAGCCTGACTGTGCGTCTTAATTTAAAACTGAAAATCATTTGATAAAATCCTGTTAATATGTCTAGCACTAAATTGATTTATAAATAAACAACTACAAAATATCTATTGGCTATTGAAAGCTGGTTGAAAACAAAATGTTTTGATCTATTTAAAGTGATTTTCAACTACGGTAAAACTAAATAGAAGCACTTTGAAAGAATTCCAATCCTACCACTGGTTTCTTTAAGCAAAAGCTCAAACACTAAGGAAAGCTGAATTTTTACAAATATTTAAAATAAATTGAATTATGTTTTGCATAAATGCTATTTTCAGCTTTTATCTTTTAATATATTTAAGCACTATTTCTTGGACCTCACAAATAAAAATCCAAACTTTAATGAAGAGCTTAATGTTCTAACTAAAATAGAATGAACGACTTTTCATTAAGCTCTATATTGATTTATAGAAATCTAGCTAGATGATTCGGAAAACCTGAGCTCTATAGAGTCTAAGAGAATACTATTTAGATAATGAATTAATGATAAATAATAATGATATAATAATAATAATGATATAATAATAATAATAATAATGATATGATAATAATGAAATATATTAGAACACAATTTTAAAATAGATTAATCCTATAACCTCTACCATCAAGTTTCAAAGTGATCCAATAATTTTTCTTTTTTTCAAAACAAATTTCAAAATCTTGATATTTTGGGTTTTTTTATGATGTAATTTAGCACCAATTGAAAGTAATTTTATGATTTTTCAGAGACATTTAAATAAAACTCTGTACTGTAATGGTATTTTGAATTAATATATTTCTACTAGTTTGTGTTAATTAAAACAAACGATATATATAAACACTAATATTATATACAAGAGTTTCTGATTTAAAATTTGAAAAAATTGTTAGGCCTACATGCGATATGACAGGAATTTTTATAATTCTTTTTTCAATGACCAAATCCAAGTTGACCTAAGTAAGTCCTATATTTTGAGATTCTTAGTTTTTTTTTTTTTTGAAAATGTTGATTCATTTAGAATAATGAAATTTCTCAAAATATTATCTGAATAAAACATTTCAGAGTTTGAAATCAGAAACTCCTTCAACGAACCAGAAAGCATGCTATATTAAAGGGACATAACTCTACATTTAAAAATATAACAAACCTTCAATGGTTAAAGTGGCTTCAGTTGATGCATCTCCGACAGGGTTTTCAGCACGGCAAGTATAGGTCTTATTGATGTCTTCCGTGGTGACGTCATTTATAGTCAAGACACAGTGACGATCTTCACAGCTGAAATTATACTTCGGGCCACGACTGATTGGTTTACTGTCCACAAACCATGTGATCTCTGGTAAGGGCATTCCCTTGACAACACATTCAAACCGAGCCATTTCTTTCAGCTTCGTTTTAACAGTCTCCAATGGTTTTTCAAATTCAGGGCCATCAAGTCTGAGTGTGACTTTGGCATGGCAAGTGGCGACACCTTTAGAGTTAGTTGCCTTGACAGTGTATTCACCTTCGTGTTCAAGCTCGGCTTTATCGATAATAAATCTCACTACATCTTCGATCTCTTCGATTCTATAAATAAAAAAATTCAAAAATTTTAAGTGTTTTTTTTGGGCCAAACACATCCTAAATCCTTTAAATTCTAAAATGTCAAATTTTAATTATTATGGTTTCTAGTTTTAAAATGATGTATCTAATTAATCAATTTTCATAAAATTCATAATCTGTTTGCTCTTATCCACTAAGCTCTGAAATTATGAAGTTGTTCATTTACTTTTTACTTCATTTTCTTTCAAACATCTAAAAAAACAATGATGAATCAATCTTCAAGATTGAAGTGAAAAAAGATAACAAAATAAGGTTTAACAAACTGCAAAAATATTTTAAACTTTTACCTGTATTTATTTTTAGGAATTTCTTCACCGTCAATTGTCAAGGTGAGTTCAGGCTTGGGTTGACCTTTGACCTGAACTTCTAATATAATTTGAGCATGATAGTCGACAGCGATATCTTCGATACATCGAATAAATGTTGGAGCTTCACCTGAAATATTATTTTGAAAAGTTCATGATGATAATATTTCTCCAATAAGTTGATATTCTTTGTCAGTTTCAAAGTTTCAAAGTTACAGAAAAAAACCTCAAGCTACTTTTACAACAGAAAAATATATGCAAAAGCTTAACCTTGCGAGTTTGAGCTTTTGTTTTAAAAATCAAGAGAAAGTTTAAAATCAAACCTATCTACTGGTGGATTAGAACTGACAACTTCCTTCAGAATTTGAGCTTTTCTATTCTTATCAAGAGACAATTAAAAATCAAACCCATCTACTGGTGAAGATAATAACTGACAACCTCTTTGAGAATTTGAGATTTTCTAGTGAAACCATATCAAGAGAAATGACAAAGAAAACGTACCTGCTGGAGCAATGTAGAGGTCTGCTGATGTGGAAACTGAACCAGCTTTATTGGTAGCAGTACAGGTAAACTCAGCATCATCCTCAGTATTAGCATCGTGGATGATCAGGGTGAAGTTACCTTCTGTATCGTGACGTGTTTCATAATGTTCATTAAGTTGGATTGTTACTCCTTCTCTCAACCTGAAATTTTCATTCACTTTCCATTATGAAATACTTACTCACTTATAATTGATATATTTCCTCATATGAAAAGTTCATTAGCTGCTACCAATATTTCACCATATGTTGGTTTGGATTTTGGGTATCGTGAGTACTTGTTTTATTTATTCAATATCATCTTTGATCAGAATAATAAAAACAATTTTGGGGCTTGATTTGAGATGGATTGTTATACATTCAGACAATAGGCTTTATTTCCTATGAAACAAGGCGTGAATAAGTTCTATAGCACAGTCTGTTAGAGCATTGGTTCTTTGCCTGGGTACGTGCAACAAATGGCGGTTGTAGGTTCTCATCTCGATCAACGTGTGAAAGTCCGATAACCTTGAATAAGTCATCTTCACTCATAATTCCAGTTGACCCATCTGTAAATGGGTAGGGATAATCCGAGAAAGATCACTGATATAAATCAGCTAGTAGAAAGGATTAAATTGTTATCCATGTAAAATTATAGTGTTTTTATCTTTTGAATTTCCTAAAGAATTGTCAAACATAGTATGAAACTTACCAAGTGATTTCTGGTTGAGGCTGACCAGTAACATTGACTGTAAGTTCTATAGTAGCACCTTCTGGTACCTCTTGGTCTTCTAGTTTCTTATTGAATACTGGTGCCACAGTGAACTCTACTGAAACATCTTCAACTGTGTCTGTCTCCTGGAAGCTCAATGTGAATTCACCTTCAACATCTTCAGTTTCTTGAGGTTTCTCTGGCGCTGGTTCTGACAGAACAACCTCAGCCTTTGTGTCAACGTCCAAGGTTTGATCCATTGTGATCTCTTCTTGCTTCATGCTGAATTCAACACTGACATCTTCGATGGTTTCTTCTTGGGTGTCGTCCAGCTTCATCTGATGATGAAAACGAGATTCAGAAACTTCAAACTCTTCCTTGAAGAGTGTGGGCTCAGATTGAGGACTGTTTCTATCCCCTTTAGTCATTCTCCAAGTGTAAACCCTCATACCCACAGCCAGTTCATCTGATTCAGGGTCGGCATGCAAGAATTCATTAGCAGACTCATCCCTGTACAAACTATCATGCATAAAATCATCAGTATACTCATCTACTTCAGGCCCAGAGAAAGCATGGTCTACAAAATCTTGGGGTTGGTTATCTGGGTGCTCATAATTCGAAAGAGGGTAATCATATGAGTCCCCATTCTGGTCCTGTGGGTAATCATGCTGTTCCTCTGGGTATTCATATGAAAGAGGGTCCCCATGCTGGTCCTGTGGGTAATCATGCTGTTCCTCTGGGTATTCATATGAAAGAGGATCCCCATGCTGGTCCTGTGGGTCCTCATAAGAAAGAGGGTACTCATAATGGTCTGGATATGCATGCAGATGTTTCTCTTCTGTCACAAGCAGGGTATCATCTGTATTTGGTAAGTACTAAAGAAACGAAAAAAGCACACAACACATATTAAGGCAAGCAACAAGCAAAGCAAGATTAACAAAAACATGTTCATATCAGTTTCCATATATTTAATAACCCACAAAATGGTAGCAAATTGGAATCTGGTGTTCCAAGCAGAAAAGTAATTTATGGCTCACTAATGACACTTCAAGAATGCCAAGAGAGATCTGCTGCTGTATTTAATAAATAAACTTAATTGTGGTCAAATATAGTCAGTTAACTCTTCTCTTGAAGAATCATTAATGAGGGCTCAATTTACCAATACTTATAATAAAAGGTCATGGAAATTTGGTGCCCATGGAAATATAATGAAACTGATATTAACATTATAAGCTTGAAAAACAACAACACTAATAATCTATAATATTAATATAATACACTAATAACTTATTTTTAAAACTTGTACTACATAATTATGATGGTTAAAACCCAAAAGGAAAAATGTTTCTAGACTAATTTCTAAATCTATTTCTGAAGGCCTACTATTTGTGTACTGTCCCACATGCATACCTTGGACGTAGCTATCAAATTCTGATGTCAAATATTATATTTTTGAATAATGATATCTATTAAATAATGAAAACCCCCAAAAATGTTGTAAATTTTAATCGAATTTAGATACTTTTGGTTTTCATTTCTGTTTTCTTCACAAAATTGTTTGGAAAAGATATCTAACAAATATTCATAAAGTGCCAAAAAGTGCTGGAAAATTTAGAGTAGAATATGAATAGAGTTGAGTCATTGTATCCAAGATTTTAAGATTTTATTTGCAGAATGTGTCAAGTTTACATTTCTTTGATTTCTACTCTAACATACTATTCTATTGGTTATTGTTTGTACTTCTACTATAATATCTACTAACAAAACATTATCTGGTTATATATCAGAGCATGACTTGCTGTGTTCTAGAATTTTTAAATGACTCTAATAACAGCCCCTTTCGTTGAATAGTAACATGTAACCAATACTCTAATATCTAGACTAGTGGCGGAGCCAAAGGGGGGGGGGGGGCAGAGGGGCAGCCCTGAAAGCAAGTTTTTCGGGCAAAAAATCTCATAACTAGTTAGAAATTCGGGCAATCTCAGATATTTCACCCCTCCTCGGACGTAAACCTGGCTCCGCCACTGATCTAGACTATATTACTCAAAACATCCTCGGACATTTTTTGAACATATGGACCAGCATTATTTATTATAAGAATTTTGATGACACTGATTGGTCTGATAAGAATGAGGGTTAGAACAAAAGACTGTTCATAAGCATGAATAACAAAGATTACATCTGATTCGTCAGGTTAAGAACTTGTTACTTCTATAATGCAGCACAAAACACAAGATAACAGTTATACACAAAGCAAACAAATACTTAGTCAGTCTAACCCCCAGACCCCCCATCGCAAAATAAAATTTCATTGTACCTTTATGGTACTTGTAGGCAATCATTAAGAAAGTTAAGAAATTTAAAATCAAAGCAGATTTAGAATTAGTAAAGAAATGAAACCGAACCTGGAATTCTTGGGTGGATAATTCTTCCTCCTGAATAACGAAATCTGATTGGTCGGTGGTTGGTACGGTAACATCTTCCACCAGTGATTGTTCACGTAAAACTTTGACTTGTTCTCGAGCCTACAATGACAAAAAGCATATAAAGCAATTTGAACAGCCCACATTATCAGTCCACATATTTTCCTTTCTCTTATTTAAACAGCAATGCTAACTAGCCTTCCACGAAATCGCTCTGGTACTAACAATGACAAGCATTTTCTTTCATTGCCCTGCCAGAAGGACATAGTCTTTGTCCACTCATCAATAAAACCTTATCAGATACTTTTCATAAATCCAATTCTGCCTTACCATCTCCAACAAACTTTACCCAAGCTTCCCTCCCTCACCAGACATATTTCTCACCCTGTATTCAAGCAAACACAAATACCTTTCATCCCTCTCCAACTCTAATGCACCAAAGCCCTCTCCCCCAATTCACCAAAATCCCAGGCACAGCCCCTTTCCTTTCCCTTCCCCCTGTCCCCTCAGGTTCCACCTAACCTCCCTTCCTCCACCTCTGCTTCCAACCACTTGATATATTCTGTCTCCTGATCTCTGATCTCCTCTGCTATTCCAGTCCTGCCGAACGCAATGCACCTTTCCTTTCCCTTCCCCTTCAACTACCTGACATCCTCTCTCCCTTCCCATAAGCTTCCACCTAACACCCCCTCCCACCACCTTCCATCCCTTTCCTCCCCTCGCCTCGACCTACCTGATATCCTCTGAAAGCAGCTTGTATTTTAATGGCAGCTTTATCTGCCTCATCAACTTGATCAGCTGATTCTGTCACCTCCTCCTTTACCCCTTCTAATTTCTCTTCTTGATCCGATGGTACTTCTGAAATTAGAAAAATTAAATACTGAAATGCAGGGGATGTTGTCAGAAACATCACAACATTATGATAATAGTAAACCTACAATACCAATAAATTCAAATTCGCATCATCTGTTAAACCAACACTTTTTTAAGCTTCGGTAGATGATGTTTCTTGTTTAGTTTTAAATCATAAACCAATTTGATCATGGGCAACACTATACAATGTACAATGAGTTTTGCATTTATATGAACATAATCTTAAAAAGAACTTTAATGACCACAGTCTGTTGTAAACAGGTCTCAAGTAGCTAATAAACTAAAAAAAAAAAAAAACATGCCAGGAATCAAATCAACAAGAAAGAACTCCCACTCACCCTCGACATTAATGGTGGCTGAACATTCAACCTGTCCAGCCTCATTACTAGCTCGGGCTGTATATAAGCCAGCATCCTCGACCAGTACCTCTGGAATGGTCAGGATGCTTTCACCCTCGTTACCACTGGTAATTTCATAGACATCATCTGTTTGTATGGCCTCTCCAGCGTGATACCAGGTGATGTTTGGAGTCGGTACGCCGCTCGCTCTACAGACCAGTTTTGCTGATTCTCCTTCTTTAACTTGTAAATTGTTAAAGACAACCTCAAATTTAGGGGCAATAATTTCAGGTTTCTCAAGCTAAAGAAAGACAGAAATTTAGAATTTAAACACCAAAATACATGATAGCTTTGTTGAAGATGGTCATCTAGAGTGTTTACATTTTCACATCCTATCTCTTGCACTCTAAATATAGACTCATATAAAACCACAACTCCTTTATAATAGATGGGGCTGTGGCTCACTTTATCCTAATAGTTTCACTTGAATTATCACCACATCTAACAATTTTATTGTTAGAAAGGGGCAGCCTCTAATCATCCTATATTCATGGGTTTTATATATGGCTATGATATACATATTCACGTTAGAAGTGTAGACCTACTTTCTCAAATATTCTTGTGATGATATGTATTTTATCACTAAGAATAAAAGTTGAGTGTTTAGGTTTTTTTGTGAAAACAGAACCAGATCTGTAAAACTACTGCAAGAGATTGAGTCAAGGTCTGAAACCCACCTTAACAACTTCTTCTGTTGAAGCTTCTTCAACAACTGAAGTCTGTTCTTCTACAATAATAGTTTCTTCTGTTGTTACATCAGACTCGAATTTACTACAAAATCAACACAAATAACCAGAATTAACAGAAAATATCAAATAAAACTAATTCAACACTTGATCATTACACCTTCTATCTAACATTCTGAGTTTCAACCAGTTCTCTAGTATATGATGTTCATTTCCAGCAACAAATGTATTACCAATATGGTTTTGGGGTTTTAAGTTTCCTTTTTGTAGTTCAGATCGTTTATGCTTGGGTCGTTTACGCTATGAGTTGGTTGGATGATGACTTTCTACCAACCAACCTGTAATAACTATTGGAGTTATCCATTATGAAAATTTTGTTTTGAGTTACAAGTCAAGACCATTATCATCCCGAAATTGTATATCCTTCAGTTGAAGATTAGAAATCTCCAATAGATATAGAACTGTTAGAAAACTGAAAGAAATATGAGTCAGAATGTTCTTGGTGAGTCCTTACATGCAATATTCATCAACATATATTCATAAACATCATGCTGTTTGCAGGGATAGGTTCCATTTGACAGTCTTTAGAAGTAAAATAGTAGGAAAATCATAAAATTTCTTCAAAAATATCTCAGCTTAGCTAAAAACAAATCCTGTTGCTAAGACTAAGATACGATTGTTCAATCTAATGGCGAACCTATCCCTTTAAAGTAAGAAGTTTACAAACAAAACCATGCACTTACAGAGATGAAGATTTTCCTTTATGTAAGAGATGTCGAAAGTCAAACTGTTTCATTTCAAACTGTACATTCACTTTAGTTTTCCTGTTGAAAATCATGCATATACATTTAAAAAAACATGCTGAATATCTTTCTATTCTAGTTTAAAACATGCTATTATCAAGGATTATGGATCCACTATGATCAGATAAATAGGAAGGATTTATAGGGGCAAGGGGGTAATGCAATCAATCAAGGATCATTAAAGAGGTAATAGAAAGCAAAAGGTTGAAAATCTCTGCACTAGAGTTACAGATGTCATGTTTGCATGTCATTTAGTATCATTTATCACCATCTTCAATATTAGTCAGTCAGATAATTCATGCAAATTGGAATCAGAATCTAAATATCATGCAGGGAGTATTTCTTAAATTTTCTCTTATCTTGTAAAATTGTTCATGCAGATTGATTAAATCACTCAAGTTTAACATGAAATCCATTTGGGGTCATTTTGAAAGATTAATACAAGGTATAAAATGTTTTATTTACTTCATGCTGAACTCAGTTAAACTATTCTACTTACACTTTGGTGGCCAAAGTTTCTCTAAAATCAACCTGGTCTACTTCTGTTGGTTTTTCTTTTTCTTGAATCTCAACAGACGTAGCCAGTTGATCTCGGAAATCAGTTTTCTCCTCAAGGGTTTCTGAAATAAAGAAATATAAACGTGAACTTAAGTTCTGGAAAATATAACTGGGAATTGTAAAATAAAGCTGGCTCTAAGTTATGTGCTGTGTTTACACTGAGTTTAACTTCTTATTGAATGACTGAATGCTTTTGCATTTCCATTGATTGAAGTGAAAGGCAGCTCTAAACTGGCTTTCATTTGGCCCTTGATAAATTCATCAAGGGCAAAAACCGACATTTCACACACAAAAGCTGCTCAAAGCCGACTATATTTCCTCAGTGGAAACAAATTATTCAACTAAAGAGAGAAATGATTCCTACATGACAATAGAAAACATTTTCATGTCGATCAGTCTCCATTTTGATTTGAAAACTGATACAGTTACTTACTGTTAACAATAAGAGAAGCTGACACTGTCTCTTGACCTTGAGGATTGGTAGCAGTGATGGTGTAAGTTCCACTATCTTCAGGAGTAGTGTCTGTTATATTCAGTGACGCACGGTAGACATCACCTTCATCAATATCCAACGTCACATTGATTCGGTCATCATCGGGAATATCACTACCATCCTTGCTCCAATAAATCTATATATAGAAGCAGATTTATGTTAAAATTCACTTTCCCATGCTTTTGAAATAAAAATAAGACATTCAACAATACTATCATTTAGTAGTTCTGACTATTATCATTGTACCCAAGTTTTGGGGTATTTTGGGGGCTAAAAGGGTTTTAGCTAAGCTAAGTCAATTCTCAATAAAAACATAATCTCTCACCTCAGGTTGAGGTTTAGCTACCACCTGACATTCAAACGAAACATCTTTTCCTTCGTCAACCTTCTGATATTTTGGTTTCACTGTGAAATTTGGTGCAATTTCTCCAACAGATTCTGTTGAGGCATCTAATTCAGAGGCAGCTGAAATCATATAAGAAGGAGTTTAACTGATTTTTCCTGCCCTGTTGTTAGACACCTTATTGGGCCAACAACTTAGCCATATGGCAGGTTTGCCTCCAAGTTGAATTTTTCAAGATTAATTGTCAAATGAAAAAGAGTTTACTGATAACTTCCAATAACTTATATTACATAAAATAGCTGGCAACCTCACTGGAATGATGAAATGGTCCTGTATCTAACTAGACTAGACAGCAGTGAAATGCAGGAACATATTTCATTGAACCAGAAATATCTTGGTAACAGAATATCAACAACAAAATGATGTCAAGTCAAAACTTACGTGCAACGAAAAGTTCAGCTGTTGTTGATACTTCGCCCATTTCATTTTTGGCGACGACGGTATATTGACCAGCATCATCTGGCAACACATCACCAATAAACAACGAGCATTGATTATTCTCATCATATTGGATCTGGAACTCTTCTGATGGCTGAATAACTTCACTGTCTTTGTACCAGACGACTTCTGGTTTGGGAACGCCAGCAATGACACATTCAAACAGAGCTTGTCCACCATCCTTGGTATGGATGGCAGTAAGATGTCTGTAGAACTTCTGGTACAGTTTTTGATACTGCCTCATCTGCAAAGAAACATTTTTCCAAATCAAATTAAAAATAACAGAAAGCCCCCTTTGCGATTCTAGCAGCCTCAGTGAAATATCAGTTTAACTCTATTCTATCTAATTCAGATGATCCAGACCCAGATGGGTACAGATTATCTGGGATATGTTTCAAGCTTTCAACTAGACTATATGTTACATACATACATGCTTGTCTATTTTGGCCAACTAGAAGTGATGTTACTGTCTATGTTTGTCCTTTTTGGCCAACTTTAAAACTATCCCATCTTATAATTTACCTGTTGAAGGAGCAGAAATAAGATGAACTTCTTCATCTGATACATCTTCTTTTTCTTCTTCTATAAAAACAAAAATATATTCTAGCATTGTTAATTTCAATACACCATAGACTACTTCATACACTCAACTTCAAATGGTAAAATCTCTATTGACATATGATCAAGCAATTACAGTTGCAGATGAAGCAAATATATCAGGGTATTCTTCTTCTTTTGAAACACCTGATGTCACTCTGAGTCTTGGTTCATCTTTTCAGCATACCTCAATGCACTACCTATAGCTAATAATATCACTTTGGTATTGCAGGGTCTTGGCTCACGGACTTTTGACAAAGAATTCAGATTGCTGTATGTAGTAGCTGAATAACCATGTAAAACAAATGATGTTCATTTACTCCTTACTCATCTAGCTAAACCTGAACCAAACTCAAAATAGGTATGTCAAATCTTTACGAAAAAACGACCCCCAAAAAATAACATGTGCACCAACTGACCTGCAGTGACCAGTTTCTCTTTTTCTGAGAGAATTTCTTCTGATATTGAAATTTCAGCATGTTCTGAGGAAGCTGAAAAATTCAATGACATAATTATAAAACTGAACTTGATGATAAATGCCTTGACAAATATAAATTACTGAATTCTGTATTTATATAGGATTGAAGGCATCTAAGACATTTCAGAAGCATCTTTTATAAGGATAGTTAAGGTTTTTTGAGGATATCTAGGAGCTTTGGTTTTGGTCTAATGGGAATTGATACAAAGAATCTTGGGCCACATAGGCTTTGCTAACTTGCAACCTTATTTTGCTATAGTTTGCTAACTAGCTAATGAGTTTGCTAAATGTCTAACCTTCTGCTACTTTGCTATTGAATGACTAATTTTGATCTTATTTTGTCAAGTTGTTATTTTAACTGATGTAAAATTGAGTTTGTTGATTAGTTCCATGTTTTGTTGATGTTCAAGACTGGGGACAGTTTTAAGGATTTTTAGAGGGAAATTGTAATTTCTATTGGATTTTGATGTTAGGTTAAATTCAATAAGGTATACCAAAAAATAAAATCAATTTTCACTCTTCAGGTCTGTTTTTTTTCACCAATCAAGGACTTCAAATCTGTCATTGTAGGTCTGATGAGAGGAATTTGGCCTTTTGGGAACTAAATTCAAATGAATTGGTAAGTTTTGAGAGTAAAACAAATAACAATTTTTTAATTGAAAAGGGCTGGTAAACATGTAGGTCAACCCTGAACATCAACAAAGATAAAGTTATCAAAACAGCCAAAATATTTGATAACATCTTTAGTAAGTATTTCAAACATCAGTGGACATGCTTCACAATGGTGAGAATTTCATCTATGTCTACTAGTCTATTGCCTTGTTTATAACTTGGCCTACTATATATATACTTTCCTAACATGCCATTAAAGAATATAAATCAGAAACTAACATTGAAATATTAAGAACAGAAAAACAGTAAGAGTTGTGTCCCTTCCAATCAAGATGTCTATCTCTAATTTGAGTGGTATCTCCACAAAAGATGACAAATTTCAATCCATCTTCTAAAGAATGATTCAACATAGAATATTCAAATAAAATGTTACTTTTGCCAAGGTTTGTGGACATTAACTATCATTCAAATTATGGGACATCTCGACTGAAGGTAACGGAAGAATCATTGGTCTCAGCACAATAATCGCTACAATTTTAATCCAAATAGTAAGTACAATATCAGGCCCAAATTTCCATTAAATATTTGCATTTTTGTTATTTCAATGTATCTTGAACTATGCTTGATGATATTTCAAGGCATTTTCGAGATAAAAATTAAGCATTTATTTTGCTAAGACCAGTTATGGCAAACCTGAAAATTGAGAAGAAAGTTATTAGTCAAATATAAACATCAAAAATTGAACGAAACAATTTTATATCCAAAATACAGCAACTGATAATTCTTCATCAGTCTAGTAGCTTTCAAAATAATACTATGGTATAAATGATTTGACATTCGCCAAACTTGTTCACAAAATTTGAAATATTTTTAAAAAATAAGGAAAAAAATATGTTGAATTTTGGATATCATTTCACATAATCATGTTAATATAATTGCAACAGAATAACACAATAAAAACAGAAATAATAGAATTTGAACGAGAAGCAAGCAAATAATAGTCTGAAACGCAAACAAAATAAACTAAAAAGATGACAGCCAAAAATAAAAAGACAGTGAGTTAAGAATGTAAACATTGAGCCAAAATTCGTTGGTTGCATGTCTGTAGCACATAGTTGCTGGTACCTTTGGAATCGTCTTTTATAACTACTTCAACATCAGTTGCTTCTGAAAGCTTACTTCTGAAATCAGAGTCTACATCAACAGTTAGTTCAGAGTCAACAGTGTCAGATATATCAATAGTTTCTTCAACTTGTATGCCAGAGTCCTCTCTCTTGGTTTGTTCTTTTTCGTCAAGAGTTACGTCTACTGATTCTTGTGTGAAAACTTGTTCCTTCATGTCAAGCTTCACATCAAGATCTACCTCTGAGACATCTTTCTTTGGTTTTTCTTCCTCAGTTATTTCCAAGGAGACTTCAGAGGTTTCTTCTTTTGGTGTTTCTTCCTGAGTAATTTCCAAGGCGACTTCAGAGATTTCTTCCTTTGGTTTTTCTTCCTCAGTTATTTCCAAAGAGACTTCAGCTATTTCTTCTTTTGGTTTTTCTTCCTCAGTAATTTCCAAGGAGACTTCAGAAGTTTCTTCGATTGTTTTTTCTTCCTCAGATATTTCCAAGGAGACTTCAGAGGTTTCTTCTTTTGGTTTTTCTTCCTCAGTAATTTTCAAGGAGACTTCAGAAGTTTCTTCCACTGGTATTTCTTCCTCAGTTACTTTCAATGAAATTTCAGAAGTTTCTTCCACTGTTTTTTCTTCCTCAGTAATTTCCAAGGAGACTTCAGAGGTTTCTTCTTTTGGTTTTTCTTCCTCAGTAATTTCCAAGGCGACTTCAGAGGTTTCTTCTTTTGGTTTTTCTTCCTCAGTAATTTCCAAGGAGACTTCAGCTATTTCTTCTTTTGGTTTTTCTTCCTCAGTAATTTCCAAGGCGACTTCAGAGGTTTCTTCTTTTGGTTTTGCTTCCTCAGTAATTTCCAAGGAGACTTCAGAGGTTTCTTCTTTTGGTTTTTCTTCCTCAGATACTCCCAAGGAAATTTCAGAAGTTTCTTCCACTGGTTTTTCTTCCTCAGTTATATCCAAAGAGACTTCAGAGATTTCTTCTTTTGGTTTTTCTTCCTCAGTTATATCCAAAGAGACTTCAGCTATTTCTTCTTTTGGTTTTTCTTCCTCAGTAATTTCCAAGGAGACTTCAGAGGTTTCTTCCTTTGGTTTTTCTTCCTCAGTAATTTCCAAGGCGACTTCAGAAGTTTCTTCTTTTGGTTTTTCTTTCTGAGTTATTTCCAAGGAGACTTCAGAGGTTTCTTCCACTGGTTTTTCTTCCTCAGTAATATCCAAAGAGACTTCAGCTTTTTCTTCTTTTGGTTTTTCTTCCTCAGTAATTTCCAAGGCAACTTCAGAGATTTCTTCTTTTGGTTTTTCTTCCTCAGTAATTTCCAAAGAGACTTCAGAGGTTTCTTCCACTGGTTTTTCTTCCTCAGTTATATCCAAAGAGACTTCAGCTATTTCTTCTTTTGGTTTTTCTTCCTCAGTAATTTCCAAGGCGACTTCAGAGGTTTCTTCCACTGGTTTTTCTTCCTCAGTAATTTCCAAGGTGGCTTCAGGTATTTCTTCCTTTGGTTTTTCTTCCTCAGTAATTTCCAAGGAGACTTCAGAAGTTTCTTCCACTGGTTTTTCTTCCTCAGTAATTTCCAAGGAAACTTCAGAAGTTTCTTCTTTTGTTGTTTCTTCCTTAGTAATTTCCAAGGAGACTTCGGAAGTTTCTTCTTTTGGTGTTTCTTCCTCAGTAATTTCCAAGGAGACTTCGGAAGTTTCTTCTTTTGGTGTTTCTTCCTCAGTAATTTCCAAGGAGACTTCAGAAGTTTCTTCTTTTGGTGTTTCTTCCTCAGTAATTTCCAAGGCGACTTCAGAAGTTTCTTCTTTTGGTTTTTCCTCCTCAGTAATTTCCAAGGAGACTTCGGAAGTTTCTTCTTTTGGTTTATCTTCCTCAGTTATTTCCAAGGAAACTTCAGAAGTTTCTTCAACTGTTTTTTGTTCCTCAGTAATTTCCAAGGAGACTTCAGAAGTTTCTTCTTTTGGTTTTTCTTCCTCAGTAATTTTCAAGGAGACTTCAGAGGTTTCTTCTTTTGGTTTTTCTTCCTCAGTTATTCCCAAAGAGACTTCAGCTTTTTCTTCTTTTGGTTTTTCTTCCTCAGTAATTTCCAAGGAGACTTCAGAAGTTTCTTCTTTTGGTTTTTCTTCCTCAGTTATTTCCAAAGAGACTTCAGCTATTTCTTCTTTTGGTTTTTCTTCCTCAGTAATTTCCAAGGCGACTTCAGAAGTTTCTTCTTTTGGTTTTTCTTCCTCAGTAATTTCCAAGGCAACCTCAGATGTTTCTTCTTTTGGTTTTTCTTCCTCAGATATATCCAAAGAGACTTCAGCTATTTCTTCTTTTGGTTTTTCTTCCTCAGTAATTTCCAAGGAGATTTCAGAAGTTTCTTCCTTTGGTTTTTCTTCCTCAGTAATTTCCAAAGAGACTTCAGCTATTTCTTCTTTTGGTTTTTCTTCCTCAGTTATTTCCAAGGAGATTTCAGAAGTTTCTTCTTTTGGTTTTTCTTCCTCAGTAATTTCCAAAGAGACTTCAGCTATTTCTTCTTTTGGTTTTTCTTCCTCAGTAATTTCCAAGGAGACTTCAGAAGTTTCTTCAACTAGTTTTTCTTCATCGGTAATTTTCAAGGAGACTTCAGAGATTTCTTCTACTGTTTTTTCTTCCTCAGTTACTTTCAAGGAAACTTCAGAGGTTTCTTCCACTATTTTTTCTTCCTCAGTAATTTCCAAAGAGACTTCAGCTATCTTTTCTTGTGGTTTTTCTTCCTTGGTAATTTCCAAAGAGACTTCAGAAGTTTCTTCTTTTGGTTTTTCTTCCTCAGTTATTTCCAAAGAGACTTCAGCTATTTCTTCTTTTGGTTTTTCTTGCTCAGTTATTTCCAAGGAGACGTCAGAAGTTTCTTCTTTTGGTTTTTCTTCCTTAGTAATTTCCAAGGAGACTTCAGAGGTTTCTTCCACTGGTCTGTCTTCCTCAGTTATTTCCAAAGAGACTTCAGCTATTTCTTCTTTTGGTTTTTCTTCCTCAGTAATTTCCAAGGAGACTTCAGATGTTTCTTCCACTGGTTTTTCTTCCTCAGTTATTTCCAAGGAGACTTCAGAAGTTTCTTCCTTTGGTTTTTCTTCCTCAGTAATTTCCAAGGCGACTTCAGCTATTTCTTCTTTTGGTTTTTCTTCCTCAGTAATTTCCAAGGCAACTTCAGAGGTTTCTTCCACTGGTTTTTCTTCCTCAGTAATTTCCACGGAGACTTCGGAAGTTTCTTCTTTTGGTTTATCTTCCTCAGTTATTTCCAAGGAAACTTCAGAAGTTTCTTCAACTGTTTTTTGTTCCTCAGTAATTTCCAAGGAGACTTCAGAAGTTTCTTCTTTTGGTTTTTCTTGCTCAGTTATTTCCAAAGAGACATCAGAAGTTTCTTCTTTTGGTTTTTCTTCCTCAGTAATTTCCAAGGAGACTTCAGAGGTTTCTTCCACTGGTCTGTCTTCCTCAGTTATTTCCAAAGAGACTTCAGCTATTTTTTCTTTTGGTTTTTCTTCCTCAGTAATTTCCAAGGAGACTTCAGATGTTTCTTCCACTGGTTTTTCATCCTCAGTAATTTCCAAGGCGACTTCAGCTATTTCTTCTTTTGGTTTTTCTTCCTTAGTAATTTCCAAGGCAACTTCAGAGGTTTCTTCCACTGGTTTTTCTTCCTCAGTAATTTCCAAGGAGACTTCGGAAGTTTCTTCTTTTGGTTTTTCTTCCTCAGTAATTTCCAAGGCGACTTCAGAAGTTTCTTCTTTTGGTTTTTCTTCCTCAGATATATCCAAAGAGACTTCAGCTAGTTCTTCTTTTGGTTTTTCTTCCTGAGTGATTTCCAAGGAAACTTCAGAAGTTTCTTCAACTGTTTTTTGTTCCTCAGTAATTTCCAAGGAGACTTCAGAAGTTTCTTCTTTTGGTTTTTCTTCCTCAGTAATTTCCAAGGAGACTTCAGAGGTTTCTTCTTTTGGTTTTTCTTCCTCAGTTATTCCCAAAGAGACTTCAGCTTTTTCTTCTTTTGGTTTTTCTTCCTCAGTTATTTCCAAGGAGACTTCAGAAGTTTCTTCTTTTGCTTTTTCTTCCTCAGTTATTTCCAAAGAGACTTCAGCTATTTCTTCTTTTGGTTTTTCTTCCTCAGTAATTTCCAAGGCGACTTCAGAAGTTTCTTCTTTTGGTTTTTCTTCCTCAGTAATTTCCAAGGCGACTTCAGCTGTTTCTTCTTTTGGTTTTTCTTCCTCAGTAATTTCCAAAGAGACTTCAGCTATTTCTTCTTTTGGTTTTTCTTCCTCAGTAATTTCCAAGGAGACTTCAGAAGTTTCTTCTTTTGGTTTTTCTTCCTCAGTTATTTCCAAAGAGACTACAGCTATTTCTTCTTTTGGTTTTTCTTCCTCAGTAATTTCCAAGGCGTCTTCAGAAGTTTCTTCCTTTGGTTTTTCTTCCTCAGTTATTTCCAAAGAGACTTCAGCTATTTCTTCTTTTGGTTTTTCTTCCTCAGTAATTTCCAAGGAGACTTCAGAAGTTTCTTCTTTTGGTTTTTCTTTCTCAGTTATTTCCAAGGAAACTTCAGAAGTTTCTTCGACTGTTTTTTCTTCCTCAGTAATTTCCATGGAGACTTCAGAAGTTTCTTCCTTTGGTTTTTCTTCCTCAGTAATTTCCAAAGAGACTTCAGCTATTTCTTCTTTTGGTTTTTCTTTCTTAGTAATTTCCATGGAGATTTCAGCGATTTCTTCTTTTGGTTTTTCTTCCTCAGTAATTTCCAAGGCGACTTCAGAAGTTTCTTCCTTTGGTTTTTCTTCCTCAGTAATTTCCAAGGCGACTTCAGAAGTTTCTTCCTTTGGTTTTTCTTCCTCAGTAATTTCCAAGGAGACTTCAGAAGTTTCTTCTTTTGGTTTTTCTTCCTCAGTTATTTCCAAGGAAACTTCAGAAGTTTCTTCAACTGTTTTTTCTTCCTCAGTAATTTCCAAAAAGACTTCAGAAGTTTTTTCTTTTGGTTTTTCTTCCTCAGTTATTCCCAAAGAGACTTCAGCTTTTTCTTCTTTTGGTTTTTCTTCCTCAGTAATTTCCAAGGAGACTTCAGAAGTTTCTTCTTTTGGTTTTTCTTCCTCAGTTATTTCCAAGGAAACTTCAGAAGTTTCTTCGACTGTTTTTTCTTCCTCAGTAATTTCCATGGAGACTTCAGAAATTTCTTCCACTGTTTTCTCTTCCTCGGTTATTTTCAATGAAACTTCAGAGATGTCATCTTTTGGTTTTTCTTCGTCAGTTACTTCCAAGGTGACTTCAGAAGTTTCTTCTTTTTGTTTCTCTTCCTTGGTTATTTCCAAAGAGATCTCTTCGGTCGTTTCTTCTTTGGGAGCTTCAATTTCAATATCAACACCTTCTGAAGGTTTATCTTCTTCAACAAGTTCTTCCTTGGTGTCAACTTCAGAAACAACTTCAACTTGAACTTCAGAGACTTCTTTGATCTCTTCAGTGGTCTCTTCTTTTGGAGCTTCAATTTCAACATCCACACCTTCTGAAGGTTTATCTTCTTCAACAAGTTCTTCTTTAGTATCAACTTCAGAAACAACTTCAACTTGGACTTCAGAGACTTCTTTGATCTCTTCAGTGGTCTCTTCTTTAGGAGCTTCAATTTCTACATCAACTCCCTCTGAAGGTTTCTCTTCTTCAACAAGTTCTTCTTTGGTGTCAACTTCAGAAACAACTTCAACTTGGACTTCAGAGACTTCTTTGATCTCTTCAGTAGTTTCTTCTTTAGGAGCTTCAATTTCTACATCAACTCCCTCTGAAGGTTTCTCTTCTTCAACAAGTTCTTCTTTGGTGTCAACTTCAGAAAGAACTTCAACTTGGACTTCAGAGACTTCTTTGATCTCTTCAGTGGTTTCTTCTTTAGGAGCTTCAATTTCAACATCGACTTCCTCAGAAGGTTTCTCTTCTTCAACAAGTTCTTCTTTGGTGTCAACTTCAGAAACAACTTCAACTTGGACTTCAGAGACTTCTTTGATCTCTTTAGTGGTTTCTTCTTTAGGAGCTTCAATTTCTACATCAACTCCCTCTGAAGGCTTCTCTTCTTCAACAAGTTCCTCTTTGGTGTCAACTTCAGAAAGAACTTCAACTTGGACTTCAGAGACTTCTTTGATCTTTTCAGTGGTTTCTTCTTTAGGAGCTTCAATTTCAACATCAATTCCTCTGAAGGTTTCTCTTCTTCAACAAGTTCTTCTTTGGTGTCAACTTCAGAAACAACTTCAACTTGGACTTCAGAGACTTCTTTGATCTCTTCAGTGGTCTCTTCTTTTGGAGCTTCAATTTCTACATCAACACCTTCTGAAGGTTTCTCTTCTTCAACAAGTTCTTCTTTGGTGTCAACTTCAGAAACAACTTCAACTTGGACTTCAGAGACTTCTTTGATCTCTTCAGTGGTCTCTTCTTTTAGAGCTTCAATTTCTACATCAACTCCCTCTGAAGGTTTCTCTTCTTCAACAAGTTCCTCTTTGGTATCAACTTCAGAAACAACTTCAACTTGGACTTCAGAGACTTCTTTGATCTCTTCAGTAGTCTCTTCTTTAGGAGCTTCAATTTCAACATCCACTCCCTCTGAAGGTTTCTCTTCTTCTTTGATCAGTTCCTCTTTGGTGTCAACCTCGGAAATTACCTTTGGTTTGATCTCTGTAGTCTCTCTGATTTCTTCAATGGTCTCTTCTTTTGGTGCTGAAATTTCAACTTCTTCACTTTCTAAAGTTTTCTCACTTTCAACTACCTCCTCTTTGGTAGTCACTTCAGAAATATCAGACTTCACTTCAATTGTTTCCTTGGTCTCTTCAACAGTATCTTCACGAGGGGCTGCTACTTCCACATCTGCTAATATAGTTTCTTCTTCTTCTGTGTCTTGTACGGTTTCTTCAATTGAGACAGAAACAATGTGGCATGTCCATCAAGCAATGCGACTTGATCATGTCATGCAGGTTTCATTGGTAATCCTTGGTAATTTGGATATTTCTTAACAGACTGATACTCATGTATTACATAATGAACTAGTTCATATTGCATTTCATCCTCTTGCACTGAGTCAAATCGTCAAATCATTTTTATTTTGCTTCAGTTTCTTTGAGTGTTGTCAAAGATGGTCAAATTTATGTGTCCGCCATTAACAAGTGTCATTAATAGTCAAACTCCTGTGTTAAAGAGGTCAAAGTTCTCTCTGTTACAAAAACTAATGTCATTGAACCTCGTCCAATAAGAAGAAACAATAATTATGACAAAGTGATACAAAATAGATCTATATATGTATATAAGAAAAAGAGTTGGTTATTGACAATATAATACTATATATATATGTTTATAATTCTATTTTACCCTAAAAAATGTACTAATTTTGCAGGCAGCACAATAATGACAGCTTGTAACGCAATGGATCCGAGTACAATATAAAATAGTTTTTTGTCTAGGTTCTGAATAATGCTATAGAAAGATATTTAATTGAAACGAATAATTCCTTCAGTTACAATACCAGCATAGTTTCAACAAGTAGGCTAAAAACTAAGTTTGTATATCATAGGTAATTCTTCAGACTTCCATCACTGATTATAAATATTGAATTGGAAATGGTGTTCAGATTGAGGCATCAATAATCACAATAAACGCAGATGCCTTCTTTATATATATTTAATAGGAACATCAAATGACCTATGTGCCTATATATATTAACCAATCTATTGTTAACTATCAAAGAATATGCCTTTTTGCCATGGTAAGTGACAGCATGTGCCATTATTTTTGCTGACTGCATAATTGTTGAGTTAAAAGAAAGAGATCTTTTCGATACAGTACCTGTAGTAACATTTCTTTCTGTTTCCGTTATAATTTCTTGTGAAACTATGGTTTGCTGTGTGATGACCTCACTGACATCAGCTTGTTCAGCTGGAACTGAAATTACAATTAACTGAATTAAAATCATTGTTTTGTGGACAGTATTCTGAAAATGAAAATGTCTCAGGATGAATGAAGTTGAAATATTAACCTTCTTACTGTAACAACATCAAAAAAGATTAAATCTCAAATTGTCTGATAAGGGTATAAGTTACTGACTTAATGCCCCACCATGGCTCCAAAAGATTAGAAATGGAGAATACTCAGTTCAGATTCTCATAAGTAATAAATTTCAAGGTATGTCTGTGCGGCTTCAAATGAACTAGAGGATTCTGATATCTCTTTTGATGTATGCAGCAAAAAGGTTAACATGAATTCATTGACAATGGTAACAGAAATGTTTGGGCAGAAGATTTGGGGACATACTATGGAAGAGTTGGGCAGAGGTTGACAACACTGAACATCTAAAGAGAGATAAAGGAAAGACAACCCTTTCTATATTTCTATAAGATGGTCAACTACTACTGAACATCTACACTATTCATGTCAGATTGCCTAGACTACAGTCAGACGTTAGACTATAAACTATAGTTTACGTTATTCCTGGTTGCCAAGACTACAATTTATGTTATTCTCGGTTGCCAAGACTACAATCAACGATATTCCTGGTTGCCAAGACTACAATTTACATTTTTCCTGGTTGCCAAGACTACAATTTACATTATTCTTGGTTGCCAAGACTACAATTAACGTAATTTCTGGTTGCCAAGACTACAATTGTTTTTTTATGTTATTTCTATTCCTTGACAACCAGACATCAAAACGTTAAGATTACAATTTACATGTTATTTCACCATTATTTAGAAAACTGTATAAGTTTTAAAAAACATTCATCCGATTTTTCAGCTGCAATGAACCAATATCTTTTCCATCAGCTGCTAAATCTCATGAATATTAGATACTAGACCACATTGTATTAAATTCTAACTAAATATACCATATATATACAATACCCAATACAACATAATGTGTCAGCTACAGACCTATTGTTTACACTCAATATAAAAACATTGAATAAATTGGCGACAAAGCACACTTCTTGAAAACATTATCAGTTTCAATTTGGAAAATTCCTTATCACAGTAGAATCGGCAGTTGTGTGGATGATTTCCAAAGATGGTTTTAAAGCAGATCTTTCCTGCCTTTGTTTCAACAATTTACATAGCCATAGGATAATCTTTTGTTCTGATAAGGAGAATGCAAGAGTATTAATATATACATCAACTGTTTTCTTCCTCGTAAAAAATGACACTTCACATAAAATACCCCACAGGGTGAAGGAATTTTTTAAACAGGAATGATGAAGGAAAGTTGATAAGAATTTGTGCTTTGCCTTACCAATGGAACCACAATAAACTAAACCATGCTGATATAATGTCAAATACATGCTTTTAATAATGAAAGAATTTAAAGTTATGTACTTATTAAGAATGACACAACCTAACAAAACTTAACAATGAACAATAACTAAGATTAGAAACAACAAAATATATAGAGAAATTACAAATAATATATTTTTTGAAGATGTCAACAAACAGAAAAAGATAAGAAATTTTTCAATCAGCAGAAAGCAGAACTATTCTGAAAAGCAAAAACTAAACCAAAGTGACAGCCGAAAAACCTAAATTGTGAGTGACAAAATAAAATTGAGCAATTCAGAGCAAACAGTTGGCATAATGGTAATCAGCCGCACATTCGCTTGTTGGTACCTTGTTCTTCACCACTGATCTCATCCTTTAATGCTTCTTCTTGATCAATATCTTGTTCCCCAAGTTCAAATTCTAATTCAGTTTCAGATTTTTGGGCCGTCTGATCAGTTATAGCTAAGATTGTTTCTTTTTTGTCTGAAATGACTTTGTCAGTGACATCAAGAGTAACTTCAGAAATATCTTTGTCCTTGTCAGTGACATCAACAGTAACTTCAGACACATCTTTGTCCTTATCAGTGACATCAACAGTAACTTCAGAAATATCTTTGTCCTTGTCAGTGACATCAACAGTAACTTCAGAAATATCTTTGTCAGTGACATCAACAGTAACTTCAGAAATATCTTTGTCCTTATCAGTGACATCAACAGTAACTTCAGAAATATCTTTGTCCTTGTCAGTGACATCAACAGTAACTTCAGAAATATCTTTGTCAGTGACATCAACAGTAACTTCAGAAATATCCTTGTCTTTGGAAGCTTCTATTTCAGCTTCTACACCTTCAGAGATTTTCTCTTCTTCGGTTACTTCTTCCTGTGGTTTAACTTCAGCGACAATTTCTGGTTGAACTTCAGAGACTTCTTTGACCTCATCAGTCGTCTCTTCTGTAGGAGCTTCTACTTCAGCTTCTACACCTTCAGAGGGTTTCTCTTCTTCAGTTACTTCTTCCTCTGGTTTGACTTCAGAGATAATTTCTGGATGAACTTTAGAAACTTCTTCCACCTCATCAGTCATCTCTTCTGAAGGAGCTTCTATTTCAGCTTCTACAGCTGCAGAAAGCTTTTCTTGTTCAGAAACTTCCTCCTCTGGTTTGATCTCAGAGACAATTTCTGGTTGAACTTCAGTGACTTCTTTGACCTCATCCGTCGTCTCTTCTGTAGTAGCTTCTTCCTGTGGTTTAACTTCAGCGACAATTTCTGGTTGAACTTCAGAGACTTCTTTGACCTCATCAGCTCTCTCTTCTGAAGGAGCTTCTACTTCAGCTTCTACACCTTCAGAGGGTTTCTCTTCTTCAGAGACTTCTTCCTGTGGTTTGACTTCAGAGACAATTTCTGGTTGAACTTCAGTGACTTTTTTGACATCATCAGCTGTCTCTTCTGTAGGAGCTTCTACTTCAGCTTCTACACCTTCAGAAAGCTTTTCTTGTTCAGAAACTTCTTCCTCTGGTTTGACTTCAGAGACAATTTCTGGTTGAACCTCAGAGACTTCTTTGACCTCATCCGTCGTCTCTTCTGAAGGAGCTTCTAATTCAGCTTCGAGACCTTCCGAAAGTTTCTCTTTCTCAGAAACTTCTTCCTCTTGTTTGACTTCAGAGACAATTTCTGGTTGAACTTCAGTGACTTCTTTGACTTCATCAGTTGTCTCTTCTGAAGAAACTCCTATTTCAGCTTCTACAGCTGCAGAAAGCTTTTCTTGTTCAGAAACTTCCTCCTCTGGTTTGACTTCAGAGACAATTTCTGGTTGAACCTCAGAGACTTCTTTGACCTCATCCGTCGTCTCTTCTGTAGGAGCTTCTAATTCAGCTTTGACACCTTCCGAAAGTTTCTCTTTCTCAGAAACCTCGTCCTCTGGTTTGACTTCAGAGACAATTTCTGGTTGAACTTGAGAGACTTCTTTGACCTCATCAGTTTTCTCTTCTGAAGGAGCTTCTACTTCAGCTTCTACACCTTCAGAGGGTTTCTCTTCTTCAGTTACTTCTTCCTCTGGTTTGACTTCAGAGATAATTTCTGGATGAACTTTAGAAACTTCTTCCACCTCATCAGTCATCTCTTCTGAAGGAGCTTCTATTTCAGCTTCTACAGCTGCAGAAAGCTTTTCTTGTTCAGAAACTTCCTCCTCTGGTTTGACCTCAGAGACAATTTCTGGTTGAACTTCAGTGACTTCTTTGACCTCAACAGTTGTCTCTTCTGAAGGAGCTTCTTTTTCAGCTTCTACAGCTTCAGAGGGTTTCTCTTTCTCAGAAACCTCGTCCTCTGGTTTGACTTCAGAAACAATTTCTGGTTGAACTTCAGTGACTTCTTTGACCTCAACAGTTGTCTCTTCTGAAGGAGCTCCTTTTTCAGCTTCTACAGCTGCAGAAAGCTTTTCTTGTTCAGTAACTTCTTCCTCTGGTTTAACTTCAGAGACAATTTCTGGTTGAACTTGAGAGACTTCTTTGACCTCATCAGTCGTCTCTTCTGTAGGAGCTTCTACTTCAGCTTCTACACCTTCAGAAAGCTTTTCTTGTTCAGAAACGTCTTCCTCTGGTTTGACTTCAGAGACAATTTCTGGTTGAACCTCAGAGACTTCTTTGACCTCATCCGTCGTCTCTTCTGAAGGAGCTTCTAATTCAGCTTCGAGACCTTCCGAAAGTTTCTCTTTCTCAGAAGCTTCTTCCTCTGGTTTGACTTCAGAGACAATTTCTGGTTGAATTTTAGTGACTTCTTTGACGTCATCAGTTGTCTCTTCTGAAGGAGCTTCAATTTCAGCTTCAAAAGCTGCAGAAAGTTTTTCTTGTTCAGAAACTTCTTCCTTTGGTTTGACTTCAGAGACAATTTCTGGTTGAACTTCAGTGACTTCTTTGACCTCAACAGTTGTCTCTTCTGAAGGAGCTTCTTTTTCAGCTTCTACAGCTTCAGAGGGTTTCTCTTTCTCAGAAACCTCGTCCTCTGGTTTGACTTCAGAGACAATTTCTGGTTGAACTTCAGAGACTTCTTTGACTTCATCTGTTGTCTCTTCTGTAGGAGCTTCTAATTCACCTTCGACACCTTCCGAAAGTTTCTCTTTCTCAGAAATTTCTTCCTCTGGTTTGACTTCAGAGACAATTTCTGGTTGATCTCCAGAGACTTCTTTGATCTCATCAGCTGTCTCTTCTGAAGGAGCTTCTACTTCAGCTTCTACACCTTCAGAGGGTTTCTCTTCTTCAGAGACTTCTTCATGTGGTTTGACTTCAGAGACAATTTCTGGTTGAACTTCAGAGACTTTTTTGACCTCATCAGTCGTCTCTTCTGAAGGAGCTTCTATTTTAGCTTCTACACCTTCAGAGGGTTTCTCTTCATCAGAAACTTCTTCCTGTTGTTTGACCTCGGTTTCGTCGGCCACTTCTTTTCGTTCTAG